GATTTTAGCTGTATATCGTTTTTTATCTCTTAAAAGCTACAGACTGGGATCTGGGAATCTGTCTAATGGTAATGTCAATTCTCTGTATATACCTATTGACATACACCATAAGCCCACAGGTCATATCTCAACCTCAGACACATAAAACATTTTTAAAATAAGAAAGCCTAGGGAGGGAAAAATCATTGAAAGTCAATTGAAGTTCTTGAATGAAACACACCATGGCTTTGTTTGACCAGGGAACAAATACAAATGGTGGAAGACTGGGGAAAAAACATCCCATGTGTTTATCTATATAATACTTTAACGCAGAGCGTTCCATGATTCTAGATTGTCTTTAGCCAAAAGTGTTTAATTTTGAGTAGACATTGTTGCCCGGTAAAGGTGTAGGGCCTAGCTCTCCTTCATTTAAACCGCAATTACTTTAAATATTGCCCTGTTTCATAACAGCCACGTTTAGGGCCACTGGTTAACAGTCATTCAAATACAGTTAGGAATTGACCCCAACCCTATTTGGCACAGAATAACATTCAGACAAGGCTGCCTAAACTGTACACAGTATTATTTCACTAGATGGCGATCTAGACTAATAATTATTATTTCTGTATAAGACATTTTTACAGACACTTTTCCAAGACCTGTTTAGTCATTATTAGTTCATCACCCATGTCCCCAAAATAATGAAGATAGTAAGATATGACATCTGGTGGAAGCCGGTCATGATTGTCTTCTATGAATCACAAAAGAAAAACAGTTAGTCAAATCTAAATAAAATCTATTTAAAAAATCAGTATTACTGAATTGTTACAATTTTTTTATTGGGGATTCTCACATAAGAAACATAAATGTGAAGTTGTGGTCCCATGTAGCTCAGTTGGTAGAGCATGGCGCTTGCAACGCCAGGGTTGTGGGTTCAATTCCCACGGGGGGCCAGTATTTTCAAAAATGTATGCGCTCACTAACTGTAAGTTGCTCTGGATAAGAGTGTCTGTAAAATATAAGTCGGAAGTTTACATACACTTAGGTTGGAGTCATTAAAACTCGTTTTTCAACCACTCCACAAATTTCTTGTTAACAAACTATAGTTTGGGCAAGTCGGTTAGGACATCTACTTTGTGCATGACACAAGTAATTGTTCCAACATTTGTTTACAGACAGATTATTTCACTTACAATTCACTGTATCACAATTCCAGTGGGTCAGAAGTTTACATACACTAAGTTCACTGTGCCTTTAAACAACTTGGAATATTCCAGAAAATGATGTCATGGCTTTAGAAGCTTCTGATAGGCTACTTGACATCATTTGAGTCAATTGGAGGTGTACCTGTGGATGTATTTCAAGGCCTACCTTCTAACTCAGTGCCTCATTGCTTGACATCATGGGGAAATCAAAAGAAATCAGCCAAGACCACAGAAAAATTATTGTATCCTTGGGAGCAATTTCCAAACGCCTGAAGGTACCACGTTCATCTGTACAAACAATAGTACCCAAGTATAAACACCATGGGACCACGCAGCCGTCATACCGCTCAGGAAGGAGACGCGTTCTGTCTCCTAGAGATGACCGTACTTTGGTGCGAAAAGTGCAAATCAATCCCAGAACGCTAGGACAGCAGAGTCACTCACCACCTTCCGGAGACACTTGAAACCCCACCTCTTTAAGGAATACCTGGGATAGGATAAAGTAATCCTTCTACCCCCCCTTACCCCACCCCAAAAAAATAAAAAATAAAAAAGAGTGTATGTAAACTTCTGACCCACTGGGAATGTGATGAAAGAAATAAAAGCTTAAATAAATAATTCTCTCTACTATTATTCTGACATTTCACATTCTTAAAATAACTGACCTAAGACAGGGAATTTTTACTAGGATTAAATGTCAGGAATTGTGGAAAACTGAGTTTAAATGTATTTGGCTAAGGTGTATGTAAACCTCCGACTTCAACTGTATGTAGTTTATAAATCTTTATCAAACACTTACTCTTTAACTCATTGATTCAAATAGTGTTGTTTTGGTGTATTGTAATCTATTATTGCTGTTATTTTACAGCGACATATTAGCTCACTATTTGACATGCACCAAAATGATCATTCCACAATTTGTATGACTTATGTTTATGAGTTAAAACTATTAATCAATTATTTATAAACTACATGTTAACTAAAACTGTTTATTGACTAGTCTAGGATCAACCATAACAACCCCCTTAGGATAAAGTAACATCTAACATTGATTGCAGCCATGAGCTTTATGGCTTTATGAAGCACAATTAGAGGGGCTTGACCTTTCATTTCATGTCTTACAATCAAATTCACTTCAAAAGGCACACACACTTTTAAAGTGTGTTGCATATCTTCCAACATTTACAACAAAAGTCTAATCTGGGCATCTCAGTGATTCACAGTTGTTAGTCTATTTTACAGAACTTGATTGTAAGAAAAACTGTCATTCCAGTCTTGCTGTGCTCACATTGAAGGATGCATGTATTGCTCCTCATTGGAAGTCTGATTCGTCAGTGGAAATGGCAAGGCTGTTTTGTCCATGATGGATGTGATTCAGCTGGAACAAGGGTAGTGCTATTGAACCAAGGTGAGAAAGATGGGTGTTTGTGTCTTGTGATTGGTTTTAGTACAACTGACCTGGCCTATTCATTCTGTAGTTCCACCTGTGTGCCTGTCCAGTCTAGAACTTAATCATCAATTTTCAGAATTCTACAAGAAACATCCCACATTATACAACACCCAGAAATGCCCTAAAAGTAACATTTAGACATAGCCTAAAGTACTTCAAAATGGGGGGTCGGGGGTGCTAGGGGGGTCATATTTGTTGTGAACAATCAATAGTGCTGTCCTCATAAAGTCTGATTAAGGCTATTGTCTGAAAAACAATACATATCCAAATTCATTGAACATGGCTTGCAATAGCTCTCCACTCTCTCACTTTCTCGGAAAAGGTCATTGCAAAGGCATAATTTCGCCCGTGATGATCACATGTGTTTGTATCCGTGACGCACAGCAGCCAGTCACACACAAACCTATATTATCAGTCGAGTGATAGACCATATGCATTCTGTGAAATAAAGCTCATAACAGAGCATGTTAGATCTGTTGGTTTTTAAGCGTCGACAATGGACTATAAAAGCCACATAAGTGCGGCAGCCTACAAAAAATTGTTAGAAAAAGCCTACAAACCAACGATTCTGACGCCCTCTACCAGCAAAACTATGCGAGATCTTGTTTCTTGAAACCACTATTGCTTTTGCGAGGATAAATAGGCTGCGGACCGTTACAGCAAAGATTACTAGTAACTAACCCAATATATTTAAATCAGCAAAAGAAAGCATAGTGGTGAAAACAAGCAAGGTGGACATAGCCAAGCATGAGCTAGCGACATCCTATTGACGCGATTTAGCATGTAATTGCATATTTTCGTTAGGGAACGCCTTCTCGGTGAAGTGCGCGTATGCAATAACTCGAATCGCCCTTGCAATCCTTCTGAACAACGCAATTTCTTGAAACTTTGGCAAGTCTACAAAACGTTGTGCAATCTGTTCGTAACAGACTCTAGTTAAATTGTATTGAGATCGAATGTTTGTTTCATCGATTAGAAAATTAGTTTCCCGCTACTAGACTTCCTCTCATTACCATATTTGTGGTGAGTGGAAGTTCTAAACGGATGCTTCAGATATATACATCCTGTGAGACATCTGGCTTCTTTCTATCTGTGTTCATAAACTGTCGACCAGAACTAAAGTATCGCGTAATTGGTCAAATGCTAGTTTGTCCAGCAGAGATTAGCTGTCGATCAATGTGTCGTTTAGGCTACAGCTAAGAAACCCAGTCTGACCATCCCATTGTTGAAGCTATGTTATAATTCCTTACATTTCAGCATCACAACATGGAGACAGAGGCGTTGGTATTCACCAAATCTCCCAGCACCCGGTCTGAACCGGTTCGGGTGATGCGCAAACTCGTGGTACTAACTCCCCCCTCTGTGCTGTAGCTATGACATGCACTGAATCACAGCATCCGCGCGCCCACGTTGGCCACACCCCTGTGTTAATTCACGCATTCTCATTGGCTCACATGCCTTGCGAGCCTCCACAGCGTCAGCATCCTGATTGGACAGTAACACCGGTTGCACTCCGTTCTCGTCCGGCGCTCCGGATTTCACTTTAGAACCAATGAAATTGTATAAAATACGCAAACTCCGCCCATAGAGCTAAAACTATAGCGCCTTCTCCTGCGACCCGTTGGTTTATAAACTGCGATTGGTCGATATGATGGCATAAACTCGATTATCATTGGCCATCTATTGTCTGGGAACGCGGAAAATTGAGTTGTAAACGAGGCGCGTGCTTGAAGAAAAACGCAGGACTGAAAACAAGCGTGCACCTTTTCAGCACCGATCCTCGTGGATAGCGGTACAGGTCCATTCCACCAATTAATCAGACCAGACAAGCGTGGGGATACGAGCAGCATCTGTTTCTTCGATAATCATAGAGCTACCACAATTTTGTTATTCAGCCAAGCGGCTGCCGTGTTCACTGGGTAGTAGCTGTTGAGTTCGATGAGCGGAGGATTCGAAGCAAAACGGCACAAGCTTTGTTTGCCCTAAGGGCTGCAAGTGCAAGGAGCAATAGCTAATACTGCTACCAGTATTGTTTTTAGAAGGGAAGAAACTGTGGTGCTCATTGTGATTCAGCGGGTTCTTGGATCGAAAGGGACCAGGAATAACGGCCTGCAAATGAAGGGAAGCAAGTGGAAATCGAGTAATTAATCGACCATTAAAAGAACAGCCGTAATCGTGGTGTTTGATTTTTTTAGCCACATTGCTTGTTCGTGTAGCTGCACTCTATTGTGTGAGCATCTTTGTATTATTCCCGTCACTCTCTGAGCAGGATCCCGCGCTCTCGTTCGCCCGCCCGCCATCCACTCGGCCACAGCTGTGTGTATTCGCTACTATTTTCAATCGGCACGACACAGTTTGATATAAATATGTGTTCTCGGGTTTGGTTTGTGACCGACCGGCGTATCCACCAGGAGTATCCGCAAGTTCAGATCCTTCGGGCTCTGAAACAGCGATGCGCCGAGGAGGATGTTGAATTCCGCTCTCTTCTCATGGACCAAATCGTGCTCACCATCAGCGAGGGACAATTAGGCAAGTATCACTAGATTTGAAGTTGCACATCTACTACCGTAATACAATAGTCATCTAATTTTTTCAACTGTTTTGAATTGGGGTTTAATCGTGTATTGTTTTTGTCTATGGTGGGGTGTATTTCAGTGTATTATTATATAGCCACTAGCGAGCCTAGCAGTAGCAGGTATTGTTCGGTACTGAAGCACACACACACAGCTTGCTAGCGCGAGCTGCTGGCTAGCTAGCTAACCGTGTGACGTGACCGCCTAAACCTTGGTAAAATTAGTTATATTGGATTTTTGGTTTTCTCTCGTCAATAGCTATTGAACCAAGCATGCAATGACTATTAAAATTGTATATTCTGAATCAGGGAAGGATGGAAAACAATATTTTATTTTTTGAATAATAATAATAAAAAGTAAGTTTCAGATTTCAATCTTCAATAGCTCTTAAACAAAGCTTAACATTACTATGAAAATTATATATTATGTATCAAGGGAGGATGGAGAAAAATGTGTTGATGGTTCTCCATCCTCCCCTGATTCAGAATATACCATTTTCATAGTCATGACATGCTTGGTTCAATAGCTGTTGACGAGTGAACCGAATATAAAAGATCAAAACCGAATATCCAATATAAAACTAATTTTACCTAGGTATAGCTCCAACCCATTTTCCAGACAGCCCCAAATAGTCAGACGGAGATACTCCATGATGCCAAGGCAAAAAATTGCTACATCGAATAGCTACTTTATTATATGCGTAGCTGGAAAATATTGTCCACATTATGTAGCCGTATAATAATTAACAAGCTAGCTAACGGTATGCTATATAGTTGTTGTGAACAGCGCATCGCAATACAAAGAGTGGCCAGCTAGTAGCTAACGTTATTAGGTTATGGGCTATTCTTCATGGGCCAGCACAGCTATGCGCTACTCTAGCTTACATTAATTCAATGGAAGTACATAAGCTGTAGAAGAGGATGTAGTGCAATTTTAATTGATTTGATTTGTAATTAGCTAAGTGAAGTTTGTAGTGGGTTTAGCTAGCTAGATTGTTTCATTTTTAGCTTTTAGCTGTCTTCTCTTTCTGTCATACACTTGAGTCAACACTAGTACAACAATTGCTAATAAATAGGAGAAATTGGGTTTCTCACGAGGCACTTGCATGCAGGGACAACAGACACAGGCATCAGAACAGACTTGAGCGCTGGTGGGACAAGTACAACAATAGCTACTATAAGATTATCACATATTAATATCCTTGGTTGCTTGATTTGAAGAACATGTGTTCCAAATTGTGGAATTTGGTAGTCATGCGTGAGCTTGGGTAAGGGGGTTGCATTTAGCTCAATGAGGTGGCAGGCTGTTTTATAGCACATCTTACATGATGGCATTGACTGGAGAGAGGGAGGGAGGGAGCAAGCTGACTCAGACCAGGAGGTGGGGATGGAGCTTGCTCTTTGACATGTGGCAGTAAGATTGGGAACAGCTTCTGAATCCAGAAGCCGCTTCCTCACGTGGGATGGAGCACGTAAGATCTAGAAACCAGTGTACTCTCCTCATCCTCCACGTAGGCTACATGTCGAATGTGCTACTCTACAATAGTTGAAAATACTTAGCTTACGAAATGACATGGCTTACAAAATGGTGGTAAAGTCAAAGCCAGTCAGACACCCACTTTAACAATGGCCTACTTAGTAGATAGCCTAGTCTTCAATGCTGAATAATCTGTGAGAAACTCAGGAGGAAGGGAGGGTAGGACTATTGGCCAAAGCCACAACTGGAGCACGGCTGTGTCCTGTGTGGGCTGCCCTCTTTTTTTCTCATAGGGAGTCATACATGCTCATGACATGACAGGCCTTACAATCCATTGTAACTGCATCATAGTGCATTAAGCCTATACCTGCAGTGCTATCTAATAAACAGTATGAAATTACAGCAGGCTTGAAATGGTTCAGTATGTATCAGCCCTGTAGTGTGTAAATAACTTTAGTAGCAACAGACCATGGGCAAAGTCCACTGTCATAGCCTGTTCCATGCAAAAGTGGTTAATTGATGCTCCATGTCCTCTGAACAGGCTATGTGCTAACTAGCTTGTCTGGATTATCAAAGATGGACCTTCACGTAAGAGGCCAAACCCAGTGGTCAGCCAAAGGAATCTCACATCCCATGATTCAGAGATACAGAGTTGTGCAAGAGGAACACATGTTACGAATCGACGCCGGATTCTTTGGCCTTCCACGTAGAGGCGACACAAACACACTTTTCACCGCTAGATGACAAATATAACACTTCCATAATATTATCGAAGGCAACAGGACACAGGATCTCTCGAGCTATGGCCAACTGAACACAGTGATTTTCCACCGCCGCCAGTCATATGATGTGAGACGCATCAGTAATAGACCAGGGGCTCAGTTCCCTATCTTTCCTTAATCATAATCTTGGCACCGGAACACTGAGGAAAGACACCCCATTGACGAACCATGCTGATCCATCAGTTTAAAGTTGTATTGTCACATGCACAGGATACAGCAGGTGTTAAACAGTACAGTGAAATGCTTACTTGCCAGTTCTTTCCAACAATGCAGAATAAAAGTAATAATATAGTTAATAAAAATAAGAAATACGAGAGAAGGAAACAGAAACACGAGAATGCAAGTTATATACAAGTCAGTGCCAGTACCATTATTACAATGTGCAGGGGTACTGGAGTGATTGAGGTTGGTATATACAGTGGGGTCCATAATTATCGGCACCCCTGATAAAGATGAGCAAAAAAGACTCTATAAAATAAATAATACAAATACTGAGCTATGTTGTTTGTTTAAAATAATGGGGAAATTGTATTATTTTATACTAATAGAATTGCTCAGAGAAAGATCATTTGTTTAACAAGTAATTTAAAAAATCTCAAAGATATGGGTCAAAAGTATTGGCAACCTGTTTTCATAACGACACTGAGCCTTTTTCTAAAATGTTTTATGATATTGAAGAACACATTGGGAGGGATCTTAGACCATTCCTCCATACAGAATCCTTCCAGATCCTTGATATCCTTCATCTGCCCTCTTCAATTCTTCACAGGTTTTCAATGGGGTTCATGTCCAGAGACTGAGATGGCCATTGCAAAATGTTGATTTTGTGGTCAATTAACAATTTCTTTGTTGATTTTGATTAGTGCTTGGTGTTATTGTCTTGCTGGAAGATCCACTTGCGGCCAAGTGTCAGATTCCTGGAAGAGGTAACCAGGTTTTTGGCTAAAATATCCTGGCTAAGATGCCACTGACCTTAACAAGGGCCCCAGGATCAGTGGAAGCAAAATAGCCCCGTAACATCAAAGACGTTGACTATAGCACCGGTTCCGATCCAAGTGCCAATGCCATTTATCAAACTCCAGGCGGTGCTATGGTCAGATGACATGAAAATAGAGCGCTTTGGCCACGCACACCAGTGGTGGGTTTGGCGTTGAAAAACTGAAGCATATGCAGAAAAGAACTCATACCTACATTAAAATATGGTGGTGCATCTTTAATGTAATGGGGCTATTTAGCTTCCACTGGGCCTTTGGCCCTTGTTAAAGAGTAACTATCATGAAAAAAAAGATGTAATAATTGATAAACAGATGTTTTCGACTTAGTTATAGTGAAACACTTAAATTCTGTTCTTAATTTTGACAGTTCGTTGCAAAAGTGATATATTTTGGTCTTTTAGTAGTAAATCTAGCTCTTTTTGCCCCTAGCGGTTCGACTCTACCATTGAAATAGTGATGTAGAGGCAACTTGAGAATGTTCTTCTACGTCATCTCAAGGGAGGGGTTCGGTATGAAATACACTCCCTTCTAGATGTGCTGGGTGGTACCACCTCAAGGCTTACTATAAAAGCAGGTGACAGCTCGCCTTATTTGGCAATGGTCTTGGTAAGTGGAGTGTGGCAATAATATATACTGAACAAAAATATAAACGCAACATGTAAAGTGTTGGTCCCATGTTTCATGAGCTGAAATAAAAGATCCCAGAAATGTTCAATACACACAAAAAGGTTATTTCTCTCAAATGTTGTGCACAAATTTGTTTACATCCCTGTTAGTGAGCATTTCTCCTTTACCAGGATAATCCATCCACCTGAAAGGTGTGGCATATCAAGAAGCTGATTAAACAGCATGATCATTACACAGGTGCACCTTGTGCTGGGGACAATAAAAGGCTGCTTTAAAATGTGCAGTTCTGTCACACAACACAATGCAACAGATGTCTCAAGTTTTGAGGGAGCGTGCATTTGGCATGCTGACTGCAGGAATGTCCACCAGAGCTGTTGCTAGAGAATGTAATGTTCATTTCTCTACCATAAGCCGCCTCCAACGTCGTTTTAGAGAATTTGGCAGTACGTCCAACCGGCCTCACAACCGCAGACCACGTGTAACCACGCCAGCCCAGGACCTCCACATCGGTCTTCTTCACCTGCGGGATCGTCTGAGACCAGCCACCTGGACAGTACTTTTGTGGGGAAAAGCTCATTCTGATTGGCTGGGCCTGGCTCCCCAGTGGGTGGGCCTATGCCCTCCCAGGCCCACCCATGGCTGCACTCCTGCACAGTCATATGAAATCCATAGATTAGGGCCTAATGAATTTATTTCAATTGACTGATTTCCTTATATGAACTGTAACTAAGTAAAATCGGTGAAATTGTTGCATGTTGTTTATAATTTTGTTCAGTATATTTTGCATGATGCTTGATTAGACTACTGACGTTACACAAAATTCAAAAGGCAGTAAGGCATATTCCCGCATATGACCAAATTCAATGTTTTTGCTTACCGTTTCATACACATCTATGTGCTTTTACAAAAAAAAAAAAAAACACGTAGGCTATCAGGAATATGCATTTATATTAATCATACAAATAAATAGATGACAATGGTGGTCATGTCAACCTGTTGTCTTTTTTCCCCAACTGCAATGACTGGTGGTGCAGTCTGTTAAGACAGTTGGCTCATAGTTCAATGGTTGTGAGTTCTAATCCCACATGGGCAGATATATATTTTTCTTCTTCTTCAAATCCTTTATTTACAATATTCATCCCGTGCCTACACACTTCTAATTCTGAAAATTGAAAGCATACCTGTGAGAGGGGTCACCCTGGTAGTACAGTAGTTGTAGGTTTGATACAGTACCCAAGACCAATCTGAGTTAATTTGACCATTAGAAAAAGAGCCACTGTAGCGAGCTGTGTCACGACAACTCATTTGCAAATTGGAGTGGGTCCAAGGTGTCTTGGATGATGGAGTTGATGTGTGCCATTGACCAGCCTTTCAAAGCACTTCATGATTAAAGATGTGAGTGCTACAGGGCGGTAGTCATTGTGGCAGGTTGCCTTAGAGTTTTTGAGAACAGGAAGGATGGTAGTCCGGTTGAAACATGTGGGGATTACAGACTGGACAAGGAGCGGTTGAAAACGTCTGTGAAGACGCCTGCCAGCTGGTCTGCACATTCCGTGATGACGCACCCTAGAATTCCGTCTGGCCCTGCGGCCTTACGTGTGTTAACTCGTTTAAAAGACTTAGGTCTACTCACGTTGGCTTCAGAGAGAGCGAGGTCCTCCGGAACAGCGGGGTGTATGTATATACTGAACAAAAATATAAACGCAACATGTAAAGTGTTGGTCCCATGTTTCATGAGCTGAAGTAAAAGATCACAGAAATGTTCCATATGCACAAAAAGCTTATTTCTCTCAAATGTTGTGCACAAATTTGTTTACATCCCTTTTAGTGAGCATTTCTCCTTTGCCAAGATAATCCATCCACATGACTGGTGTGGCATATCAAGAAGCTGGTTAAACAGCATGGTTATAGAGCCTCCCGAGTGGCGCAGCGGTCTAAGGCACTGTATCGCAGTGCTAGAGGCGTCACTACAGATCCGGGTTCTCCCGGCTGCGACCAGGAGACCCATGAGGCGGCGCACAATTGGCCCAGCGTCGTCCGGGTTAGGGGAGGGTTTGGCCGGCTGGGATGTCCTTGTCCCATCGCGCTCTAGAGACTCCTTGTGGCAGCCGGGCGCATGCATGCTGGCTTCGGTCGCCAGCTGTACAGTGTTTCCTCCGACACATTGGTGCGGCTGGCTTCCGGGTTAAGCAAGCCGTGTGTCAAGAAGCAGTGCGGCTTGGCGGAGTCGTGTTTCGGACGACGCATGACTCTCGACCTTCGTCTCTCCCGAGTCCGTACAGGAGTTGCGGTGATGGGACAAAACTGTAACTACCAATTGGGGAGAAAAGGGGGTAAAAAGTACCACAAAAACAAAACAGCATGGTCATTACACAGGTGCAGCTTTGCTGGGCACAATAATAGGCCACTCTAAAATGTGCCGTTTTCTCACACAACACAATGCCACAGATGTCTCAAGTTTTGAGGGAGTGTGAAATTGGCATGCTTACTGCAGGAATGTCCACCAGAGCTGTTGTCAGAGAACTGAATGTAAATGTTTCTACCATAAACCGCCTCCAACGTCGTTTTAGAGAAATCCATTTAAATTGACTGATTTCCTTATATGAACTGTAACTCAGTAATCTTTGAAATTGTGCATTTTGCTTTTATATTTTTTCCCGGTGTAAATACCTCTGCTTTTGACAAGGTCGTTTTAGCTCAAACTAAAATCATTTAACCAAATGGGAGAAATAGGCATAGCTTAGGCTATTTCCCAGGACATTGTCAGCTGTAAGATGTTGTATTCAATGAAGGACACGTGCCTTGGAAATGGTAAAGAGCAAAGTGAGCAAACACCAAGTGGTCTGAAGGATATATATTTTTAGAAGTCAGTGTAGCATTTCACCTTTTGTTGTTAGCCTACGGCTGAAGTTGAATGGAGAATTCACTTGTCTCCCAATATAATGTCAGCATTACACAGGGATTGACATTAAGGGTTGCCCTATTGCCTGGGGCCATTGAACTGAGCAGTCGCGCAAGTTGATCTTGCTCTGAGGTTGCCCCATTGGGGAGGTGATTTTGTATTATTTTTTTAAAGTGAAAACAACCAAACTATAAAGAATTCCAGTAGCCTCCCACTGGGCACAAACGTCTATTCCACGTTGGTTCAACTTAATTTCATTGTAATGACGTGGAAACAACATTGATTCAACCAGTGTGTGCCCAGTGGGCTGAAACTGATCTTTGTGGTCCTCCCCATTAAGTGAAAGACAGAAAATGTATGGCAGTAGGGCAAGTTGAGCCTGCCCTGAGAATGTTTTGATAACAACCAAAATACAAAGAATTTCAGTACTGATCTTTCTAATTCATTCCCTATGTGTACGTGAAAGGCAGGCAGCAATATATGGCACCTAAATATGCGTCTAAATAACTAATGTTCATTTTCGGGCAACCAAAAACTACTCCCGACTTGCCCAATGGGCAAGTGCCGTTTAGACGTTAATGTGAAAATCCCAGCTGGCACAGGGTGTTTCTGTGTGTGTGTGTGTGTGTGTGTGTGTGTATATCCACTGCATTTTATGTGTGTGACTTTGTGTATCGCTGCATGTGTCTGTATTATCAGTAGACAAACCAGACCAGTGTCCAGTCCAGCCAGCCAGCCACCCTCTCCCCAGAGGAAGTGGTGCCCGCCTTGCAGGGGCTGCGTCCAGGGTTGGCAAGGCCCACCGAGCGTTGGCATGTGTCAGCCCAGCCGTATTGTGACGTCACGACAGAATGCACAGAATGCCAGAGCTGATGGGAGTCCCCCACTCAGCAGTTATGGAGCCAGTCAGTCCTGTCTGGCACAATGAAAATAACACACAGTTCAACGGCCTGTGAGGATGGAAGGCCCGGCCCACTGAAAGACGACTGACAGATCAGATGGTCGTAAACGTCATTTTTTCACTAGAAACTAGTAACACACTACTATGCCTGGATGGTCTTTCTGACAAGAGGACTAGAAGGTTTATTTAACTTTTCTAAATGATCACATGGCTGGCTAACAGTACTATAAGTGCACCCACTCGCCCCAAATGAATGAACGGATTCATTGGGGTTTTCCATGTGCTCTGTGTAGTTCCCTTGGAAACCGAGACAAGTGATGTGGACACCGAATACTGTCTTGGCCGGGGTCCTTTAATACTTAATTGTAGCATGGCTTGCTCAACGGCTGCACAATCAAAAGTGTGAATGGGGAGAAAAGGGTGTGTTTATGCAGTGATGTGAATTATCCCCCGATTGAATACTGAGAATGAGGGGAGGGGTGACGGGCAGGGCTATTCCTCAACAAACGCTTTCCACTTCTCAGAGTCATCCCCGCCACACACTCACACACTTCTCCCCACCACACCTGCAGTCCTTTATGCATACATCTCCAGCCTTTTCCATTTTTCATTTCACTGACCATAGTTTGAACCAAAAATGACCTATATCCTTCCTTCTCTCTGTGCGCTCCTTTCAGCATCAGGAGGCAGTATTTGAGAAGCCCGTCACCTATTTGTTTGTGTGCCTCAGACACTGCGACCTCTGTCGATCCAGCGTTGACGCTGTCGCTTTGGTGAGTGGAGATCTTAAGATGGCTGAAAAGCAGGTCACAGTGGAGTGAAGAGTGCTGCGTCAGTGACAAGCCTCTCTCCTCCCTCCCTCCCTCCTCTCTTCCCCCGCTCCACCTCGTGTACCATCATCACCCCATCTGCCTCTCCTTATTGTTCTTCTTCCGGAATTAAAATGGCTGGTAGTAGGCCAAAATGGACTGTTAGTTGCCAGTTCAAATCTCACAGTGAGTAACTTCGGGCACAATAAAACGTTCAAACACGCAAACTATCAAATTATTATTTTACAATATGTTTGTACACAATCTATAGATAGGCTATGTCTTGTATACTTTCTCAAAAATGTGTTTGAGGATCATTCAGAGAATAGGTGCTGGTGGTGCCACTTGCATGCATGATTGTTGAAATCTCGTATGTGTATTTAGGTTCAGTCTCCCCTATTTGTGCTGATACCTTCCTATATTGGGAGCATGCAATGAACTGTAAGCTGTATTAAGTACACTGCTGGGGATCGGTGCTCCTCCAGGGGCGATGAATCTTGGCCCTGGGGCCAGAGAAGTTGGCAGTGCCACTGGGGAGCATGTGGATGTGGGCAGGGTGTGATGTGGGTGAGCGATGCAGGCAGGACCCAGTCCAGATGATGCTATTACACCACTAGGCTACCCTACCTGGACCCACGCCTCTGTTACTCACAGCCAGCTCAGAGCTCGCGCATCCAGAGCAGCTCGATAATGACGAGCTGCGTAGACAAACACAGTAGTATCAGGCCTACGTTTGGTGCAGTGGGAACAGATTTATGGGTGTGGCCTGAATGTTCCAAACGGGCATGGGCTACTGTTCTGTGATACAGATAAAGCCAAGCCACTGTCGCTACCTGAGTTGCTCAGAAAAATGTTGATATCAATTAAATGTGTTGTTTCAGTTGGCATTCATGAGTGAAAGTGTAGCCTGCATTTCCGTATCTGTAGAAGATTGTGAAACCTGTCTATATGATCAATCATTGCCAAAGCTGTCTATATGAAACTATGTGAAATGTGACATTGGGAATATTTTAAGATCGAGGCCTCTCTTTTGTGTCTCTCCCTCACTCCTTTCATCCACAGGTCTGCGGGTGGAGCAGGAGGTGGTGACGTCCTACCCTCAGGTGGCGGTGGTGCGGGTGCCCACCCCCTGGGTGCAGTCGGACAGCGACATCACGGTTCTGCGCCACCTGGAGAAGATGGGCTGCAGGCTGGTCAACCGGCCCCAGGCCATCCTCAATTGCGTCAATAAGTTCTGGACCTTCCAGGAGCTGGCCGGCCACGGGGTCCCCCTCCCGGACACCTTCTCCTACGGTGAGCTCAGAAGCTTGGTCATATTATTTCTGATTCCTGAGTTTAGAAAACCCATAATCCCTTGACTTTTTATGTTGTGTTGATTACATCCTTGATAATAATGATTTGCTGAAATGTATTTCTGTAACTGAAATTGGATAACTACACTGAACAAAAACATAAACGCAACATGTAAAGTGTTGGTCACGTTTCGTGAGCTGAAATAAAAGCATAAGCACAAAAAGCTTATTTCTCTAAAATGTTGTGTACAAATCTGTTTACATTTCTCCTTTGCCAAGATAATCCATCCACCTGACAGGTGTGCCATATCAAGAAGCTGATTAAACAGCATGATCATTACACAGGTGCACCTTGTGCTGGGGACAATAAAAGGCCTCTCTAAAATGTACAGTTTTGTCACACAACACAATGCCACAGATGTCTCAAGTTTTGAGGGAGTGTGCAATTAGCATGCTGGCTGCAGGAATGTCCACCAGAGCTGTTGCCAGATAATTGAATGTTAATTTATCTACCATAAACTGCCTCGAACATCATTTTAGAGAATTTGGCAATACATCCAACTGTCCTCAGACCGCAGACTACATGTATGGCGCCGTGTGGGCGAGCAGTTTACTGATGTCAACGTTGTGAACAGAGTGCCCCATGGTGGCAGTGGGGTTATGGTATGGGCAGGCATATGCTACGGACAACAAACACAATTGCATTTTATCAATGGCCATTTGAATGCACAGAGACACCGTGACGAGATCCTGTGGCCCATTTATCGTGCCATTCATCCGCCGCCATCACCTCATAATATAATATATAATAATATATAATAATATAATAAATATAATAAATCATGTTTCAGCATGATAATGCACGGCCCCATGTCGCAAGGATCTGTACACAATTCCTGGAAGCTGAAAATGTCCCAGTTATTCCATGGACAGCATATTCACCAGAAAGTGCATTCGGAAAGTATTCAGACCCCTTGACTTTTTCCACATTTTGTTATTTTACAGCCTTATTCTAAAATTGATTAAATCGTTTTTTTCCCTCATCAAAACAGGTTTTTACACATTTACACAAAAAACAGAATTATCACATTTACATAAGTATTCAGACCCTTTACACAGTACTTTCATTGAAGCACCTTTGGCAGCGATTACAGCCACGACTCTTCTTGGGTGTGACGCTACAAGATTGGCACACCTGTATTTGGGGAGTTTCTCCCATTCTTCTCTGCAGATCCTATCAAGCTCTGTCAGGTTGGATGGGGAGCGTCACTGCACAGCTATTTTCAGGTCTCTTCAGAGATGTTCGATCGGGTTCAAGTCGGGCTCTGGCTGGGCCACTCAAGGACATTCAGAGACTTGTCCCGAAGCCACTCCTGCATTGTCTTGGCTGTGTGCTTAGGGTTGTAGTCCTGTTGGAAGGTGAACCTTCGCCCCACTCTGAGGTCTTGAGCACTCTGGATCAGGTTTTCATCAAGGATCTCTCTGTACTTTGCTCCGTTAATCTTTCCCTCGATCCTGACTAGTCTCCCAGTCCCTGCCACTGAAAAACATCCCCACAGCATGATGTTGCCACCACCATGCTTCACCGTAGGGATGGTGCCAGGTTTCCTCCAGACGTGACGCTTGGCATTCAGACCAAAAGTTAAATCTTGGTTTCATCAGACCAGAGAATCTTGTTTCTCATGGTCTGAGAGTCCTTTAGGTGCCTTTTGGCAAACTCCAAGCGGGCTGTCATGTGCCTTTTACTAAGGAGTGGCTTCCGTCTGGCCATTCTACCATAAAGGCCTGATTGGTGGAGTGCTGCAGAGATGGTTGTCCTTCTGGAATGTTCTCCCATCTCCATAGAGGAATTCTGGAACTCTGTCAGAGTGACCATCGGGTTCTTGGTCACCTCCCTGACCAAGGTCCTTCTCCCCCGATTGCTCAGTTTGGCTGGGCAGCCAGCTCTGGGAAGATTCTTGGTGGTTACAAACTTCTTCCATTTAAGAATGATGGAGGCCACTGTGTTCTTGGGGACCTTCAATGCTGCAGGAATGTTTTGGTACCCTTCCCCAGATCTGTGCCTCGACACAATCCTGTCTCGGAGCTCTACGGACAATTCCTTTGATCTCATGGCTTGGTTTTTGCTCTGACATGCACTGTCAACTGTGGGACCTTATATAGACAGGTGTGTTCCTTTCCAAATCATGTCCAATCAATTGAATTTACCACAGGTGGACTCCAAATAAGTTGTAGAAACATCTCAAGAATGATAAATGGAAACAGGATGCACCTGAGCTCAATTTTGAGTCTCTTAGCAAAGGGTCTGAATACTTATGGAAATAAGGTATTTCTGTTTTTTATTTGTAATAAAAATAAACTGTTTTCGCTTTGTCATTATGGGTTATTGTGTGTAGATTGGAGTGATTTTTTTAAACTCTATTTTAGAATAAGGCTGTAACGTAACAAAATGTGGAAAAAGGGAAGGGGTCTGAGTACTTTCCGAATGCACTGTATGTCACCCATTGAGCATGTTTGGGATGCTCTGGATTGATGAGTATGACAGCGTGTTCCAGTTCCCGCCAATATCCAGCAACTTCGTACAGCGCTGCATGAGGCAAATGGTGGTCACACCAAATACTGACTGGTTTTCTGATCCACGCCCCTACCTTTTTTTTAAAGGAATCTGGGACCAACAGATGCATATCCCTATTCCCAGTCATCTAAAATCCATAGATTAGGGCCTAATGAATTTAGTTCAATTTACTGATTTTCCTTATATGAACTGTAACTCAGTAAAATCTTTGAAATTGTTGCATGTTGCGTTTTTATATTTTTGTTCAGTATATTTAGTTATGTACAGTTAATTAGCTACCGCACCACTCCTTTCTGTTTCTGGCTATCAATGCAGGGGCAGGAAATCAACAGGTACAGTATCTTTGTTCAAGTCAGTACCCACCCACACTTAAGACAGCTTGTATTTAATTACAATACCACTAATAAAAAAGTCAGTAACCAACAACACAGAAGAAAATATATAATTACAGAGGAGTAAGGAGTCGACTCAAGGAATCTTAGACAGTTTGTCCAAGTTCAGTTGTTTAATTAATCGCGATGGAAGGGTTGCGCTTCAACCAACACCATGCAAGTTTGAGGTTTTTACATGGCTTTTATACTGTCACATAATGCACTTCTGATTGGTCGGTACAGAACTACCCATACTTCAAATATGGCATTAACATGAGGTTAACAGAGAGCTGAAAATAAATGGTTCAAACGGGTCAACAACTCAAGTTTACCCTCCAGGAGAATGTGTCTTGGTCAGCAACCTTACTGCCCAGAATAGGCAGAGCTCTCTTTCAGAAGAATTCCTCAGCGGAGTGGCCCTTTCTCGCACAGACATCTGACCACAAGTGAAGGGTTAAAACACACACACATTATCTGACACACACAGTACTTGAGATCTCTATATGGATATATATTGGACTATAATAACTAAGGATATATTGCTCCAAATCTCGATCTACAACATTATCACAGATCAAATGTCCTTACACTATACTGCAGATTGTACATAAAGCGGAAAATCAAAGCACGGCTGCTCTCTTTGTTCTTGGAGTGAGGGCAGTGATAATGAATTGGGTGCATCCTTGTATCGGAGATATGCCTTGCAGAGAATGATTAGCCAAGCAAGCTTTTTAAATGCACTTGAGTTGGTCTGAGTGTAGATGTAGTCTAGACATAGTCATGACAAGCGGATCTACAATCAGGATTAACCTAAAAAGTCACCTGATAGTTGCCCTTCAGAATCAAAACAGAAAGAGCATCCCCTCTATCATCATCCCTTTCTCCAACACCAATAGTCTGTGTCATTTTGGGGTATTTGTCACATTTTCCATGGAATTTCTTCCTTCTTTACGTTGGACAAAGCAGGATGTGGAAGAATACAGGCAGGCAACGGGGCCTGTACGCCCTAAGCCAAAACCACACACTCGCTGTGTTTTTGTTTTGTTGTAAGACTACACCAAAGCTGACAGACACTGTGTATTTTGATATTTGTTTTGCCACTGCAAAAATCGAATGCCGTGTGTTTTGGTGAGGGCAGCAGGGATAATCCCGAATAGCACTCAGACTACAGAGGCCAGGCGGTGCAGGGAAGCTGGAGCGCTTATGTAATGCGCCCCTCCACCCTCATGACTGAAAATAAAAGAGACCTCCCCCTGCCCCTCCCCTCCTCTGGCTCTCCCCCAGCCGCAGCAGCCAGTAACATGGTAGAACTGAGCTTGAAATGTTATGTGCTGCTCTCTCTCTCTCTTTCTGTCTCCGTCTCCCATTCTCACAGCAGTGTGGACGTGTGCTTTTTGAAAAAGGCATGTGCGGGGCAGCTCACATCTGGTTCTCTTTTAAAACGGCAGACCAGAGACAGAGAGCACAGAAAAAATCTAAATGATCCTGTGTTTCCTTCTTGCTCAAATTTCAGTGTTCAATATTCCAAACAGTCCCAGACAGAGCAAACTGAAGCAGAGCTCTCTCTCTCTCCAGATGACGTTTAAATGTCAACAATGTTCTTAATGGTCAATTGTATTAGAAGTATTATCAGATATAGTCATATGAAAAGTCAGAGACGTTAAAATGGCCGAGTATTAACACAGAATGACATACCCACAGCAATCCTCATCCAATGGCAATCATTCCTTATCAGCCATGAGTCATCTTTAAGGCCCAATCCATTCTGAGGGACTCACAGCATCCCTTGTTTGATGAATTTATGTTGCTTCCCTCAGAGGGCAGATACAGGCTCTCCAAGTTTTAAAACGAATAGGTCTAAAATCTCCTTCATGCCAGCTGCTATCAGCTTTCTCAATAAGCTCTAGTAGTACTGTTAGTGGTATATTAGTACAGTTTTGGTGTATATTATTGTAATGTGTTCAATGTGTTTTTACTATGTGCTGCAAAATCAATTGCCACCCTGTGATAATAAAGACTACACTACTCTACTCCTTGCTTCACAAGTCACAACATGGTTTCTATAGCAACAACCCCCAGTTCTCACAGTCAAATGACTGAGGTACACAGAGGGTTAATAGAGAGGGTTTGATCATTGGACAAATTGTAACGTGTGTGTGTGTGTCTTGTGTGTTTCATAGGAGGACATGAGAACTTCCGCAAGATGATCGACGAGGCGGAACCACTGGGCTACCCCGTGGTGGTGAAGAACACTCGTGGTCACAGAGGTCAGTCTGACTGCGACCATCCCTCCCCTCACCTCTCTCATTGCTGTCTCTTTACAGCCCAGGCCTCTGGGTTTATGCAAACATGTCTCTCGAATCCTCTTCCACCATTATATGCGTCATGGCCAATGGCACCTCGGTTCACCTATATAAGGAATTCAACAAAGGGGTGCTAATTGATTGAGGAAAGCACCAAGTATGAATCTTTGACAGCTTATTTAAACCCATATTTATCACGTTCCCTTTCGTTTTCATATTTTCCCCTCATTTATAGTAGGATTGCCAGAGACCTTTTTTAGAACCCTACAATTTTGGAAAGAGATTGTTCTCGGGCTATTCCACAGAGCCTTACCGGCCCATCAACCTATCTATTCATAGTCATTGACACTTTAGTTGGTCTCTCAGTTTGTCGTCCATTGTCTGTATGGATAATAGACTTTGGGTAGCGACAGGGCATAGACTATCAAGACAGGGCATTGTTAAGGAAAGTGACCATTGGTGGATATCAGCCAATGAGCCATTTCTTGAGCATTTAACATGACTTAAGATCCAGCTACCTAGCCAATAGCAATGCCAACAGGGGCAGAGTCGTTCCTTCTTTTCTCACATGTAAAGCTAAGTGGTCCTCTTTGTTGAGTGTAGACTCTACATTTAATTTGGTTGGCTGGTTGACACTGGTTTTTAGTGGGTGTCCACACTCTATCTCTCATTGGACAGCTGTCTTGCCCCTGTTCCATGGGGCCTTGCTATGTCCTGTTGTTTGATCTCAGCCATGAGGTATCATGGCTATCATTCTGTGTCGTCTGCATACTGTAAGCAACGCAACCTATTAGAATATCTCTACACACACATTTTTACATTTACATTTTAGTCATTTAGCAGACGCTCTTATCCAGAGCGACTTACAGTTAGTGAATAGATCTTTTTTTTATACTGGCCCCCCGTGGGAATCAAACCCACAACCCTGGCGTTGCAAACGCCATGCTCTATCAACTGAGCTACATCCCTGCCGGCCATTCCCTCCCCTACCCTGGACGACGCTGGGCCAATTGTGCGCCGCCCATGAGTCTCCCGGTCGCGGCCGGCTGCGACAGAGCCTGGATTCGAACCAGGATCTCTAGTGGCACAGTTAACACTGCGATGCAGTGCCTTAGACCACACCCCACCACACTCACATGTGCCTCTCATGGGTCTCCCTCCCTGGTCCCTTAGTCAACGCTGACCTGTGTTGGGGTCAGAGGACATGCCACTGAGCACGAGGACAGAGTATGCACTAATTAAAATGGGCCCTGGCATTTTTGCTAGCCAGTGCGAGAGGCATTCTGCTCTCCCCACCATGGCTTCTCAGTTAGTGTCCTGAGTGTCTCGAAAGATTACTCAATTTCAATTGTTACATGGCAGTCCAGGTGAGAGGTGTCAGCATTCACACTATCACTGTCAGCTTCAGAAAAATACTGAAAGTACGTACACTGTGTTCAGAAAGTATTCACACCCCTTGACTATTTCCACATTTTGTTGTTACAGCCTGAATTTAAAATGGATTAAAATGCCTACACAATGTCAAAGTGGAATTATGTTTTTCTACATTTTTACAAATTTATTAAAAATTAAATGCTGAAATGTCTTGAGTCAATAAGTATTCAGCCCCTTTGTTATGGCAAGCCTAAATAAGTTCAGGAGTAAAAATCTGCTTAACAAGTCACATAATAAGTTGCAAGGACTCACTCTGTAATAATAGTGTTTAACATGATTTTTGAATGACTATCTCATCTCTGTACCCCACACATACAATTATCTGTAAGGTCCCTCAGTCGAGCAGTGAATTTCAAACACTGATTCAACCACAAAAGACCAGGGATGTTTTCCCATGCCTCGCAAAGAAGGGATGGGTAAAAAAAATAAAGCAGACATTGAATATCCCTTTGAGCATGGTGAAGTTATTAATTAAACTTTGGATGGTGTATCAATACACCCAGTCACTACAAAGATACAGGCGTCCTTCCTAACTCAGTGACAGAGTTTAATGGCTGGGATAAACAACATTGTAGTTGCTCAAAAATACTAACCTAATTGAAAAGTGAAAAGAAGGAAGCCTGTATAACAAATCACTAAAGTAATATAGCAAAAATGTATGTCCTGAATACAAAGTGTTATGTTTGGAGCGTATCGAATGCAACACATTATTGAGTACCACTCTCCATATTTTCAAGCATAGTGGTGGCTGCATCATGTTATGGGTATGCTTGTAATTGTTAAGGACTGGGGAGCTAAAACCTGGTTCAGTCTGCTTTCCACCAGACACTGGGATATGAATTCATCTCAGCAGGACAATAACCTAAAACACAAGGTCAAATCTACACTGGAGTTGCTTTCCAAGAACACAGTGAATATTCCTGAGTGGCCAAGTTACATTTTTGACTTAAATCTGCTTGAAAATGTATGGCAAGACCTGAAAATGTCTGTCAAGCAATGATCAACAACCAATTTGACAGCTTGAAGAATTTTGAAAAGAATAATGGGCAAATGTTGCGCAATACAGGTGACAATCCAGAAATACTCACAACTGTAATCGCTGCCTGTGATTCTAACATGTATTGACTCAGGGTGTTGAATACTTATCTAATCAAGTGTTTTTATTGTATTTTTTTTTGTGCAAATGATATAATTTTTCTTCCACTTTGACATTACAGGGTATTTTGTGTAGATCGTTGACAAAAAATGACATTTAAATCTATTTTAATCCCACTTTTTAACACAACAAAATGTGGAAAAGGTCAAGGGATGTGAATACTTTCTGAAGGCACTGTATGTAGAGTATTACATGGTCAGGAGGGCAATGGTCACGTTAATGAATGATGACTTTTGTGACTGAAAACCCTTGCTCACTTTCTCTCTCATTCTGTTTAACTCGATCATTGTCCAGGCCATTAACTATAAATAGCCTAATGTTTCTTTTTCTTTTTAAAGCATCTTTGAGATTCTTGACATGTAATGAAAAGTGCTAAATAAATTAAATGTATCATTCTTTCTCCCTACCCTCCACTCCTCAACATCCCCCCACCGCTCTCTCACAGGAAAGGCAGTGTTCCTGGCCAGGGACAAGCACCACCTGGCTGACCTGAGCCACCTGATTCGCCACGACGCTCCCTACCTCTTCCAGGAGTACGTGAAAGAGTCGCACGGCCGTGACGTCCGGGTGGTGCTGGTGGGCGGCCGCGTCATCGGCTCCATGCTGCGCTGCTCCACTGATGGACGCATGCAGAGCAACTGCTCCCTGGGTGAGTGATGCTGGACAGAGGAGAGAAGGATATTATTCAGCCACTCTTGGACAATGGAAGTAAATTTTTTATGGTTCTCTATTAAAACCAACACGGCATGTAGCCTTCATCAGGGTTTTACAGACAGAAGATAAAGGTGGCTGATGTGATGCTGGACAGGCAGGTCCCCTAGGGCTGACAGTTGTCACCACGGTGTCTGGACAGGCACCCACTGGTCGGCCCTCTGCAATGTTTGTCTCCAGTGACTAGGTCTATAGACTGGTTATCGCTAGAGAAACCCAAGGTCAGAGTCAAATATTTTTTTTTTTTATGGAGTTCTAATCTCTCGTGGACAGATAAAACGGCAATAATCTGTCAAGGCTCACGTAGAATTATGTGATTACGAGCAGGAGTAGTTCCTGGTTTTGGGTTTTCGTCGCTGATTATTTGGACGCGAATGCGGTGCTTAAACTGGTGCAGAGATTTTCAAGCCTGTGTGCGTTTGATAAACGGTTTCCACTAGATTCCACAGCCACAAAGTCAAAATTGTCAGAGATTCCGTTTTCAACGGAGGAGACTTAGCTTAAAAACAGAACATTTGAAACTTTCTAACCAGAATTTTACATCTGGGTACCCGAGATTAATGGAGTTCCATAAAACAAATGTTGCTTTGTTGTTATGTTATTTTCAATTAATGAGAATTTCTTTAGTTGGCTAAGAATCATATTTTTTTACTCCCGCTGAACATGCTGAACATGCTATTTCCATTAGTTTTGTTTATTTTGTTGTTCACAAGAGGATTCCAATGGATTTTGAAGGGTCATAGTTTGTCTATGTTAGGAAACCACACCAGATCATAGGGGACAGCGAGAGGAGCAGTGCACTTGAATTTGGCCACAGAAGGACAATATAGTTAGTTGTCTTGAACGTGACTTTGCTGTTGATGACAGACTACGCTTGTCATAACGTCTGCAGTTTTAGGCTAGCCAACACACTCATGTCTTGTGACATTTTGGGGTCATCAGTCATCAATTGTTCCACAGTTATATGACAAGTGTCACATGATGTTTATAACAAGATTTGGTTTGTCTTACGCAAGCATAGATTCTCGGTTGCTCCGGCTGGTTCATATAGTAGATGATGTATGTGTTTGTCCATCCTATTACTATCTATTTCTCTAAAAGAAATACTAATAATTCCACATTTCACAAGAAATAGTTGTCCTGAGAGTTGGTCACTGTTTTCTCTGTCCTTCTATCCTTCCTCGGCATAGAGGCCTCAGAGAATGTGAATAATGTGAATGTAAGGCACACAGTCCACAGTCCACAGTGAACAGTCCACAGTGAACAGTCCACTGTCCACAGATAGCGGTGACTGGCGAGTGTGTGTGTGTGGTGACTGATGTCCCTATATTTCAATTGTGCCCTTCTCTCCTGCAGGCGGCGTGGGGATGATGTGCCCGCTGAGCGAGCAGGGCAAGCAGCTGGCCGTGCAGGTGTCCAACATCCTGGGCATGGACGTGTGCGGCATCGACCTGCTGCAGCTCAACGATGGCTCGTTTGTGGTGTGCGAGGCCAACGCCAACGTGGGCTTCATCGCCTTCGACCAGGCGTGCGGCATGGACGTGGCGGGCATCGTGGCCGACCATGCCCTCTCGCTGCTGCCCAGCCGCCTCATGCGCAAGATGTCGCTGCTCTCGGTGGTGTCCAGCGCCAGCGAGACAAGCAGCGAGCCCGAGGTGTGCCCGGCAGTCAGCAGCGTGCTGCCCGAGGCCGTGTGCAACATGAGCGTGGGCTCTACTTCTAGCGAGAGCGATCCAGAGCTGGCCGATACCACCCCGCAGCCCCCGAGCCGCCAAGCTGGCCCCAGCCCGGTGCTACCCAACCTCCCCGACCCGGCCTACAACTTCAACACCCTCCTTGCCAACGAGATCAAATTATTGACTGAGTGAGCTGGACACAGCCAAGGCGCACACTCACACACTCACACACACTCAAACATACAGACACACACACACTTACAAACACACACCTGAACATTTGGCGGTGGACATTCCTGTTACAGAGCACAAACACAAACTCCTATACACGTTACACAGGCAGGATGTTACATGCAAAAGCATGAGTTGAACAAACAAAAATGTAATGAAAAATGCCATGACCACATAAACTGACATTACGAACAGACGTAGACGCACGCACCTTCTCATACTAACTCCCCCCATAAACACATAGAGATCTGAGGCTGCTCCCCTGACTCTTCTCCCCCACTGCGAACAACCCAGTTAGTTTACAACCGCAGTTGGTGGCAGAAGTGGGATCCAGAAGGTTAGCTGAATTACTGAATCTTTTTGTTTTCAATTGTTTTGTGAGGGTGAGTTGAGCAAGAGTGTTTTTTTGGGAGAACCCTAAAGAGCGTTACATACACCAGCACATAGTCAACGGAAATCTGTCATCCTATTGAGCGAACACACACTACAAAACTGTATATTGGAGAATGAGATTGATGCGTGGTCGTCGTTGTAGATCAACCACTGAAGACGTAGCCAGGCTTGATTTACTGGTGGTGAAATGAAATGTTTTGCATGTGATTTTCTCCATGACTGGGAGAGGGGTACGCACACAGAGGACTAGATAGACTGCCCACCAGCTCCATGTAGCACAGGACAGACAGAGGACACTGTCACAGGGACTATTAAGTGCAGATTGGGGCCAGTTCCATTTTCTACCTCAGTTAATTCTGGAAATGGGATGATTTGAAAATCATAAAATAAAAATTGTCATCACATTCATTTGCATTAAATTCATGAATTGTCTGGAATCAAAATGGAACTTACCCCTCAACACTGATAAGGAGCCCCTAAACACTGGATCTATGGTCTGACTTCCCTTCCCCCAACTCTTAATTGAAGATGTTAGAAAATATTACAGATTATTAGAATTACAAAACTGACCTAGGACCATTGCCTAAGGGCACCTTGTATAGTAACAGCACTACACGATACCCTCTCAAGAGAATGCATCTAGAAACACATAAGCGTAGGTCAAGCACAATTGACCCGAAATCGAGCACTACAGTCACTCGGTTTTCAATTTCATGTTTTTAGGGGCTTGTTTTTATTAGCTTTTTTGAGCTTTTTACAAGAACAATAGTCAAACGGTGACTCTTCTTATGAGACACCGTTTCTTTTTCTTAATTTGAAAGTTCTCTGGAAGAAAGTTGGCTCCGTCTAGGAACAGTGAGGAAGCTGTCACTACACCTACAAGAATAATATACCTCAAAACAGAACTTCTCACTGCCATAGAATAAACTACTTTGAGTCATACATATCAGCCAGCATCCTTGTGGTTTCAAGTGAGCCTTGACTTACAAGCTTTGATCCCTCCATAGGACGTAGATATAGTCAAGTAAATTGTTTGTAAATAATAATTTTAGAAGCGTTCATGCATACTAGTCTCTGGCTGATAGGAAAACCCTAGGGGCTGAAATAACTGTCAACTTTCTCAACTTAAACATTTTGGTAAGCTATTGTGTACAACAGATTGGTTTGTGCAGAACATGCAACGTAAAAAATAAAGTTTTAACAAAGAACATGCGTGCTAACGCTTCTGTGGATTTGGCTAAATGTGGTTAATCAGCCCAATGTTTTGGCCGATGACGAATTACTGTTTATTCTTCTCAAGTGAGCTAAACTTCATAAACATGTTGTACAAATAAAATGCAAAACAATACTTTCTTTTTTTACAGTGTGTTTGATAGAATGTTACCGTTTCATTCCTCAAAAGGAAAACTTCTCCAGGGATATATGTGGCCTAGAGCTTCTCTCTTGAGCTGTTGGTTAATTGCGGTAAATCTTCTACCACTCAGCCTTAAAAAAAGACCTATCCACTACGTATCAACTCTGGGGCATCCGCCATCAACCAAAAACCATTCGCAGTAATCATCCAAAGCACAAGCCACCCTATTTTGTGCCACTTAGTGACTAGCCATTAGTGTTGAGGCCCATAACCCATATGTAGAAGGCTTCTATGTCAAACAGTTGACTCTCAAACATAACTCAGGGAAGCAGCCTTGATCTCATACCCACTCCCAAGGCATGTGACATATCCATCCTAGCTACAGATCTGCCTAAAATGTGTATTGATGACAAACAAAAAAATAAATGTTAAACTATTAAAAAATGTGGTGTACCATGAAGGTTAACGTGCACTTTTTTTCCTTGCTTGTTTTATAATGTTCAGTGTTTTTTCCTCTAATTAATTTATGGTATTTTTTAAGGGAAAAGGTGGTTTGTGTGCACTAATCTTGTCTCAAATAAAGTGAGGCCGTTGTGAAGCTTGATTTTTGTGGGGGCGATTTACTAACGGTCTGGAATCTAACAGGGGTCTGAGGCAGTAATCACAAGCGTGCCAAATGCGAACGCGGCAAAGAATTTGTGACTTTTTGGGAAAAAGCTGTCAAGTATCTCAGCGGCTCCCCTGGGACTTAACACCATTTACAGTATTGTGATTTGTCCAGCATTACGAAATATCTCTCTGAGAACTGCGAATCCCCTGTACTTGACATAGGGCCAGGGGGTCTGGTCATCAATAAGTCTAAGTCACCCTGCTTCCACAGCTTCTGGGTGACTGGTCTACAATTGTTGTTGTCCCTTTTCTTTTTCAAGAGGTTACGTTTATTGTGTTTTATATGAAGCCTGTGTCACTCCACATTCATTCTTTTTTTAGATTAATGTAAAGAGAACACATATCCTCTAGACCTTAAGACCAGCCATAGGAAAGAATGAAAGGACGACAATTTTCTCCAACATATGCATTGTTAAAATAATATCCCTGCTCACTTCATTCATATAACCTACAGCATATCTAGGTTAATTTACTCAGTATGGTTCAGTATGTGTCCAAAAACACTTAAAACCAATTGACGAGAACAGGTTACGCTGCCTATTATATTTATGACATGGCTAAAGCTATCAAATTGGTAAGACATGGTCCTGGTTTGATGATGCAACACTCCAACCTGTTCTGTACTGACCTCTGCTGTGTGAAGGGTCTGTGACTATCCTCATTGGTGACTGTGTGCACAACAACACAACTCAAAGTTACTATTTATTTCTGAATTGCTGCTAATGTATATTTGGCTCATATATTTGAAAGGGAATTGAGGAATCCAACGGGTTTCCAAGTTTCTCTGCCTCTCAACACCTAGGAAATGAATCTGAATGCCAAAAACAAGCATTGTTGTAAAATTCAATACTAATAATACTAGTAGTGAAATTATTTTAACATTTATTATTTGTGTTTTGATATAAATAATAATAAAGACATGTCAGAAATTACCTGTACATATGTAGGACTTGAAAGAGCTCCTTAGGGTGCTTTCATCCATCAATGTTTTCAGAAATGAGCCTGAATTTTCTCCAAGGTTTACAATATTGATTGATATATTTAGTTGATCAATAAAAAACTGCTACTGATATGCCCTATTTTTTTATGATTTGATTAAACTTTCTGTGGGTTCAAATACAAATTCAATATAATTCATAACACAAGAAATGTCACCTTCAAACCATCTGTGTATGATGAAATACTGAAAACATATCTAAATGATGACGTTTTGGAATGCTAATGCCATGCATCTGCAGGCTCAAGTCATGCAATAATTTTGTGTGAAGGAATAGGGTCAATCATTACTCTTATCATTATTATGTGAACCATTTTGACAGCATGGCGAAAATGGATCCCAAATTTGGTTCAAGCTGATAAATGTACTTAGCGCAAAAATTATGTAAAGACACACCTCATTTTTAAATTAAATTAAAATGAGTCATTATTCAAAACAGACGAAAATGTGTTCTGTTTCTTATTTCTCTATTCAAATAAAGTTGAACTCGCATACAATGAGATGTCAGTATTATCTTATTAAAGAAAACGGGGTGATGCTATTTTTGACAGACCATCAGTTACCTGGTATTTATTTAGAAACTACATGGCAACAGTGTAATTGCATAATTAATACCCACAAATGGGAATAGAAGATGTCTCAAGTGTGAACATCACATCTGAAATGTACCTCTCCCAACATGTCTGCCAACCAAGCTGCATCATGGGCCTTTTATATTCTCAACTCAAAAACACACCGGTAAGACACATCCTTACTGTTCAGTCACATCCTATCAGAAGTCACCATGGAAAGTCACAACATATTTTATTCTGTTATGATTCTACTACTATGGCCCATTTTTTCACGTGTGGAGCGTGCTTCTTTTGTGTTGAGCTGAGGAGGTAGCCGGCTGGTGGATGGACACGCAGTCAAGAAGACAGGCAGTCAGGCAGGCGGGCAGTCAGCTTGCGTTGGTAGGGTGTGGGCCTTTCTCTGCTGCCAGCTGCAGCAGGCTCTGGATGGGCTCTGTCAGGCTATGGTCTGAGACCAGCTGGCTGGACTGCAGGGCCTTCCTGCCAAACTCCAGCGCCTGACAACACACACACACACAGTAAAGCCATTGCACCCACTTCCTGCTGTGTATATACACAGTATATTAATTTATATACGTAATATGTATCACTGTAAACTGGGCTTTGCCCCAACAGTCTTAAAAAGCTTCCTTAGCGGCATGCCCACTGATCTGAAAGGACAGTTGAAAACCTATCCAGTCCTGTGATCTATCTGCGGCTATGAAGGAAAGAAGACAAGGAAAGAAAAGTATTTGGAACTACCGAGACACTGCCTGGGACTTCACTGTGCTGACTGTACAAACGTTTTACGACTGTACAAACGTTTTACAAACCAGACAAAATAAATACAATCTTATGATGTTAATGCACCATGATGAAAGGTTTTGAACTGAAATGGTTCAGACAATATCTAAGAATGTTTTGTTTATTGCCAAATGTAGCAAAGGAAATGAAGTGCAGTCAGTATTTGGGATAGATTCAATAAAACCTGCCACAGTAAGGCTTATTCAGTATTTTCATCCATACCAATGCAGCCTGTTTACACACATGCCTAATTCTGCAAGCATCCACCTGTAAAGGGAATCTACCCTTTTCCAGTTATTATGGACAATAGGGAAAATAGTTATGTTTATATGCCACTACGGAAATATGGGTTTGAATGAAAAACGAGTTCTTGGTTTTCCTGCTTTTTTCATTGTCTGTCATGCCTAGCCAGACTATTGGTGAATTTCAGTCATCTCTAATAATGGCTTCCTGTCCTCATATTTCTCCTTCAACCCCACTGATCTGAAAGAACAGAGCATTTAAAACCGAGGTCCCTCTCTTTGGCTTTTCCCATCATCCTTTTCAGATCAGTGCAGATTAGGTATAGGTGACAAGCAACTGTCATTAAGATGCACTGTAATGGCTAGCCAAGCTGAGCTTCATTCAACCCCCATTGAAGGTCGATCAATCATAGCCTGCTCCAGATCTCTACAGCATGTGCTTTAGCCAACTCCTCTGACTATCTTTGTTGTCATGTGACGAGAGTTGCTGCTCCTGATCCCTGCAACAAGAGAGAGGGAGGGACTGGAGAGATCAAAGCTGACGTGGGACAGTGGGAGACGTTCTGGGTTTGTGTGTTATTTACTCTCGCCAAGACATTGTCTCCTATTGAACTAAAGACCATAACTCAGGGTTTCCCAAACTCAGTCCTCGGGACCGCAAGGGGTGCACGTTTAGGTTTTTGCCCTAGCACTACACAGCTGATTCAAATAATCAACTAATCATCAAGCTTTGATTTTAGAATCAGCTTTGATAATTTGAATCAACCAAAACGTGCACCCCTTGGGGTCCCCAGGACCAAGTTTGGGAAACGCTGCCATAACTATAAATACCTTATCCCCCCCTGACTCCCTTTCTCAGGCATCTATTAAACTTCTTGCAAATCATTCTCTCCATTTGCATGCCCTTTCTCTTTTCTCATAGATATGGACACTAGCTACATCCCTGGATAACACACCCAAAATCCCCCACTAAGCCCTAGCATACTTGCCAGATCAGAGAGAAGTGGCCCTGGCCGGAAGCCCGGTGAGGGGAGTTGGAGTATCAGGCCAGTCGCATCGACTCCCACTAAATCCTGCCAGAGCAATAGCCTTTAAGACTAATTTAAACTAATCCTGTCTCTAGACAGCGCTCCATGGGAAGGACACGGTGGAGGGAAATGTGTCAGGGTGTCTTCATAACACCTCACCTTGTCTGGGGAACCTCCCAGGAAACCACAGCATGGCCAGAGAGTGGGCCACTAGGGCATTCTGGGCCGCAGCCTGCTTGGGGCTACTCTCCTGAACCTTCAGCATGGCCCTTAGCATCTGGTCCGCTTCGGCCTGCTGAGCTTCATCTGCATGGGGATCAGCAGCAGAGAGGCGGTGTCAGAAGCTGCGACAGCCAGAGATGTGTCATGAATGGTCTTAGTCAGCCCCGAGCATGTTGATTTAAAGCTGGGGTTTAGCTCTAGGATAGCACGTCAGGGTAAGATGCTAAATTTAGTGCCACTGACCTTATTTTCAGTGATCCACGAATGGAGCCAAATGCTATTTGGCTGGTGGAGATGATGATACCTACTGATGTCATCAAGCCACTTAGAGCTGGCAGTGTTGTTGTTTATTAAGTGTGTGATTGGCTGCATCATGTGGCTGTTAGTGAGCCCACAGAATTAAATAGACCAATTTAATTTAATGTATCTCTGTGGGTCAACAATTTATTATCATCTACCATCAATCTGTTCACAATGGTTTTGGGTATAGAGTCATTTTGACTTTGACTGAAGGAGCTGAGGCTAATTCAATAGCGTCATTATCTGATCAAGTTTCCATTTTAATTTAGTCTTGGTTTGAATGATTTGTCAATATATAAACCTGTTGTAGATGCAGTACACATATATGCACCACCATAGAATGTATACATATTTCTCAGCAGTCCTTGGTATCTATTCGATATGAAGCTGTACCCACCAAAAGAGTGCTCCAGCGTCATGGATCCTTGAGTATGAGTCTCCAAAAGTTTGGTCAGGTGAGAGTGCCATGTACTTGCCACCTGTAAAATCAGACACAAAAAAGTAGTCAGGCACAAACTCACACACCAAAACACTATGTTTTCATGGAGGCATTTGCTGTTTTAATGCTACTAGACCAGTAAATAATCACGATAAAACTACAGTATTTTGTCTTCAATTTTTTACTGTGAGGCACTTATTACAATTTTACCTCAGTGTATAAGGAACTGGCAATATCCATCTTTTCTTGCTTGATAAAGACATTGGCCATCAGAAAGTAGCCACCACAAGTGACAATGTTATCCAAGCCATACTCCTCACTGGCATAGTACACCTGAAAACCAAAGAAACAGGTTCAGATGTGGAATATTGCAGCTCTATCCAAATAGGTAGTCAAAGTGCATTCATAATTCCTGAGATTCTCCACTGGTTGACTCAGCATATGTTTGGCATGGGGATAGCATCCCCATCCTTTAGTGGACACGGAGCGAACATTTTGGACATCCAAATGAGCATATGTATCAAGCATCTCAGAGTAGGAGTGCTGATCTAGGATCAGTTCTGCCTAGATCAGCTACTCTGAGACGGTTTAAAACAATACTGTAAAACTCCTTATAATCTGCACTGCAATCATTGTGTTTTCAGATTTTCAGGGTTGGGTATGTTACTTTCTAATCCATTACAGTTCCTAGTTACCTGTCCAAAACTGTAATCAGTAACATAACTTTTGGATTACACAAACTCAGTAATGCAATCTGTTTACTTTCAGTTACATTTAGATTACTTTCCCCTTAAAGGTCCAGTGCAGTCAAAAACTTGATTTTCCTGTGTTTTATATATATTTCCACACTGAGTTTGAAATAATACTGTGAAATTGTGAAAATTATGATAATGCCCTTTTGGTGTAAGAGCTATTTGAAAAGACCGCCTGACATTTCTGCCTGTTTTGGTGGGATGGAGTTCTGGCCTGCCTGGTGACATCACCAGGCAGTAAATTAGTTAATAGACCAATAAGAAAGAGAGTTCCAAACTTCTCTGCCAATAACAGCTAGTTTTCAGTTTTCCCCTCCCCACTCAGACCACTCCCAGACAGTCCTAGCAAAATTCTGGCTTGAGAAATTGCTCTTTGCTAAGAAGCTATTTTTGACCATTTTAACTGATAACAATTACAGTAGAAACTATTTGATATTGAGATAAAAACGACCTTTAAGAGGTGCTTGTTCTGGAGGCAGCTCTGCACAGTGGTCACTAACTGGCACAGCCACAAAGACATAAAATCAGATTTTAAACTTACCCCTAACCTTAACCACACTGCTAACCCTAATGCCTAGCCTAACCTTAAATGAAGACCAAAAAGCAAATGTTGGTTTTCATACATTTTCACATAGCCAATTTTGACTTTGCAGCTGGCCCATCTAGCGGAAATCGCTAAGTTCTGCCAGCAGTGTGATTCACATCAATGTTCTATGTAGATATCAATAATAACTGATATCAGTATCGCCTGTAGGCTACACCACTGCTGACGTCCTTACCTCCAAGTGTTTATTTAAACTGGATAATCTTTTGATGCCGACAGCAGTTGTACCATTGGAAGACATACTTGGACAGTAGCCTACAAAAGCCTATTCCTGCTATTTTCCCGCCATCCATAAAACACATTTGGTGAGTCATCATAGTTGTCTCAGGCGGAACAAACTTAAACTTGTGCCTTTTTTCAATGCTGATTTGAATGTCATTGATAAAACAGAAAGGTGTCAAAACCTCCTTTCTGAATTTAAAAGTAATCCTAGAAGTAATCATCTTGTTTTTCAAAAGTATCTGTAATCTCATTAGAATCTGATTTAGCTGGTAACGGATTACAGTTAAAGTTTAAAAAATATATGTTACATGTAATCCATTACTTCCCAACCCTGAGATTAGTAAAGGTGAAGGAGACACGCTAAATCCCATCTTTTCACCAAAGAAACAAAGAGAGGAAGCAACTTTTCACAATTGAAATGCACCCCTATAGTTTGGCTGCCATAGTAAATCTGTGGTTTTGAAGCACTGGTAGATTTGACCACTGATAAGCTTTGACACACACATCGTTGGCAAAGTGCAACAGCGCTCCCTCCAGGTTTTCTGTGGCGGTGTACAGGCGACCCAGGTTGCGGTGCAGCTGGTGGCGGACGGTCTGGCTACACTCAGGCGTCTTCATCACCGTCCACTCAGCCTGAGACAGGTACTCCTCTGCCTGGGCCAGACTGCCCAGACCTGGGGGGAGGGGAGCAGAGGAGTGGCTCATACGCAACACAACAACAGTCTATAGTTCAGTGGCATGGGTCACTCCACAGGTCAGAGTCATGTAGCAGGGTCAAGGGTCACATCCAGGTCAAAACTTAAAAACTACAGAGCTATGGGCCTACAGATCAGAGGTAAGGGTCTCAACATCTAAATCATGAATCTACAGGGCAGAATTATAGACTGTGAGCGCTGAATACTATCTTGAGATCCACGTGCGTATCTCTGACTTTTGTATAAATGTGTTGAATTTACACGGCTCCCAAGTAAGATTCGTCCCGAAAGGAATAGATCACTGTGTTTCAACAAAGAGTTCGACACAGATCAGCAATGATTTGATGAATCACTGAGTTCAACACAATGCTGAAAATGGACTGAAGACAGTGCAGGTTCTCTAAAATCTAATGTATCTACTACTACCCTTGCATGCATATTGTAAACACAATAGTATCTCATAGCTGCATTTGAATTGATTTGGTCTCTGCCTTCCCGTTGTTCTTTGGTAAAACTGCCAGCTCATGGGGAGTTTCCTCCTTCTTGTGACTCACCCACGTTGGCCTCGGCCAGCAGGAGGTATGCAGGGACCAGCTGGACAGCACTGGAACCGTAGACGTCCATTGCACAGCGCAGGGAGAGCTGGGCGGCAGGCAGTGACTCCTGGTACTTCCCCTCAAACAGCTTCTTCTGAGCCACAGCCCTGGAGATCTCAATCAGCTCCTCCTAAACAGGGGTTACACCAAGCAGAGACACTACAGTTACAGTACAGGACAGGGCATGCGTTTCAGTAGGTCTCATTGAGTTGTTTCCACCCAAAATCAAAGTTGTCAGACATTCCTTCAGACATCATTTGAGATTGAGGGCTACTGATTTCTCAAATGTGGTATAGGCTCTTAATTTAACAGATGGCATGGAATATGGACTCATCTTGTCCTTAAACAACTCTTTAGGTATGAAAATGTCTGACAAAACATTGATTTTGGGGTGAGCTTTCTCTATTCATGTTCATATTCATTAGACAACAAACAGTAGAAAAGGACTGAATGAGGGAGGGACTAACTGGACTTGTCCATAAGAACAGCTGGTTTTTGTTTTCCTTAAAAAAAAAAAATGTTTCACTATGGTGTGCCCTAATGAATAAGATCCTGGTGAGTGTCTGGTCCTCACTTGTCTGTGCAGTATCTGGGCGCAGTGGTGGTCTCTGTCCGCCTGCAGGCTGTGGAAGAGCGTTGCAGTGCGGATGGGGATGAGCAGCTGGCAGACCTTCTCATGGATCCCTACCCAGTCAGCCTGCTGGTGCTCCGTGTCACTGAAATAAAAAAAGAGACATGGGCTGCATTCCAATCCCAAAAATGGGCTCCTTTCCGTTTGTCCTAGCTGACCCCGCTGTGCGAATCACACAGGACTGGATGTGAGCAATGTGGTTTCTTACAGTACTTACTTTCACCAACTGGTACTCACTGTTTTCAGGAATTTTGTTTTGAAGACATTATAGCTGTACCTGTATGCCTGGCATGTCATGCGTAGATCAATTACAGTCGGTCTGTCTACAGAAACATTTTAAGGGTGGGATACAATTTGAGGACACTAGACTAGATAAGACATCAGTCTGCCTGTATAAGTCACATTGCCTTCTCTAACATTTAAATAAGAAGGCATAGGCCTAAGCTATGACTTGAATCATTCCATGTGCAACATCTTTCAATTCCCCTAAAGGTATCCTAAATTGTATGGCATTAAATAACAGGTTTATAATTTTGTGCATCTTGCTATTTTCCCAATGCTTTGGAACTGTCTGAGTTTCCTCATGTTTTCTTTCTGCGGTGCTTGTTCATTCCAATGTGTTTTTACTGGTCTGGATTTAAGGCAGTTCAGTCACGTCATGGCAATAACACAGCATATGGGCTGGCTCACGAGAGCTGAAATGTGCATGCACTGACTATGCACTCACACAAGAGTCAAGGGGCTCCTAAGGACACAGACCTGTACTTTCTCATTCATTGAAGGTCCCTAACTCAGTCTGTAGACCATAATGTATGGTGTGTTTGGCTGGTTGGGACTGCTCTCTGTTGCTCCAGAGCATGGCAGTGTTTATGCAGCCACTTGGCACAGAGACGTCTATTAATCCGGACGTAGGCAGACAGCTGGCCCTAGAGGTAGGCTAGTTTTCATACTTGCAGGATGAGAGAAATTAGTTTTAAAGGAAGAGACGCAGCAGGGGGACAGAGCCAGGGATATAACACGCTTTTAAGCTCCCTCAGAGGGAATGGCTTTAGTGTCTCATCCCTTAAAGCTTAGGGCTAGTGGAAGGCTGTCACCAAGAACTAGGCCATATTATGTACAGTGCCTTCAGAAAGTATTCATACCTCTTGACTTTTTGTTGTGTTACAGCCTGAATAATTTTTTTTATAATAATGTCTCACCCATCTACACACAATACCCCAGAATGACAAAGAGAAAACATGTTTTTAGAAATAGTTGCAAATGTATTGAAAATGAAATACATAAATATCTAATTTACATAAGTATTCACACCCCCGAGTCAATACATGTTAGAATCACCTTTGGCAGCAATTACAGCTGTCTTTCTGGGTAAGTTTTTAAGAGCTTACAACACCACTTCCAGCAGCATCTGGCCTCCCATCCAGGGATCGACCACAACCAACCCTGCTTAGCTTCAGTGGCAAGCCAGCAGTGGGCTGCAGGGTGGTATGCTGCCAGAGGACTTTCACTGTCTTCTTGGTAAGCAACTCCAGTGTAGATTTAGCCTTCTGTTTTAGGTTATTGCCCTGCTGAAAGGTGAATTCATCTCCCAGTGTTTGATGGAAAGCAGACTGAACCAGGTTTTCCTCTAGGATTTTGCCTGTGCTTTATTCCATTTATTTTTATCCAAAAAAAAACTCCCTAGTCCTTGATGATGACAAGCATACCCATAACATGATGCAGCCACCACCATACTCGAAAATATGAAGAGTCATACTCAGTGATGTGTTGTGTTTGTCCCAAACATAGAGCTTTGTATTCAAGACATAAAGTTAATTTCTTTCCCACATTTGTATTGTGTACAGGCTTCCTTCTTTTCACTCTGTCATTTAGGTTAGTATTGTGGGGTAACTACAAGGTTGTTGATCCATACTTAGTTTTCTCCTATCACAGCCATTAAACTCTGTAACTGTTTTAAATTCACCATTGGCCTCATGGTGAAATCCCTGAGCAGTTTCCTACCTCTCCGCCAACTGAGTTAGGAAGGGCGCCTGTATCTTTGTAGTGACTTGGTGTATTGATACAGCATCCAAAGTGTAATTAATAACTTCACCATGCTCAAAGGGATATTCAATGTCTGCTTTTTTTTGTTTTGACCCATCTACCAATAGGTTCCCTTCTTTGAGAGGCATTGGAAAACCTCCCTGGTCTTTGTGGTTGAATCTGTGGTTGAAATTCACTGCTCGACTGAGGGACCTTACAGATAATTGTATGTGTGGGGTACAGAGATGAGGTAGTCATTCAAAAATCATGTTAAACACTATTAGTGCACACAGAGTGAATCCATGCAACTTATTATGTGACTTGTTAAACTTATTTAGGCTTGCAATAACAAAGGGGTTCAATACTTATTGACTCAAGGCATTCCAGCTTTTAATTTGTTACACATTTGTTTTGTTTTTAAACAAAATACATAATTCCACTTTGACATTATGGGGTATTGTGTGTAGGCCAGTGACAAAAAATCTGTTTAATCCATTTTAAATTCAGGCTGTAACACAACAAAATGTGGAAAAAGTCAACGGGTGTGAATACTTTCTGTAGGTACTGTATTAGTAAGAAGAATAACTCTCCCAAAAGTAACAGATTCATCAAATATAGCAAACCAAATGGCAGGGCTGCTGTTCAGATGAGGAACGAATTAAGGATTGTGCTTTTAAATGTAGCATATATAAAACTAGAAATTCAGTAGGACTTGCTATTACATAAGGGTGCACTCTTTCAGAGACCGCATGATATGGCTTAGGCGTACTTCACTTGACATTCTTCTCTTAAAAATATCCTTCAAAAGAGCTAACTTGCTTTCCATCTGTTCCCAGTACCACATTTTGACTGAGGCCAACACAAGTCTGCTTTTAGTGTCTCTGACTATCTAGTAATACGTTTGTAGCTAACAAAACACTGCCACCTAGTATTGAAACTGGTCAGATTTATTTTTCATAAAACTTAAAGTCAGAAGCTGTGAACTACTGTAACTTACTAGCAAGTTGTTGTTCTTGGAGCCATATTAAAATAATGCCATTTTTATGGTCATTTAAGGCGTATCTATGCTAGCTAACTATGTCGACTACTACTTCATAAACTTACCAGTAGAAAGTGACCCGACACTTACTGCATTGCAGGTACGCAGGGTTTTGACAAAGCTCACATTGCTTTTTCGCTCCTCTTGGGTTTGCAAGTGGATTTATCGCTGACATCAGTGACGAAACATGAGATTTACTCTTCGTTATTGAGCTCATTATATAATAAACACAAGTTTACCCTATCTACTATTGCTCGCCAAGAAAAACCACTGAGGTGAGAAAAACGTTTCACATTTTGTTTCCTGAACGCCTCAAGTTGCTATGGAGACGACCTTTGAACATATTACTTGTTTAAAATAAGACAACAGCACAGAAACATAGGCATCAAACTAATACAAACAGATCGGCGTATAAGCGTTTGTTCTGTATAAACATATTTAACATTTGATCAAATAGATAAATCATTTATGATCAATCTTTCAACTACAGAGGACATTTTCCTGAATAAAAATGTGTTTTTGTGGTAGTGGAATAAAGTTTACACCCAGAATGTTGCATGTTTTTGATAGTACAGTGCAAATACTTGGATAATAAGGTTTTATTTTGTATCATTTAAGATACTGATGATTATGACAAAACTGTACATTTGTTTTTAATTCGTATACTGGAATTTATTTGTACACTAAGTGTACAAAACATTAAGCACACCTGCTCTTTCCATTACATTTTAGTCATTTAGCACATTGACAGATTTTTCACCTAGTCAGCTCTGGGATTAAAACCAGCGACCTTTCGGTTACTAGCACAACACTCTTAACCACTAAGCTACCTGCCGCCATCCATGACATAGACTGACCAGGTCAATCCTGGTGAATGCTATGATCCCTTATTAATGTCACTTGTTAAATCCACTTCAATCAGTTTAGATGAAGAGGAGGAGACAGGTTAATGAAGGATTTTTATGCCTTGAGACAATTGAGACATGGATTGTGTATGTGTGCCATTCAGAAGGTGAATGGACAAGACAAAAGATGTAAGTGCCTTTGAACGGGGTGTGGTAGTAGGTGCCAGGCACACCGGTTTAAGTGTGTCGAGAACTGCAATGCTGCTGGGTATTTCACGCTCAACAGTTTACAATGTGTATCAAGAATGGCCTGACGAATTGAAGCTGTTCTGAGGGCACAAGGGAATGCAACTCAATATTAGGAAGGTGTGCCTAACGTTTTCTACACTCAGTGTTTATATGTGTGTGTGTGTGGTATCTTGGTGGTATCTTGGCGCCAACGAAGATGGCAGACTTGCGACTAGCTCTTAGGAAACCTTGCGTTATTTTTATTTTTTTTATGTTTCCCGCTCCACGTGGTGAAGGTAGGAAACAACATCTCCACTTCGCTGATCCTCAACACTGGGGCTCCACAAGGGTGCGTGCTCAGCCCCCTCCTGTACTCCCTGTTCACCCATGACTGCGTGGCCAAGCACGCCTCCAACTCAATCATCAAGTTTGCAGACGACACAACAGTAATAGGCTTGATTACCAACAATGACGAGACAGCCTACAGGGAGGAGGTGTGGGGTCTGGAAGTGTGGTGCCAGGAAAATAACCTCTCACTCAATGTCAACAAAACAAAGGAGATGATCATGGACTTCAGGAAACAGCAGAGGATGCACCCCCCCTTTCCACATCGACGGGACCGCAGTGGAGAAGGTGGAAAGCTTCAAGTTCCTTGGCGTAGACATCACTGACAAACTGAAATGGTCCACCCACGCAGACAGTGTGGTGAAGAAGGTGCAACAGAGCCTCTTCAACCTCAGGAGGCTGAAGAAATTTGGCTTGGCACCTAAAACCCGCACAAACTTTTTATCAGTTTCCCGCTCTTTTATTGCCCACTCCCTTTGTTTATGGTGGCGGCTAAATTCGACTTTCATTCAGTTCAGAATCAATAGTAATACCATCAATCAATCCCTTATCTTGCAAAAACACTCATGTTTAGTTTAAACTGTGTTCAACCCCGGCTCTCCTGGGCTTTACCTGAAGACCGATTGTTGGACATGACAGGTCCCTAAATCCTAAACCCCCCCACACACAGTGAAATGATCCAATTAAGTTCCTGGCCCAATAACAAAGAACTCTAACTCTATATTCGTGATTAACCCAGTTTTATCTCATAGTCCACTAAAAAATCTCCATCAGGACCGAGAGAATGAAAAACAGCTTCTATCTCAAGGCCATCAGACTGTTAAATAGCCATCACTTGCACATTAGAGGCTGCTGCTGTCTATTGAAATCACTGGCCACTTTAAGAAATGGAACACTAGTCACTTTAATAATGTTTACATATCTTGCACTACTCATCTCATATGTATATACTGTATTCTATAATATTTAACTGTATCCAAGTCCATGCCGCTCTGTCATTGCTTGTCCATATGTATATTTTCTTAAATTCCATTCCTTACTTAGATTTGTGTGTATTGGGTATACAGTGGGGAGAACAAGTATTTGATACACTGCCGATTTTGCAGGTTTTCCTACTTACAAAGCATGGAGAGGTCTGTAATTATTTTTTTTATCCAGAAAATCACATTGTATGATTTTTAAGTAATTAATTTGCATTTTATTGCATGACATAAGTATTTGATCACCTACCAACCAGTAAGAATTCCAGCTCTCACAGACCTGTTAGTTTTTCTTTAAGAAGCCCTCCTATTCTCCACTCATTACCTGTATTAACTGCACCTGTTTGAACTCGTTACCTGTATAAAAGACACCTGTCCACACTCAATCAAACAGACTCCAACCTCTCCACAATGGCCAAGACCAGAGAGCTGTGTAAGGACATCAGGGATAAAATTGTAGACCTGCACAAGGCTGGGATGGGCTACAGGACAATAGGCAAGCAGCTTGGTGAGAAGGCAACAACTGTTGGCGCAATTATTAGAAAATGGATGAAGTTCAAGATGACGGTCAATCACCCTCGGTCTGGGGCTCCATGCAAGATCTCACCTCGTGGGGCATCAATGATCATGAGGAAGGTGAGGGATCAGCCCAGAACTACACGGCAGGACCTGGTCAATGACCTGAAGAGAGCTGGGACCACAGTCTCAAAGAAAACCATTAGTAACACACTACGCCGTCATGGATTAAAATCCTGCAGCGCACGCAAGGTCCCCCTGCTCAAGCCAGCGCATGTCCAGGCCCATCTGAAGTTTGCCAATGACCATCTGGATGATCCAGAGGAGGAATGGGAGAAGGTCATGTGGTCTGATGAGACAAAAATATAGCTTTTTGGTCTAAACTCCACTCGCTGTGTTTGGAGGAAGAAGAAGGATGAGAACAACCCCAAGAACACCATCCCAACCGTGAAGCATGGAGGTGGAAACATCATTCTTTGGGGATGCTTTTCTGCAAAGGGGACAGGACGACTGCACCGTATTGAGGGGAGGATGGATGGGGCCATGTATCGCGAGATCTTGGCCAACAACCTCCTTCCCTCAGTAAGAGCATTGAAGATGGGTCGTGGCTGGGTCTTCCAGCATGACAACGACCCGAAACACACAGCCAGGGCAACTAAGGAGTGGCTCTGTAAGAAGCATCTCAAGGTCCTGGAGTGGCCTAGCCAGTCTCCAGACCTGAACCCAATAGAACATCTTTGGAGGGAGCTGAAAGTCCGTATTGCCCAGCGACAGCCCCGAAACCTGAAGGATCTGGAGAAGGTCTGTATGGAGGAGTGGGCGAAAATCCCTGCTGCAGTATGTGCAAACCTGGTCAAGACCTACAGGAAACGTATGATCTCTGTAATTGCAAACAAAGGTTTCTGTACCAAATATTAAGTTCTGCTTTTGTGATGTATCAAATACTTATGTCATGCAATAAAATGCAAATTAATTACTTAAAAATCATACAATGTGATTTTCTGGATTTTTGTTTTAGATTCCGTCTCTCACAATTGAAGTGTACCTATGATAAAAATTACAGACATCTACATGCTTTGTAAGTAGGAAAACCTGCAAAATCGGCAGTGTATCAAATACTTGTTCTCCCCACTGTATGTTGTGAAATTGTTAGATATTAGTTGTTAGATATTACTGCACTGTCGGAGCTAGAAGCACAAGCATTTTGCTACACCCGCAATAACATCTGCTAAACACGTGTATGTGACAAATACAATTTGATTTGATTCTGTAAACAAAAAGCAACCTACCTCCTGTGCCATACTGTTCTGTGTCTTGTCTATTTTACTAGTAAAGTATTACACAGCAGATAACACAGTCCAGGTATTTAAGTTAATATTTTCAGAGGGTGAATGGGCAAGACAAAATATTTAAGTGCTTTTGAATGGGGTATGGTAGTAGGTGCCAGTCGCAGCGGTTTGTGTCAAGAACTGCAACGCTGCTGAGCTTTTCGTGCTCAACAGTTTCCCGTGTGTATCAGGAATGGTCCACCACCCAAGGTACATCCAGCCAACTTGACACAACTGTGGGAAGCATTGGAGTCAACATGGGCCAGCATCCCTGTGGAACACTTGACACTTTGTAGAGTCCATGCCCCGACGAATTGAGGCTGTTCTGAGGGCAAAAGGGGATGTACAACTCAATATTAGGAAGGTGTTCTTAATGTTTTTTTTTTTACACTTAGTGTATATAACCAAACAACTATTTGTGAACAGTACATACCTGCATCCCCCTTAATTCCCCCCTTGGTGTCAAGATCGTTGGAGGAAGTGGACCAATGCGCAGCGTGATAAGTGAACATACTTCTTTATTTAGAGTACCACAACGAACAAAACGATACGTGAAGTCCTTAGTAACAGCCACAAACCATACACGGAACAAGATCCCACAAACACTGTGGCAAAACAGGCTTCCTAAGTATGGTTTCCAATCAGAGACAACAATCAACAGCTGATTCACGTTGCCTCTGATTGAGAACCACACCGGCCAACATAGAAAACACATCAGCTAGATAATGAACCTAGAACACAAAATCATGGAAACTACACACCCTGGCTCAACATAACAGAGTCCCAGAGCCAGGGCGTGACACTTGGATGGGAGACTCTCACTCTGCAGTAGGAGAGAGGAGGCAGAGAGAGAGAGAGAGATGTCTGTTGATTTACCCCATTTATCCCAATTCACCAGAGAGAGAGACAGAGGGACACTGACCTTGAGGAGGTGGAGGTTGTCCTCAGTGTGTGAGAGCTGCTCCAGCTCTTCATGATTCCTGCAATCTGCCTTTCTGCTGCTTTCTGCTTCTTCTCAAGGTCAATAAGCTCAGTTCGGCTTCTCTCAATCAAGAGCTTCAGTTCACTTCTATACTTTAAACTGGACCTCCCGCTCACTGTCTGCAGTTCTCTTTAGAATAGTAAACAAAATTGTCAACTAAGTCACACATAGCAGTCATTGTGGGTTTTGACATTTTTGACTCACCTTGCTGAGCTCCACTGAGCATTTGACCTCTTTAACAATATCCATTATCTCCTGGATCATCTGCTGCATTTCTGACTTCACTTTCTTAACTGTAAAAAAAAATACATTTATAAAGAGATGTCTCATTGGTTTGTTCCTTACTAATGCATGGGTCCATCCTACACACACAGTACATACCAACTTTTTTCCCCACTCCCCCAGTGGTTTGTCAGGCTCCAAGTGAGTATGTGGATACATCATATACACCGCACACACCAAACACAGCACCAGGGCCATGAGATTCCATCCAGTGAAAACACTGCCAGGCTCTTCTTCTCCATGTCTAGCTGGGGCTGGGGCCGAGGTTAAGACTTGACATTGGACAGTATGTCTAGCTTTAGATTTCTCAACAGCCTCTCTGAGTGTTGTGTTGACAGTTACCTCATGTATTTTCTGGAATCTCTTATTACAGAGTGGACACCGGTACTGGTCACTGCTTCCCCAGTATCTACTGATACAGGCCAAGCAGAAGCTGTGTCCGCATGTGGTGGTGACTGGGTCTGAGAACATCTTCAGGCAGATGGAGCACTCCAAAATGCTGTTCAGACAGGAGACTGCTGGTGGCAGCCATAGCCTGGCAACAGACACATGTTGCTGTTATTGTTGTTGTGTCTACCCCTAGAGTTCAATGACTCCAAAACAAGTTCCAAAGACTATCAAACCAGTGTTTTACATGTATTGTTTTATTGCTTGTACATTGAACAGTTCAAAGTATGACAGCTTGCTTGTGTTGAAGAATCAGTAGATAGTTGTATTCAGACCTTTGAAGGGGTGACAGTAGACAAAGACGTGGCCTCGATAGCCTCCTTCAGCTGAGGATACTCATGTTTATCCCAAGGCTCCCTATCGCAGAAGCATTTCGAAATCTGACACACCCTCTTTGAATCAGCTGTTGTTTTTGCAGAAGAGAAAAGCATACACGTTTAAAAACGAAACGCTACTCATCTTTTATGTATGTAATGTCTGGCACCACATAAAATCAAGTCCTTTACTGTAACCCTATATCCAATCTGCATCACTTATGCCCTTTTGGCACACTGAATGTCGAATATCTAGAGTGGACTTGCATGCACACTAATGATTCATCTCTGTCTTTGATCCTTTCCTGACATAAGCCCATTGAGTTGAATTGTTGTCACGCCCTGGCTCTGGGGACTCTTAAATGTTGAGCCAGGGTGTGGATTTTTCATTGTTTAGTTTTCTATGTTTTTGTTCTAGATCGTGTTGATCTATGTTGGCCAGGGTGGTTCCCAATCAGAGACAGCTGTAGCTCGTTGTCTCTGATTGGGGACCATACTTAGGCAGCCTGTTGGCACCAGTTAGTTTGTGGGATCTTGATCCGTAAAGGTTTGGTGTGTGTAACCTCAGGACTTCACGTATCGTTGGTTTGGTTTTGTTCGTGTGTTAAGTACTAATTAAAGATGTACGCTTATCACGCTGCGCCTTGGTTCCACGAGTCTTCCTGTAACGATCGTGACAATTGTGTAGTAAACTGTTATCCTAGGTCCAGGAACACAACTATAACTATAGTGACCTTGCAGCTATCTTCATGTATGAATGGATCATTTCTAAAAAGAACAGGAAATTATCACTATTGGTAACTGTTACTGAATAGAACATGAAAGATGTATGTGGCGTGTTTTGTTCTGCACACTGAAAATAAGAGCATTTCAATCAAATAAATTAAAGAGAATATAATAAGAAACAACTAACTTCAACGTAAGTTCTATACGTTTTATTTAGGAAAGTTAGAGCAGCTCTAGCTGATAGGACTACATATTACAAATACAAAAATATATTTCCCTATTCATGTACATATATTTCAAATCAATACAAGCTTGATTCTGCAATATCAGGAACACCTCTTTGGTAGTTGTCATCGTTGGCTTCATAAGTCACCCAGGTTTACAATAAATACTGACTTGGAGCTTTCAGAATTTTTCAGACATAGATATTTTGGAAATAGGACAAATATATATAATTGCCTGTAGCACTGTATAGCGAAGCTCTATAGGCTACTAAACATGCTATATTCAAAAGCCTCACCAGATTCGCTTTTATCCAAGATCCAATCAATATTTGGATTGATCAGAAATAGCTGCTTCTATATGACAACAAAGTAACAGACCCAGATCTGGAGCTCCATCGCCTCTGATCTAATTATAGCTCAATGTCAACAACTAGGCTTTTTTTTGTGCTCAGTATTCACCTCTCTTCCCTGGTCACTCTTTCTTACGTAGGTGGATGTACATGACTCCACTGATCAGTAGCAGCGGTACACACACCCAGGCCAGTATGAAACAGTAGCCAAAATGTCCCTTGATCAGCTCTTGTGAGTCCTGGAGGATCTCTTGGTTGTGCAGTGTGTAGATGAGAGCAGCCGCAAATGCAGTGAGACCTAAGAGAATCAAAAGCCAGAGCTAAGTTAGGGGTATACTCAGTGCTTAACTTGGACTGAAATAGGTGCCTGTACTCATTTTGGGTGCCGTTACTGTTTATATTTAGGTGAAGGAGCTCCACAATAGTTTTGAGCTAATATTCTGTAAGAGGCGCAGGAGCTCAAGCAGTAGAAAAGTTTAGGTGCCGGTACTCAGCTCCAGTGAGATTCTGCCCAAGTCAAGCACTGAGTGTACTGTGACAGCAAAATGACACATTTCCGTTGAACAATAGACAATAAAGCATCTATTCTATTCTTTCCTGTAACACTCTTAAATTAGTCACATCAAGATAACTCTACTGTATACTGTGTTATGTTGTTGTTCCTGCCTGTTTTAGAATGAAATTATTCTGTGTGCGTTACCTCCCCGTAATCAACGAAAAGGAGCATCAGGTGTGAGTATGTGCCCACACCAATCAGAGTCTTGAATTCGCGCCTCCCGTCAGGTATAAAGAGCCTGAGTGTGGACTGTTCTGATGAGCTGTCAATGACTGATTGGTGTGGGCGATCAGCATAATGGCAGGAAGTAGGTGTGCTAAGGGTGCTGCAGCACCCCCTGATAAATTAATTAATTAATTGCAGCACCCCCAGTGCAAAACATCTTCCCGCTGCCATGCGTCTATTCCAAGTTCTCATAAATAACGTTTGCTTGCAGCTGAAAACGATAATTTGGATGAAAAAGTCACTAAATTGGAATCGCAGCACAAAAATTACATCCTGGATGTCAGCATGCATGGCAATGAAACTCCATGCACAATTTAGGCTCCCTGTTTATTTTATAGTGTCCAAAATAAAGGAAATAAATAATGAAATTAAGGAATGAAGGGGGAAGTTAAGCACCCCTATGATTTGATTGATTCCATACTGAAGAGGGCTTTGCTGAAGAGGCATTTGTTATTGATGTTGTCGTAGGTCTACTGTGGCATGTATTCATGAACAAGCTAATGGTTCGTCTTCTGGTTATTGCAAAGTGGTTGACTTGGGCCGCAACAACTGACACTCTATACCAGTGTTGAAATTATCCTATACTTTCATCAAATTGCTATATTACAACAACCGTAACACAGCACTGGAAAAACTTTCGGAGGTAGGCTGAAAAGATTTGAAGGAGACTGCAAGAGCAGTATTTCACCATAAGGGGAGCTCGTTGGTCTTTCACAGCATGAGTGAATGTTTGTAAACATTATCTAGCACTGATGGTTAGGACCATGCGTTTTTTCTGACCACATTACCTTTTCAAAATCAACTACAACAGGCCTGGTGGCAGATAGAGATGGTTCATTGTTTCACTTCATACCTGCAAAGACTTGACATAACCCAGTGAAGTAGAAGAGCCCCCCTTTGGACATTGTGAAGAGCTGCCCAAGGAAGACTAGGAAGGAAACTGAAGAGAAGACCACAGACAGCACCATCAACACCTGGACTGATTGGAGCCACTCTGAGGAAGGACAAGGAAAGATTTATCAATATGCACCTCAAACTGTCAGGGAAGGGAAGATTTCAATGATGTCATGGGGTAAAAAATATGTTTACCAGTCTCCTTGGTGGAGGCACACAACCAGGTTCCAGTGTCATTGTCAAATCTACAGTTATACCAGAGATCTGAGTTCTCCATCCCATCCCATACCCACCAGGACTAAGAGGGAAAGAGAGGCAGGAAACGTGTTCAAGTGAAGGGAGTGGTTTTGTTGTATGGTAAACATCTACTGTATGAGAAAAAGCTGAACTACTTTTATCACACATTTATATCTTAACTAACAATAATGAAAATATATATTGGTGAAGTAGGTCTCTCACCTTCTCCATGGTGGCAATGAAGAGCATGGCCAAGGTGATTAGATGCAGCAGGGTCACAAACATCAGCAAGTACGCCATCTGAACAAGGTCCCTGTCAGATAATGGAGATTGAAATCTGGCTGAAATCACAGATGGCTTGCACATAACAGGCAACATTTACTGTTTCAGTTCGGGCTTGGTTGGTGTTTTTATTGGTTTAAGGGCAGCCAAAACAATATTTTGATTATGGCAAAAAAAACTTGTGGTCTAGATGCTATAAAGTAATATTTGCAAATGTATGTTTTTCATCAGGTTCACCTCACAAACACTGCCGCACCTCCACATCCACCTCATAATATAGGTTTACTGTGCTTCCAGGGGTGTAAAGTATTTAAGTAAAAATACTTTAAAGTAACGTTTTTGGGGGTATCTGTACTTTTACTTTACTATTTATATTTATTACTTTTACTCCACCACATTCCACATTTTTTTTTGCCTACTTTTACTCCCATACATTTTCTCTGACACCAAGAGTACACATTTCGAATGCTCAGGCAGGACAGCAATATGGTCCAATTCACACACCTATCAATATAACATGTTGTCATCCCTACTGCCTCTTATCTGGCAGACTCACTAAATACAAATACTGTGTTTGTAAATTATGTCTGAGTGTTGGAGAATGCCCCTGTCTGTCTGTACATTTTTTTTAAAAACTAAATAATTCTGCTGTCTGGTTTTCTTAACAAAAGGAATGTAATGTATAGCATTTACTTTTACTTTTACTCAGGTATGACAATTGAGTATGTTTTCAACTACTGTACTTAAGTACATTTAAAACAAGTTACTTTTAGACTTTTACTCAAGTAATATTTTACTGGGGTGACTTTTACTTGAGTCATTTTCTATTAAGGTATCTTTGCTTTTACTCAAATGTGACAATTGAGTACTTTTTCCACCACTGTGTGCTTCTGAGCTCAAATAGATTTCACCCCAAACGCAAATGGAAAGTCTGAGCTGTGAAAAGGCCACAAAACAGAGAGCCAATTAACTCTTTCTAAAACGGCTCTTTGACTGGTCTGTGTCACTGTAATAAACATGTATTTAAACGAGAGGGCGGGGCTGGTTGAAATAAAAATTGTGTCACGTTATTTACTGAAGTAACCTCAAACGTCTGCAATGACGGAAAAGGGGAATACGTGCTTTACAATTTGGAGGAGTAAACTGGGCTAACAAATGGTTTTAATATTAGCTTTACAACATTTCAACTTGTAAAGAGCAAATCCAGTTTTGCTAAATAAATCATCAAATAGATGTTTACAACAACACCCGCAAACATTGAACATAGTCATAATATAGTAGTTTTGTAGTAGTATGGTGGTCAAAAACATAAAAATATAATTTTACCACAGGGGACATGATGAATTAGCCCAGCAAAAATGGTAGAACGATGAACACGTCTGTATAGATCTCTATCTTTAGGAGGGGCCCGATTTGGGGTGGGTAAATCATGATTGTCAAATTATACCATTAAATGAAACAAATTCCATCTGACAACTGAATGAAGGGCTTGGGTGTCTTAGATGTGACTGTATCGGTTAAGTTGAATGAGAATTAGCATGGAAATCAAAACATTTATAGAAAATGGCTTATCACAAGCTTTCTCAATTCTAAGACTTGTTCCATGCGTTATGCTCTGAATACTTCAGTCTGGTGATTTAAGAACATGTTTTTCTTCCATCATAAAGCCAGAATCTGACAAGTACGCCTATAAAACATTTATATAATAACATTTATATAATAAACCTCTGGTGAATGTACTCCAGAAAGTCCGAATTATCATTGAAGAATCTCTACTCACCTTAGTTTGTGTATTTCACGTTCCTCTGAATCAGGCCTCTCCTTCTGTACAACTCTGTAAGTTTCCCCTCTGGTGGTCCTCTCCTTGCCTCTCATGCCACTCCCCCTTTATTTTTTTCAATCACTCCATTTCCAAAGTTTCCATTAGGAGGAAAGGAGGAGGAATGCTGCAGAGTTTTTAAAAAAAGAAACCCTAAACGCCCATTTCCTTTTAGTTGAACAGAGCTCCCTTTGCTCTCCTGACTCCCTTCAGTCCAAAATCACCATCTCAAACCACACCCACCCTTGAGCAGTAGAACAGCAAGCCACATGAAAATATTTATACTGTAAACATTTCACGTTGAGTTAATCCCACATCTGGTGTCTATATGATCATACTGCACTAGTTATGATCACCCTATCTTTTAATCCCAAAGAAAGATAAATATGGAAAAAGAAAATACAAAAAAAATGCCACTTTAGAGTAGGAGTGTGCTAGGCCTAAATGCGGTGTACAGTACACAAACCATTATGTTAATTTGCATGTGCGTGTGGTGAGTTACAAAGCGACTGGCAACAGATAAATAGAAATGCAAATCATGCCACAAAGCAATTACATTCAATGACACACAGAAGGCTAAATATATATATAAGGCATTCATTTTCAGAGGAATTTACTGTACTGACCGAAATAAATGTGGGTGCATTCTGGCCCTCCTATTCCACACGTTGGTGTTTTCAGGTTTACAAAGGAGATACAGAACAACCAAATGTATTGTAATGAAACAGGCAGGGAGCAGGTCTCGAACCCTCAACCTTCTAGCCCGAAGTCCAGCGCGCCATCGACTGTTCCCCAAAAGCATGCTCCCGTGGCAGAGTCGATATCCGCGCTTAAATACCCAGGGATCAGTATAGAACGTGACTTTTTTTTTGTACATAGTTTTTTATTGTTACCATTTTCATGTTTTGTATAAAATGATTAGAGCCACATATTTCTCCTCATCATACAATAGATAGATTTTCCCATTTACCCCCTGTATCACCTGAATGGTATATTCCGTTGCCTAGGCGCTGGTAGAAGCGACCGACTTGTCCACACCTGCTGGCTACATCAGTGAGTGTTTGCTGCACCTGAGCTTCAGCGCTAGCTAGCTAGCTAGGTAGGTAGGTTGGTTTTGCCTGGTGCTGGAAGTGGCGGTGCAATAAGTTTGATCGAGCCAAGCGTCCAAGATTTGAAGTCGCTCAGTTGTGTCTACAACTTGTAATTAATAACTTTTTGGCGTGCATGCAGTCAGCGATCATTCGTTTAGCTGACGTTAGCAAGCTAGCAAGCTAACGTTAGCTAGCGCTAACTCTCTGTGATTGCTAACATTAGTAAGTCGTTCCTCTCTGACGTTGTCAGACATTTTGGGGAGAATGAGGAATTTTATCAAACTCCAGCTGGCTAATGTTGCACTGCCTCTATTTTATAGCTAGCTAATTAACTAAGGTTGTCTGCCTACTTGTTGTGAGACATTGCACCCTGTAATGTTATCAGTCAGACAGACATTAGTGCAAGCTTCAGAGTTTCGTTCTATATAGTAGCTAGCGTAACGTTAGTAGCCTATTCATAGACGCTAGCTAGTTAACTCTAGTGATAAAGGCAGTAGAATGGCAACTTGGGTTCTCGAGAGCAACTAACGTAGTAGTTGCTGCTGGACCATCATGACAGCTCCTCAAGATTAGTTTTTAGCAGCTAGCTAACTATAATCGGCTCGACTCTAAGCCTTGCTTAGCTTTAATCGTTTGCTCATTCCTTGCTCTGTTTATAGTTGCTCTGTCATCTTTTTCAGGTGATTGACTTGGGATGGACGGTCTAAACTACTGTCTGTGGATTTCGCTGGCTTGCATCCATCCTTGTCATGCATTTCAAACCACAAGCTGTTTAACAGTGTACCATGTAGCCTGCTACTTGGTAACTTTTTACTGAAGGAAACAGCATCACTTGCAGATGCAACTCCATTGGATCTAGCTAGTGTATGGACATGGATCATGATGAGGTAAACTCAAGCCTGAATTTGCTTATTTAAACGAGATAGGCATATGTATGAAGTCATCCAGCTTGATAATATGTTAATTTTAAACCTGCATGTCATGCAATGCAAATGTTTTAGTTGCTAATCTTCAGTAGCTAGTTCTAAGTCTAGGCCCAGGGCGCTATTTGCCCTTATCATGACTCCAATTGCATTGCATTGGAGTCATTCCACATCCCCTTTTGATTAGCTGAAGGGATTCAAGTGAGAAATGCTCTATCTAGAAACAAATGGATCCTTGATTGCGATACACTTTTGGAAACCTTGAACACCACTGAATTAGCATCCAAAAATAACTTTACAAATATTCAAGATACACTTACTGTTAGCTGTTTTACAGATTTCCACTGAGGTTTTTTGTTTAATGCAGCTACACGAGCCAACGTTTTTGTTGTTGTTCCCTCCCGAGTTTCCATTAACTCAGGAAGTGTTGTTGTAGTTCAGGTAAATGTGCAATGCAAAACAACTCTGTGGAATTATATTTTAAAAAATGCACAGTAGGTTTATATTTTGTATTTGTACAATTATTTCTCTGTGAAATGAAAGTGAAGTTCCAAAGGTTTCCAAAACCGTATCGCAAGTGAGTTTTATTAGCGTTTCTAAATGTTAAAACAGAGTGTTGGGATTGTAGTTCACATTGCCCAGCTGAGGTCCATACTTTCAACTGAGAACCCTAGGGCCGGCTGAATGTCCTCTTGGGTACTCGAGAGCTAGGGCCCTATGTGATAGCAAAGTATGAGAACAACTGACCTTTCAATTGGTTATAAGGGATGCCATGGAGAAGGGACACTATTTGTCAATCATAGTTTTAATTCTTTGGCAGTTCAGTTATTGTGAACTCACAACTAGCCTAACAAAACAATTTTGACTTGGCAGTAATATTTTCTGTTAGATCACAACAACAGGTGGGGGTGGATGAGACCTGATGCTCTGGGGCAGCTTGTTGAACCATTCTGCCTACTATCATGTTGAACAATGTCTTTAGTAGCCTTGTAGTCTCATCGTTGAATGATGAGCCGTGTCAGGTTACTGGGCTTGCAAATTACAGTATTGAATTCTATTTTAGGCTGTGTTTAGCGTTGGCAGTGGTCTCTGTGCGTGACCTCCCATGTGTCACAAAGGAGATCACATTACAGTTAAACTGACTGCTTTGCTGTTAAATCATTCAATCACACCAAATGGTACGACATGGCATCACCTGTAAAAAGGAAATAACTATGGCGTATCATTTTGTTTAATGCGTTTTGTTATGGCGCCCAGGTTCCGTCGGAGTTGGATCAGATTGCCCTGCGTCTGCAGGAGGGCGGCCTGGCTCACTCGGCAAGTCCGGAGGAGTGTCAGCGGCACCTGTGGCGTCAGCTCCTGCATTGTGAGGGAGACCTGCGCACAGCTACCCAGGAGCTGCACACACTGCGCACACAGCAGGCCACCGAGATGAAAGAGGTGAGGCACAGAGCTCAGCAGACACCACACTGTGATTACTCAGTCAGTGTGAACTGACTTGGGATCAGCATTTCCCATCACAGTTATCCCGCTAACCGTTTTGAAGTAAATTACACAACTGGTTCTGGAACAGTTGCCTAAGACATAATGCACATAACACACCAGGGGCCACAGACGGTAGGCTAGGATCTGCTATCTGATGCCTAGTTCTAAAGAATGGTTAATGAGGCGTTCATATCACATTTGTGCTGCTATCCTCCTTCTGGTGCACGAGGAAGCTGGTGAATAGTCTTGCCCACAGCTATCTTGTTTTAAAGCAAAACTATAGCCTACTGCAGGGTTGCCCAACCCTGTTCCTGGAGAGCTAACCTCCTGTAGGTTTTCGCTCCAACCCCAGGTGTTACTAACCTGATTAATCTTATCAGCCTGCTAATTATTAGAATCAGGTGTGCTAGATTAGGGTTGGAGCAAAAACCTACAGGACGGTAGCTCTCCAGGAACAGGGTTGGGCAGTCCTGGCCTACTGTATTCAGTCCACAAATTGCATTCTACATTTATTTTACATTTAACTCATGGTAGCAGTGTTTAGACAATCCAGAACTGAAAACGGGCAGCAAAAGTTCCAATGGGATTCAGTCAGCTCTGTCCAATTTAATACAGGTACTAGTAAAGTACTGGTCCGGTTCTCAATATCATCCCTACCAGGGGGGTAGCCTCATCCATGGACCAATGTCATTCATGGCTGGCTGTCGGTCTGTCTCAGGTGGAGAACTATGTGGAGCACATCCGTGGCCTGCTGGAGGAGCGTGAGTCTCTGACAGCCGAGTATGAGCGGGACAACGAGCAGCTCCATGCAGACCTCCAGCAGATTAGGCTCCAGCAAGGTATTTAGGCAAGATTAATGGAAGATGTATTCACTGGCACGCATTGTTGTCACTTAGCACACACTGTGAAAAGTTGTCTGAACAACAGTGTAGACACAGAATCTTGCTTATGTCTATCTCTACAAGTACCTGGGCGGTTGGGATTAGTAGCCGTTTGTGATTGGGCAAGACACTGCATTGACCCAATTACTCTCCTTTCCACTGTCTCACAGATTCACAGAGGAAGGAGGTGGTGGAGATGCTGGCCCAGGAGGACTTGGGTGAAATTGGCCTCAGCAGCACCAGTGAGCAGGTGGCCTACCTGCTGGTGGAGAGGGCCACGCTGTTGGAGAGACTGGAGGCTGCAGAGAGGAGGCTGGACACGCAGAGCCTCACAGGCAACCTCAGGGAGGTCCACCTGCAGGTAACGGACTATGTTTTTATTGGTTATTTTCTATCTTGTTTGTGTTCCACAATGAAGGCTATAAGTAAAGCTGTTTTCAAATACAGTCAATTAAATGTATGTAAATCACGGAATGCAGTTTTAAATGTATGTGACTGTCCTGGGGTGTGGGGTTGCTGTGTTTCACAGGACGAGCTGGATCATATTCGCCACACTATGGAGGAAGAGTTAAGACAGCAGAGGGAGACTATGCAGTGTACCAAAGAAAGCATGAACCAGGTGAAGAGGGATAACTATAGATATCTGGGTGGAAAACCTCCTCTTGCTTTAGACTAGTCAGCATCTCTCTCAGGTTATGAAAGAAAAGAGATCTGGAAGTGAAATCTGACTTTAAAGAGCCAATCTGCAAATGCTACATACATTTTTGGACTTTTAAATTCATTATATATACCCATTGATTATTGAAGAATATAAGTTATAAATACCTCATGAGCTTAGTTCAATTGTCGTACCCCATCAGAACCCCAAAATACAAACTCATTTGTTTGTAAACAATTAAATTTTAAGCAAACACTGTATAGCCTCAAAACATGGTTAAAACCATAATTTTGATATCATGGATGGTCCGTTGAAATGGTTACATTTCTCCAGCCCTAGCCCTCATCTGTTTACCTAAACAGTGACTGGGTGTCACTTTGTTATTGTTGAAACTGCAGATTGACCCTTTAATTTAAAAAAATGTATTTAGCACAGGGTTTCCCAAACTCGGTCCTCGGGACCCCAAGGCCCTAACACTACACAGCTGATTTCAAATAATCAACTAATCATCAAGCTTTGATAATTTGAATCAGCTGTGTAGTGTTAGGGCAAAAATCCCCCTTGGGGTCCTGAGGACCGAGTTTGGGAAACGCTGATTTAGCGTCTAAGTTGATACCGCCTTGACGCAGCTGGCATTGATCCTGGACAGTGGGGACACCCTCATAGGTTCTCTTGTCAATCCTTCTGCCCCGTGGTCTTTCTTCCCAAGGAGCAGCAGTCTCCAGCTCAGAGGCCTTGGAAGAAGCTGTTTGGCCTACGCAAGTCCTCACAGAGCACACACAATGGTGCCCCTGTAGGTCCCCATCTTATCTGCCATATCCAACTAACCATGATATTGTAATGACTTGAGGCAAGATTGCATGGGTCAACTTTTCTGTGGTTCTTCCTTTCAAGTCCTATTTCAGAGCCGTACTACTGTTGGCAAGGCATCCACGACACTGCTCACATTGCTAACCCTGGAGCCTTACTAACTGCTTAAATATTTAAATTTTTTAGACTGGCATTTTGAATGGCATGGGCATTGGGAGTTATGGGTCTGGTGGAAATTGTCCACGTTTATATGAAGCTCTGTAAACGTAATTATTACCAAGAAAAATAAAGTATCAATATGGGTTTTTTAGTTGGGTTTCAGCTTCAGTACATTTATGTACTCTATCAGATGCAAATATCTATAAACATTTTATCCATATTATTGCCACACATGCATTTGTTTAAAGTTCTAACGCCAACATGGTATCTTGACTCCGTAGTATTTGCTCTCCCTCTGTCTCAGGTCCGCAATGAGGACGTATCCCAGGAGCGTTCCGAGCGCCAGCGGCTGGAGAGGGATCTGGAGGAGGCAGCTCGGAGGCTTTCCATGGCCCACGAGGACATCCGCAGACTGACAGACGAGCTGGAATCTGCCAAGAAGACCCAGGCCATGTGTGGTATGAGACAACAATATTATCTTTCTCATTATATTGTACAGGTAACTACCAAAATAAAACACCAACATAAAGTGTCTTAATAGGGCGTTGGGCCACCACGAGCCTGAACAGCTTCAATGCACCTTGGCATAGATTCTACAAGTGTCTGGAACTCTGTTGGAAGGATGTGACACCATTCTTCCGTGAGAAATTCCATCATTTGGTGTTTTGTTGTAGGTGGTGGAAAACGCTGTCTCAGGTGCCGCTACAGAATCTCCCATAAGTGTTCAATTGGGTTGAGATCTGGTGACTGAGACGGCCATGGTATCAAACCATTCAGTGACCACTCCGTGCCCTTTGGATGGGGGCATTGTCATCCTATGGGGGCCTAGACATGGTAGCCAAAATAATGGCCTAAACATTTTTATACATTACCCTAAGCATGATGGGATGTTAATTGCTTAATTAACTCAGGAACCACAGCTCTGTGGAATCACCTGCTTTCAATATATTTTGTATTCCTCACTTAAGTGTTTCCATTATTTTAATAATAATAATAATATGCCATTTAGCAGACGCTTTTATCCAAAGCGACTTACAGTCATGCGTGCATACATTATTTTATTTTTTTGTGTATGGGTGGTCCCGGGGATCGAACCCACTATCTTTGCCTTACAAGCGCCGTGCTCTACCAGCTGAGCTACAGAGGTTACCTGTAGTACCAAGCAATAACATGAACACCTTCTCACTTCTGAGTTGACTAATATAAAATAGAATGTAATTGATATTCCCCTACACATTTTCTTAGTACACTATTTGCTGGGCAGTTCAGGGTGCATCCTGCAGTCACACAAATAAAATCAGCATTTGGTCTTATCAATCTGTGTTACGGCCCAACAATAACCGGAAGACAAACCATTAGCCAAACACATCAATACATTCCACGTCACAAGTTTGGCTTCTCGTCATCAGACGAGTGTTGGAAGGGTGGATGGTGTAAGTGGTTTGGCGTGAGTGGTCGTGGCAGCAAGAGGACAGAGTAGGAGAAAGTGGTTGAGATGCCACCCTGGCTGCACATTTGTGGTACCCGATGAAGGCAGAACCCCCGTAGTGGACAGATAGGTAAGCCAGCAAATGACAGGATCAACAGGAGAAGCAGCAGGAAACTCCGTAAAGGAGGCGAGGCCTATAAAATGCACAAATATTGATTAAACATTTTATATAACAGGCAGGCTTACATTTGATGCAGTGTTAAATGTGTGCACGTATAGCCTACTTGTAATTACTTTAAATATTTTATAATACTTGGGTCATTCCACAAATAGAGTGCCTTTTGGGTAGTGTATTTTTGTCAGAAATTATTATTTAATCTAATTTTAACATTGTTATAAAGAGCATGTCTTCAACTTCATAACAAACATGTTTTCCCAGGTTAAATTAGTCATATTACAGAAATTCTGCCTAAGTTCACCCAGTAATTTTGAAACTAGTGCTCACTAGCCAAAATGGATCCCCGTAAATTGTGTACAACGTCATATAATGTGTATCATGTAATTGTTCTCGAGCCCTGCAGCATGTGCACAAAGAGAGTAAAAAAAACTGTGGTGTGCTTGGGCCAACTCTGCAACCTCATTGGACAATTCTGGGCTGACCTGATCCCGCCTCCCACCTGGTGTTTATTTGCTAAAATGGAAAGTGATGCCCGGCCATTATAAAAAACCTGCATGTGTTGGAGTCAATTATGTATATATATCCTAGATGACTGACGGGGCGCTGTTTTTAAGCCATTGCGGAGCCATTTTTGTACTCCACCATTACCATTGTAAAAAAAGCATTTGGAAGCTATATAAATGCATTTACAGTGCATTCGGAAAGTATTCAGACCCCTTTACTTTTTCAACATTTTGTTACGTTACAGCCTTACTCTCAAATGGATTAAATGAAATGTTTTCCTCATTAATCTACACACAATACCCCATAATGACAAAGTGAAAACAGGTTTGTAGAAATGTTTGCGCATTTATATAAAAATTAAAAACAGATACCATATTAACATAAGTATTCAGACCCTTTGCTATGAGACTCGAAATTGAGCTCAGGTGCATCCTGATTCCATTGATCATCCATGAGATGTTTCTACAATTTGATTGGAGTCCATCTGTGGTAAATTCAATTGATTGGAAATGATTTGGAAAGGCACACACCTGTCTATATAAGGTCCCACAGTTGATAGTGCATGTCAGAGCAAGAACCAAGCCATGAGGTCGAAGGAATTGTCCGTAGAGATCCGAGACAGGATTGTGTTGAGGCACAGATCTGTGGAAGGGTTCCAAACTATTTCTGCAGCTTTGAAGGTCCCCAAGAACACAATGGCCTCCATCATTCTTAAATGGAAGAAGTTTGGAACCACCAAGACTCTTCCTAGAGCTGGCTGCCCGGCCAAACTGAGCAATCGGGGGAGAAGGGCCTTGGTCAGGGAGGTGACCAAGAACCCGATGGTCACTCTGACAGAGCACCAGAGTTTCTCTGTGGAGATGGGAGAACCTTCCAGAAGGAGAACCATCTCTGCAGCACTCCACCAATCAAGCCTTTACGGTAGAGTGGCCAGACGGAAGCCACTCTTCAGTAAAAGGCACATGACAGCCCGCTTGGAGTTTGCCAAAAGGCACCTGAAGGACTCTCAGACCATGAGAAACAAGTTTCTCTGGTCTGATGAAACCAAGATTGAACTCTTTGGCCTGAATGCCAAGCGTCACATCTGGAGGAAACCTGGCACCATCCCTATGGTGAAGCATGGTGGTGGCAGCATCCTGCTGTGGGGATGTTTTTCAGCGGCAGGGACTGGGAGACTAGTCAGGATCGAGGGAAAGATGAACGGAGCAAAGTACAGAGAGATCCTTGATGAAAACCTGCTCCAGAGCACTCAGGACCTCAGACTGGGGCGAAGGTTCACCTTCCAACAGGACAACGACCCTAAGCACACAGCCAAGACAACGCAGGAGTGGCTTCGAGACAAGTCTCTGAATGTCCTTGAGTGGCCCAGCCAGAGCCCGGATTTGAACCCAATCGAACGTCTTTGGAGAGACCTAAAAATAGTTGTGCAGCGATGCTCCCCATCCAACCTGACAGAGCTTGAGAGGATATGCAGAGAAGAATGGGAGAAACTCCCAATATCGGTGTGGCAACCTTGTAGTGTCATACCCAAGAAGACTCGATGCTGTAATCGCTGCCAAAGGTGCTTCAACAAACTACTGAGTAAAAGGTCTGAATACTTATTTAAATGTACTACAGTGGGGGAAAAAAGTATTTAGTCAGCCACCAATTGTGCAAGTTCTCCCACTTAAAAAGATGAGAGAGGCCTGTAATTTTCATCATAGGTACACGTCAACTATGACAGACAAAATGAGAAAATAAAATCTAGAAAATCACATTGTAGGATTTTTAATGAATTTATTTGCTAATTATGGTGGAAAATAAGTATTTGGTCACCTAGAAACAAGCAAGATTTCTGGCTCTCACAGACCTGTAACTTCTTCTTTAAGAGGCTCCTCTGTCCTCCACTCATTACCTTTATTAATGGCTCCTGTTTGAACGTGTTATCAGTATAAAAGACACCTGTCCACAACCTCAAACAGTCACACTCCAAACTCCACTATGGCCAAGACCAAAGAGCTGTCAAAGGACACCAGAAACAAAATCGTAGACCTGCACCAGGCTGGGAAGACTGAATCTGCAATTGGTAAGCAGCTTGGTTTGAAGAAATCAACTGTGGGAGCAATTATTAGGAAATGGAAGACATACAAGACCACTGATAATCTCCCTCGATCTGGGGCTCCACGCAAGATCTCACCCCGTGGGGTCAAAATGATCACAAGAACGGTGAGCAAAAATCCCAGAACCACACGGGGGGACCTAGTGAATGACCTGCAGAGAGCTGGGACCAAAGTAACAAAGCCTACCATCAGTAACACACTACGCCGCCAGGGACTCAAATCCTGCAGTGCCAGACGTGTCCCCCTGCTTAAGCCAGTACATGTCCAGGCCCGTCTGAAGTTTGCTAGAGTGCATTTGGATGATCCAGAAGAGGATTGGGAGAATGTCATATGGTCAGATGAAACCAAAATATAACTTTTTGGTAAAAACTCAACTCGTCGTGTTTGGAGGACAAAGAATGCTGAGTTGCATCCAAAGAACACCATACCTACTGTGAAGCATGGGGGTGGAAACATCATGCTTTGGGGCTGTTTTTCTGCAAAGGGACCAGGACGACTGATCCGTGTAAAGGAAAGAATGAATGGGGCCATGTATCGTGAGATTTTGAGTGAAAACCTCCTTCCATCAGCATGGGCATTGAAGATGAAACGTGGCTGGGTCTTTCAGCATGACAATGATCCCAAACACACCGCCCGGGCAACGAAGGAGTGGCTTCATAAGAAGTATTTCAAGGTCCTGGAGTGGCCTAGCCAGTCTCCAGATCTCAACCCCATAGAAAATCTTTGGAGGGAGTTGAAAGTCCGTGTTGCCCAGCGACAGCCCCAAAACATCACTGCTCTAGAGTAGATCTGCATGGAGGAATGGGCCAAAATACCAGCAACAGTGTGTGAAAACCTTGTGAAGACTTACAGAAAACGTTTGACCTGTGTCATTGCCAACAAAGGGTATATAACAAAGTATTGAGAAACTTTTGTTATTGACCAATTACTTATTTTCCACCATAATTAGTAAATAAATTCATAAAAAATCCTACAATGTGATCTTCTGGACATTTTTTTCTCATTTTGTCTGTCATAGTTGACGTGTACCTATGATGAAAATTACAGGCCTCATCTTTTTAAGTGGGAGAACTTGCACAATTGGTGGCTGACTAAATACTTTTTTCCCCCACTGTATTTCATTTTTTTCAATTTTAAAAACAATTGCAAAAATGTCTAAAAATCTGTTTTTGCTTCGTCATTATGGGGTATTGTGTGTAGATTAAATTGTTTATTTTTCTCATCAATCAATTTTAGAATAAGGCTTTAATGTAACAAAATGTGGAAAAAGTCAAGGGGTCTGAATTCTATCCGAATGCACTGTATATCTACATTCCTTTTAGAATGTTCTATTAGACACCTTAATGCATACATTAAACTAATAATCTGCAATTCATATGATATGTTACGAATTCCAGTTCGTACAATATTTTACGAATTTTTATGTGCTTAAGATCCCATTTAATCTCTTTAAATACATAACATTTTGTCCTTGAAACATTGTAGAATTCCATTAATTCCTAGTACCAATAAGGCGGACAGTGCCTTGAAAGTCTAATTTGCCAATACATGTGAGCAATCAAGGGTTTATATACAGTCAGATGTTATGGGGCTATTTTGCTTCCACTGGTCCTGGGGCCCTTGTTAAGGTGAACTTTACCAAGTACCAGGACATTTTAGCCAAAAACCTGCTTGCTTCTATCAGGAAGCTGTAACTTGGCCGCAAGTGGATCTTCCAGCAAGACAATGACTCCAAGCACACCACAAAATCCCCCACCAAATCTTAATTGACCACAAAATCAACATTTCGCAATGGCGATCTCAGTCTCAGGACTTGAACCCCATCGAAAACCTGTGGTTTGAATTTAAGAGGGGCAGTCCATAAGAGCAGATAAAGTGTATCAAGGATCTTGAAAGATTCTTTATGGAGGAATGGTCTAAACTTTTTTTTTACCCCATTTTCTCCCCAATTTGGTGATATCCAATTGGTAGTTACAGTCTTGTCCCATCGCTGCAACTCCCGTACGGACTCAGGAGAGGCGACGGTCGAGAGCCATGCGTCCTCCAAAACACGACCCTGCCAAGCCGCACTGCTTCTTGACACACTGCTCACTTAACCCGGAAGCCAGGCGCACCAATGTGTCGGAGGAAACACTGTACAACTGGCGACCGTGTCAGCGTGCATGTGCCCGGCACGCCACAGGAGTCGCTAGAGCGCAATGGGACAAGGACATCCCGGCCGGCCAAACCCTCCCCTAACCCGGACGACGCTGGGCCAATTGTACGCCGCCTCATGGATCTCCCGGTCACGGCCGGCTGCGACACAGCCTGGGATTGAACACGGGTCTGTAGTGACGCCTCCATCACTGCAACGCATTGCCTTAGACCGCTGCACCACTCAGGAGGCCACACATTTTATTTCTTATGATTTTAACACACAACGGGAAGGAAAGGAGAATATGCCGCTGTGTGGCATCACCATGAAAGGATTGCTAATGTTCAGGAGGGCAGTTCATCCCTTTTCCCCATGACATGAGAAATGTTGGGAAATTTTAAAAATATTTGAAAACAATGTAATAAAGTGTGATATTAGTGACAGAAATGCTGGAGTAATAGAAGTGTGTAGCCTACTCTTAAAATCATGTCACAATTTGTCATTTGTAAAAAATGTAGGACCTGAGCTTGAGCGAACTGGTCAAGAGGTGGAGAGCCTGAGGAAGGAGGTGGACAAGCTGAAGCAATGTGGTGAGATACTACTTGACCTTGATAGTTCCTCTTCCATCTAATTTTTCTTCACAATCCATATTAACACTGAGTCCTAACAAGCGCCGTTATTGACTGGAGCCAGTTGGTGACTTATGCACACCAAGTGTGTAAGATAGGCTAACTTAAACTACTGTTACGAAACAAACTAGCCAGCCTACAGAAAACTCTACTCTTGCTATATCTAGGGGTTCTGTGTGTGTGTGTGTGTGTGTGTGTGTGTGTGTGTGTGTGTGTGTGTGTATACATACATACATACATACATACATACATACATACATACATACATACATACATACATACATACATACATACATACATACATACATACATACATACATACATACATACATACATACATACATACATACATACATACAGTAGCAGTCAAAGGTTTGGACACACCTACTCATTCAAGGCTTTTTCTTTATTTGTACATCAAAACGACATCAAAACTATTAAATAACACATATGGAATCATATTTTATATTTGACATTTTTCAAATAGCCACCCTTTGCCTTGATGACAGCTTTGCACACTTTTGGCATTCTCTCAACCAGCTTCACCTGGAATGCTTTTCCAACAGTCTTGAAGGCGTTCCCACATATGCTGAGCACTTGTTGGCTGCTTTTCCTTCACTCTGCTGTCCGACTCATCCCAAACCATTTCAATTGGGTTGAGGTCGGGGGATTGTGGAGGCCAGGTCATCTGATGCAGCACTCCATCACTCTCCTTCTTGGTAAAATAGCCCTTACACAGCCTGGAGGTGTGTTGGGTCATTGTCCTGTTGAAAGTTCAAAGTACTTGAAATGTTCCGTATTGACTGTCCTTCATGTCTTAAAGTAATGATGGACTGTCGTTTGTCTTTGCTTATTTGAGCTGTTCTTGCAATAATATGGACTTGATATTTTACCAAATAGGGCAATCTTCTGTATACCCCCATACCTTGTCACAACACAACTGATTGGCTCAAATGCATTAAGAAGGAAAGAAATTCCACAAATTAACTTTTAAGAAGGCACACCTGTTAATTGAAACGCATTCCAGGTGACTACCTCATGAAGCTGGTTGAGAGAATGCAAAGCTGTCATCAAGGCAAAAGGTGGCTATTTGAAGAATCTCAAATATAAAATATATTTTGATTTAATTAACACTTTTTTGGTTACTACATGATTCCATATGTGTTATTTCATAGTTTTGATGTCTTCACTATTATTCTACAATGTAAAAAAAAGAAAAAAAAAAGAAAAACCCTTGAATGAGTAGGTGTGTCCAAACTTGACTGGTTGTATGTGTGTTGTACAGTTGAAGTCGAAAGTTTACATACACCTTAGCCAAATATATTTAAACTCAGTTTTTCACAATTCCTGACATTTTATCCTAGCAAAAATTCCCTGTTTAGGTCAGTTAGGATCACCACTTTATTTTAAGAATGTGAAATGTCAGAATAATAGTAGAGAGAATGATTTATTTTCTGCTTTTATTTCTTTCATCACATTCCCAGTGGGTCAGAAGTTTACATACACTCAATTAGTATTTGGTAGCATTGACTTTAAATTGTTTAACTTGGGTCAAATGTTTCGGGTAGCCTTCCACAAGCTTCCCACAATAAGTTGGGTGAATTCTGGCCCATTCCTCCTGACAGAGCTGATGTACTGTAACTGAGTCAGGTTTGTAGGCCTCCTTGCTCACACACACTTTTTCAGTTCTGCCCACAAATGTTCTATAGGATTGAGGTCAGGGCTTTGTGATGGTCACTCCAATACCTTGACTTTGTTGTCCTTAAGTAATTTTGCCACAACTTTGGAAGTATGCTTGGGGTCATTGTCCATTTGGAAGACCAATTTGCGACCAAGCTTTAACTTCCTGACTGATGTCTTGAGATGCTGCTTCAATATATCCACATAATTTTCCTTCCTCATGATGCCATCTATTTTGTGAAGTGCACCAGTCCCCCCTGCAGCAAAGCACCCCCACAGCATGATGCTGCCACCCCCGTGCTTCACGGTTGGGATGTTGTTCTTCGGCTTGCAAGCATCCCCCTTTTTCCTCCAAACATAACGATGGTCATTATGGCCAAACAGTTCTATTCATCAGACCATAGGATATTTCTCCAAAAAGTACGATCTTTATGGCAGTTTTGGAGCAGTGGCTTCTTCCTTGCTGAGCGGCCTTTCAGGTTATGTCAATATAGGATTAGTTTTACTGTGGATATAGATACTTTTGTACCTGTTTCCTCCAGCATCTTCACAAGGTCCTTTGCTGTTGTTCTGGGATTGATTTGCACTTTTCGCACCAAAGTACGTTCATCTCTAGGAGACAGAACGCGTCTCCTTCCTGAGCGGTATGACGGCTGTGTGGTCCCATGGTGTTTATACTTGCGTACTATTGTTTGTACAGATGAACGTGGTACCTTCAGGCGTTTGGAAATTACTCCCAAGGATGAACCAGACTTGTGGAGGTCTACAATTTCCTTTCTGAGGTCTTGGCTGATTTCTTTTGATTTTTATATTCAGACCCCTTGACTTTTTCCACATTTTGTTACGTTACAGCCTTATTCTATTATTTATTTTTTTTCTACACACAATACCCCATAATGACAAAGCAAAAACAGGTTGTTAGATTTTTTACAAATATTTATTACAAATAAAAAACATGAAATATCACATTTACTTAAATATTCAGTCCCCTTACTCAGTACTTTGTTGAAGCACTTTTGGCAGCAATTACAGCCTCGAGTCTTCTTGTGTATGACGCTACAAGCTTGGCACACCTGTATTGGGGGAGTTTTTTTCCATTCTTCTCTGCAGATCCTCTCAAGCTGTGTCAGGATGGATGGGGAGCGTTGCTGCACAGCTATTTCCAGGTCTCTCCAAAGATGTTCGATCGGGTTCAAGGCCAGGCTCTGGCTGGGCCACTCAAGGACGTTCAGAGACTTATCCCGAAGCCACTCCTGCATTGTCTTGGCTGTGTGCTTAGGATCGTTGTCCTGTTGGAAAGTGAACCTTCGCCCCAGTCTGAGGTCCTGAGCGCTCGGGAGCAGGTTTTCATCAATGATCTCTCTGTACTCAGCGCCGTTTATCTTTCCCTCGATCCTGACTAGTATCCCAGTTCCTGCCGCTGAAAAACATCCCCACAACATGATGCTGCCACCACCATGCTTCACCGTAGGGATGGTGCCAGGTTTCCTCCAGACGTGACGCTTGGCATTCAGGCCAAAGAGTTCAATCTTGGTTTCATCAGACCAGAGAATCTTGTTTCTCATGGTCTGAGAGTGCCTTTTGGAAACTCCAAGCAGGCTGTCATGTGCCTTTTTCTGAGGAGTGGCTTCTGTCTGGCCACTCTAACAATAAGGCCTGATTGGTGGAGTGCTGCGGTGATTTGTTGTCCTTCTGGAAGATTCTCCCATCTCCACAGAGGAACTCTTGAGCTCTGTCAGAGTGACCATCGGATTCTTGGTCAACTCCCTGACCAAGGCCCTTCTCCCCCGATTGTTCAGTTTGGCCGGGCGGCCAGCTGTAGGAAGAGTCTTGGTGGTTCCAAACTTTTGCAGTTTAAGAATGATGGAGGCCACTGTGTTCTTCGGAACCTTCAATGCTGCAGACATTTTTTGGAACCCTTCCCCAGATCTGTGCCTCGACACAATCCTGTCTCGGAGCTCTACGGACAATTCCTTCGACCTCATGGCTTGGTTCTTGCTCTGACATGCACTGTCAACTGTGGGACCTTATATAGACAGGTGTGTGCCTTTCCAAATCATGTCTAATCAATTTACCACAGGTGAACTCCAGTCAAGTTATAGAAACATCTCAAGGATGATCAATGGAAACAGGATACACCTGACCTCAATTTTGAGTCTCATAGCAAAGGGTCTGAGTACTTATGTAAATAAGTAAAAATGACTAAAACCTGTTTTTGTTTTGTCGTTATGGGGTATTGTGTGTGTAGATTGATGAGGGGGGAAAAAACAATTTAATCCATTTTAGAAAAAGGCTGTAACGTAACAAAATGTGGGAAAAGTGAAGGGGTCTGAATACTTTCCGAGTGCACTGTAGTATCACTTATTAAGTAGCACTTCATTTGGGGAGGTCCATGTGAAGCCCCTCTACACAATGCCTTTTTGTTTTCTTCAGATATGCTGGAGCTGCAGAGAGCGAAGGAGCACAACGAAAGACTGGATGGGGAAATCCGGGTTCTGAGAGAGCGAGTGCGCTCCCTGGACTCTGAGAAGAAAACCCTGTTACAGATGGTGGGCATTAACTAAACATAGGCCTACTGTTGGGCCCTAAAATATTGGGTAACCATATATTACCTAACTGATTCTTTGTAAGCTCGAACAATAATGTCACAGACTGCCAAACTCCCAGCACTATGTGATGTGGTTAGTACTTGTATGATCCTTGTGAGATAGAAAGAGGATGTGTTTCCTGTACAGAAGGAATGATGTGTGTACACCGACGTGTGTATTTGTCAGGGGGAGGGCAATGGCAGTGAGCACCATAAAGACCTGCCTACGCTGTTGTTGACAACATCGACACCTGACGAACAGGAGCAGATTCATAAAAGGTATGGATGCACCCTCAGCCCCTCTGCAGTAAATACGTTTATCCTACATCTGTAGAATCATTCTGTTCAGAGGTCTTTCTCTGGTTGTGCTGACCAGGAGTCACCTCATGTCAGTCATGTCCACATGTCAGTCATAAGAAGTAGCATTCACTCTATTCAATCAAATGTATTTAATAAAGCCCTTTTTATATCAGCAGTTGTCACAAAGCGCTGTATTGCCATTAATCAATGATCTGACCTATTTCTTGTTCTGTCTCTTTCTCACACTCTCTCCCTCTTTCACACATGTATCTTACTCCCTTATTTTGTGCCGTCTTTCTCCCTCCCTCCCCTCAACTTACTCTCACCCTGTCTTTCTTTCCCTCCCTCTCTCTTACACACTTTTCTCACACGATCTCACTCTCTCCCTGACTCTCTCACCCTGTCCTGCAGGTGTCGCGAGGCTGTGGAGGACGTGGGCAGCCAGCTGCGGGAGCTGCAGCGGCGCATGCAGAGGCAGCAACAGGAGCAGGAGGAGCTGGTGGAGAGGAACGAAGAGCTGGAGGCGCTACTGGGAGAGGCCCAGAACGCCAGCAAGGAGGAGTGCCAGCGCCACGAGGGAGAACTCGAGGGACTGCACCGCAAGGTGGGAGAGGGGGTTGAACGAGAAGGGTCATAAATACACTACCGTTTTTTTTTAGAACACGTACTCATTCAAGGGTTTCTTTATTTTGACTATTTTGTACATTGTAGAATAATAGTGAAGACATCAAAACTGTCATCAAGGCAAAGGGTGGCTATTTGAAGAATCTCAAATATAAAATATATTTGGATTTTTTTAACACTTTTTTTTGGTTACTACATGATTCGATATGTTCATTGTTTTGATGTCTTCACTATTATTCTACAAAGTAAAAAATAGTAAAAATAAAGAAAAACCCTTGAATGAGTAGGTGTTCTAAAACTTTTGACCGGTAGTGTATATTCTTTCGTTTATTTTTTATTTTATGACATAATCAAGAGTAATTTTCTCAAGACCTTTTCTTCTTATCTTTTTGCTAACAGAACATAGAAAATATCAGTTTTCACAGATTTAGACACTGTTATGGTGCTGGAGATAATGAATAGGAGGTTATAAATTATAATAAAGTGTTCCTTTTAAACGTCCACTCACAGATTAAAAGCCTAGAGGCAGAGCTGAAGAAGATATGTGCTCAGGACCAGGTACTGAAGGATGGAGGTGTCGTAGGCAGAGAGACTGAGACGTACTTACATCAGGTAGGAAAACGTTGTGCTGGTAGTTTAGAGTGGAAATGTACAAGCTAACTTGCCTGTGCCATTGTTTTTGTCTCATCCAACTACTTTCTCAAAGTGTCAGGCACCCATTTAATGGTAGTCATTTAAAACCAATGTAGCAGGCCAAAGAAGTTCTTCCCAGGCACCCAGATTGGCCATCGCCTAGAGCTCTTTGATTGCCAGTGACCTATTGTACATCTTAACGGTTTGTGATTTGTGAACATTGAGAACAGGTGCTGTGCTTGAGTTACAAGTTGCCTCTAACCACAAAACAGGACATCAGTGAATAAGGACTTTTACCAACTGTATTATGTTTTTCTGCCTCCCCTACCTAGTTGAGGGACAGCAGCCAGGAGAGGGTGGCTCTGCTGGAGGCTCGTCTGACCGAGGAGAAGGATTGGAGGAGACAGCTGGAGGTGGACCTCGGCGCTGCCCAGGCTGCACTCAAAAAGAACAAAGAGGTACACTGCAAGGCATGCTAGGTAGAATAATGGGTTTTGCGAAGTCCAAGGATGTATATAAACTCTGGATTGCTGACGCTATGTATTGCCCATTGAGAGGCTTTGAAGCCACTGGTCGGCCATTATGGCACTCCCCAGTAGGAGCAATCCTCCATAGGAATTAATGGAATTCTACAGTATTTCAATTAAATGTTTCAAGGGCAAAATTACATGTATTTAAGTATTTTTGTTGTTGTAGTGGTTATGTTTAGCTTACACAATATAATTTAAAAGTATGTATTAAGGTGTCTGTAATATAATATACTTGGCAAAAATTTAGACGTAAATGCATTCCTATAGCTTCCAAAATATTTTTTACAATGGAGGAGTACCAAGATGGCTGTGCGGTGGCTTCAATAATGCGCCCCCTGTCAGTCATCCAGGGTTTATACACGCCATTGGTAACCTCCAATGGTTGAATTGGTCATTGAATAGCTACAGTGAGGGAAACAAGTATTTGATCCCCTGCTGATTTTGTACGTTTGCCCACTGACAAAGACATGATCAGTCTATAATTTTAATGGTAGGTTTATTTGAACAGTGAGAGACAGAATAACAACAACAAAATCCAGAAAAACGCATGTCAAAATATTTATTTGCATTTTAATGAGGGAAATAAGTATTTGACCCCTCTGCAAAACATGACTTAGTATTTGGTGGCAAAACCCTTGTTGGCAATCACAGAGGTCAGACGTTTCTTGTAGTTGGCCACCAGGTTTGCACACATCTCAGGAGGGATTTTGTTCCACTCCTCTTTGCATATCTTCTCCAAGTCATTAAGGTTTCGAGGCTGACGTTTGGCAACTCGAACCTTCAGCTCCCTCCACAGATCTTCTATGGGATTAAGGTCTGGAGACTGGCTAGGCCACTCCAGGACCTTCATGTGCTTCTTCTTGAGCCACTCCTTTGTTGCCTTGGCCGTGTGTTTTGGGTCATTGTCATGCTGGTATACCCACCCACGACCCATTTTCAATGCCCTGGCTGAGGGAAGGAGGTTTTCACCCAAGATTTGACGGTACATGGCCCCGTCCATCGTCCCTTTGATGCAGTGACGTTGTCCTGTCCCCTTAACAGAAAAACACCCCCAAAGCATAATGTTTCCACCTCCATGTTTGACAGTGGGGATGGTGTTCTTGGGGTCATAGGCAGCATTCCTCCTCCTCCAAACACGGCGAGTTGAGTTGATGCCAAAGAGCTCGATTTTGGTCTCATCTGACCACAACACTTTCACCCAGTTCTCCTCTGAATCATTCAGATGTTCATTGGCAAAATTCAGACGGCCCTGTATATGTGCTTTCTTGAGCAGGGGGACCTTGCAGGTGCTGCAGGATTTCAGTCCTTCACGGTGTAGTGTGTTACCAATTGTTTTCTTGGTGACTATGGTCCCAGCTGCCTTGAGATCATTGACAAGATCCTCCTGTGTAGTTCTGGGCTGATTTCTCACCGTTCTCATGATCATTGCAACTCCACGAGGTGAGATCTTGCATGGAGCCCCAGGCCGAGGGAGATTGACAGTTATTTTGTGTTTCTTCCATTTGCGAATAATCGCACCAACTGTTGTCACCTTCTCACCAAGCTGCTTGGCGATGGTCTTGTAGCCCATTCCAGCCTTGTGTAGGTCTACAATCTTGTCCCTGACATCCTTGGAGAGCACTTTGGTCTTGGCCATGGTGGAGAGTTTGGAATCTGATTGATCGATTGCTTCTGTGGACAGGTGTCTTTTATACAGGTAACAAGCTGAGATTAGGAGCACTCCCTTTAAGAGTGTATAACCTGTATAAAAGACACCTGGGAGCCAGAAATCTTTCTGATTGAAAGGGGGTCAAATGCTTATTTCCCTCATTAAAATGCAAATCAATTTCTAACATTTTTGACATGCGTTTTTCTGGATTTTTTTGTTGTTATTCTGTCTCTCACTGTTCAAATAAACCTACCATTAAAATTATAGACTGATCATTTCTTTGTCAGTGGGCAAACGTACAAAATCAGCAGGGGATCAAATACTTTTTTCCCTCACTGTATATGTCAGGGGCCTACTTTGTCCCCTGATTACATCTCGCATGGATTTAACCTAAAGCATGTGGAAAGGTTACAACAGCCTACCTCATTCATTTGGAAATGCACAACAGCAAGTTATTTGTCCTTTGGTTTTATAGCTGTATTAGCAGCTATAGTTGTGTTTAATGATAATACTGTCATTGTCTGTCACCCCAAGACACTGCAGAGAGATGAGAGGGAGCTGAGGATGTTGCGATTGGAGCTGCAGGGCCTGCAAACTGAATGTCAACAAGGGAAAACGCTCATCAAGAGCCTAATGCAAGTTAAAGGGGAAAAGGGAATTTTGGAAGAGAAAGTGAGTTGAATTCACCAAATTGCCCCTGCCATCGGTCATCACTGAATACAGTCTGTACACCATTGTTATATGTTCATCAAAAACATAAACCTCACACTATAGGGCCAAGCCGCGATATACTGGGCTGACCTGGTTAAATGCTGAAACCGTGCTGAAAAGGAAAATATAAAAGTACGGTTTGGGCCAGCAAAGTACGGTTTGGGCCAGCAAAGTACGGTTTCAGCCAGCAAAGTACGGTTTGGGAAGGCCCTATAGTGCGAATCGGGCAATAGGGTTCAGTTTGTGATTAATTTCAAATCCATCCTTCATTGTATTCGACTGCACTGATAAAGACATTATTGTCGCGTAGGAGTGAAGCTACCAAACGGAAGACAATGCACTGACCTAATATCATTTTCTATTGATCTGAATGGACAACATGTCTAGTGGAAGTGAAAGTGTTTTTCATTCACTTTGTGCTCGCGGCAGGTGGCCCAGTTGGAGCGCGCTCAGAGCAGACTCCAGAGTGACCGGGAGCGCCAGACAGACAGCAGCCAGACCGAGAGTAGCCAGACCCAGGAGGACCTGAGGGAGAGCAGGACGCAGGTGGCAGAGCTGGGAGGCCAAAGTGGAGCAGCTCACTTTGGAGCTCTCCTGCTTGGAGGAAGAGCATTGCACACGGAGGTCATTATCTAGACCAGTGGTCACCAACCGGTCGATCTTCTAGGCATTCCTAGTCGATCACCAAACATTTCTGTAGAAAAGCCAACGATAAAGACTTGCGCTCCTTTATTTTTATTCGACTTTGCTTTTGGCGGAAGGTGCACTTGATTCAGAAGCCCTGCACGCAGGTTAGGCACATTTTGAACCATTTCATTTGTCTGAAAGGACAAACTCTGCCTACCCGGCGGACCAGGAGAGCTGTAGCTAAATCAAGAGTGCCTACTGCGCTGGCCAATCGGATAGCTCAAATCACCGTGCCTAGTACAGCTTCCACGACCCCACAGCAAAGTTTGATACCAGAGAGAAACTGTCAAAGAATACAGCAAAGAGCTGCTGTTTTTATGAGTGAGTTCATGTTTAAGTTTTTTTATTCAGCAGTGTCAACACTGTTTTTATAAAGCATAAAACACGCTTCTCCCGACTCTCGCGCTGCAGCTGCACTGAATTAGTAGCCAAGTGTATCGATAGGCCTGCTCGTTATATTTTAATATCGAGGAATATTTAACTTTCTCTGGTCATAGGAACAACATGCATGAGGCAGAAATAATGCGATGCGACTCGAGTTTCACTATCAGTAGGAGGACGGTGTCCCTTTGGTCAATTAAAAAAAAATATATTCTTTCAATTTATGCTCCGCTGTGCCTCGCAAGTTATACAACTGATCTGTTTTGTTGTCAAAGCTTGAGTTTTGAAATATAATATGGCCTGAGAATAACAATATTAGCAGGCCAGGCATTTAGCCAATATGCTGTGATAATGTATTAGGCCTACTGCACAAACGTCATTCCTACAGAACAGTTTTTATTAATGTTGCATAGGCTTACATTTTTCATGTTTAAAAAATAAATAATCTGAGCGGTAGATCTCGGCTTGCTTTTTGACTGCGAAAGTGATCTTGACTCAGAAAAAGGTTGTTGACCACTGATCTAGACTTTAGACTGACTTTTCTTTACATAGTCATTTTGTGACTAGAGGTTTTCTTTTTTTATGTGGTACACATGATTATACAGAGAGCCTTGTTGCGGCAGCAGTTGGTGTAATTGTCCTCTACAGAGTGCAGCTCTGTCCCTATGATTCCTTGTGCCGTTCCCCCCAATCTGCCGTCATCACACTCCCTCGTATGGCCTTGCGGTTGTGTACTGTTAGGTTGCCATACAGTCATGCATCCTAGTCAGGTCACAGTTCCCACGTGTCTGACTGTCCATGCCACATTTCAGGGATGAGATGGCGCAGGAGAGGAGGCGGGCCGCAGACCTCCAGGCCCAGCTGAGTGAGAGGGTCCGGGAGAAGCTGACGGCTGAAGGGGAGAAGGAGAGACTGGGCATCGAGGTACTCCGGCTCAGGGAACAACTCCAACTCTCCACCCAGACCCGGCAGGAGACAGCAGGGCTCACCAGGTCCAGACAGGACACCCCAGAACCAGACTACAGCTTCCTGCTAGCAGAGAGGACCAAAGATGAATGCCTCAACCAGGTACCTGGATAAGCATTCACATAGAAACACATGGTCAACATGGGGACTTTCATAGGGTCTTAAATAGAAAAACATCTGATTTATGACAAGCCAAAGGATGTATGAATATCAAATTGTGTTGCCACATACATCAATTATCAGTAGATTGTTTATGTATCTTCCATATCACAGATTGTGTGTGTGTGTGTGTGTGCGTGCGTGCGCTCTGCGTTCCCCTCCTAGCTGGCGTCTCTGAAGTGTGAGCTGAGTCGTCTGCACGCCATCCTGGAGGAGGAGCGGCAGCTGGCCACTCAGCACCAGTTGGCCCTGCAGGCCCAGGTCAACGAGGCCCAGGCCCGCACTAAGGTCAGTACCCAATGTCCCCTCAAGGGCCTGTCAGTGTAACTCAATCAATACTGTCACGCGTAATCCACTGAACAACGATAAGCCAACATTACTCAACGTTATCCCTCGACGATAAGCCAATATTACTCAATCAAAATACTGTCACACCTAATGCGCTCAAGTCAAAGAAACACACAATCTAGTCCCTAATATAAACACAAATATAAAGCCAGGGAAAAAGTGTTTCACGTGGCACTTTTAAAAATATATTGGCTGATCTTCTCCTTTTGAATGGTTTACCAAAGGTGAACCAGCCCTTCCAAATCAGTGGCGTGTCTGTTCCCCCACCCCACCCCCCTCTTCCCCAATGCCTCCCCAGTCCCAGGACTCCGTGCTGGGGCAGAAAGCTGAGGAGAGCAAGCAGCTGAAGCAGGACATCCAGAGAGCACAGAGTCTGTTCACCTCGGCTGAGAGGGAGCTACGCTACGAGAGAGAGAAGAACCTGGACCTCAAGAGACACAACGCCCTCCTGGACCAGGAGAAAATCAAGGTACACTTAACACAACCACATGTTCACTGACAGCCAATCCTAACTTTCACTGACAGTTTCACTTAGTCATGCATTGATGTCAATGGGACTGAGACTTAAGTGCTTAAGTGGAAGTTAGGATTCGCCTGTTAAATCGTACCACCATCGAGCCTAGAATACCTGCCATCATCTTGTCATCCACTTAACTTTTTTATTTATATATGTATATATATGTGTGTGTGTGTGTGTGTGTGTGTATATGTTTGTGTGCGTCTGTATGTTGTTGTTTGCATGTGTATGTTGTTTGCATGTGTATGTTTTGTATTGTTAAAAATATATATATATATATATATATATATAAACTACCAGTCAAGTTTTAGAACACCTACTCATTCAAGGGTTTTTCTTTATTTGTACTATTTTCTACATTGTAGAATAATAGTGAAGACATCAAAACGATGAAATAACGCATATGGAATCATGTAGTAACCCAAAAAGTGTTAAACAAATCAAAATGTTATATTTGAGATTCTTCAAAAAGCCACCCTTTGCCTTGATGACAGCTTTGCACACTCTTGGCATTCTCTCAACCAGCTTCACCTGGAATGCTTTTCCAACAGTCTTGAAGGAGTTCCTACATATGCTGAGCACTTGTTGGCTGCTTTTCCTTTACTCTGCGGTCCGACTCATCCCAAACCATCTGAATTTGGTTGAGGTCGGGGGATTGTGGAGGCCAGGTCATCTTATGCAACACTCCATCACTCTCCTTCTTGGTAAAATAGCCATTACACAGCCTGGAGGTGTGTTGGGTCATTGTCCTGTTGAAAAACAAATGATAGTCCCACTAAGCCCAAACCAGATGGGATGGCGTATTGCTGCAGAATGCTGTGGTAGCCATGCTGGTTAAGGGTGCCTTGAATTCTAAATAAATCAGACAGTGTCACCAGAAAAGCACAACCCCACACCATAAACACCTATCCTCATGCTTTATGTGGGAACTACACATGCAGAGATCATTGTCACCGACACCGCGTCTCACAAAGACACGGCGGTTGGAACCAGAAATCTCAATTTGGACTCCAGACCAAAGGACAAAATTCCACACCGGTCTAATGTCCATTGTCGTGTTTCTTGGCCCAAGCAAGGCTCTTCTTATTGGTGTCCTTTAGTAGTGTTCTTTGCGCATTCGACCTATCCACAGTCTCTTGAAAGGTGATTTGAGAGTGTTGTACTAACCTGATATTTATGGCTGCAATTTCGGTAACCTAATGACAGCTCTGCACAGAGTAACTCTGGTTCTTCATTCTGTGGCGTTCCTATGAGAGGTTGCGACTCTTGTAAGAAACTTAAAAAGTTCTTGAAATGTTCCGTATTGACTGTCCTTCATGTCTTAAAGTATTGCTGGACTGGCGTTTCTCTGTGCTTATTTGAGCTGTTCTTGCCATAATATGGACTTGCTCTTTTACCAAATAGGGCTATCATCTGTATACCCCCCCCCCCCCCCCCACACACACCTTGTCACAACACAACTGATTGGCTCAAACGCATTAAGAAGGAAATAAATTCCACAAATTAACTTTTAAGAAGGCACACCTGTTAATTGAAATCCATTCCAGGTGACTACCTCATGAAGCTGGTTGAGAGAATGCCAAGAGTGTTCAAAGCTGTCAAGGCAAAGGGTGGCTATTTGAAGAATCTCAAATATAAAATATATTTTGATTTGTTTAACACTTTTGGTTACTACATGAAAACTGTGTGTTATTTCATAGTTCTAATGTCTTCACTATTATTGTACAATGTAGAAAATACAAAAAATAAAGAAAACCCTTGAATGAGTAGGTGTTCTAAAACTTTTGACCGTGTGTGTGTGTGTGTGTGTGTGTATACAGTGGGGAGAACAAGTATTTGATACACTGCCGATTTTTGCAGGTTTTCCTACTTATAAAGCATGTAGAGGTCTGTAATTTTTATCATAGGTACACTTCAACTGTGAGAGACGGAATCTAAAACAAAAATCCAGAAAATCACATTGTATGATTTTTAAGTAATTCATTTGCATTTTATTGCATGACATAAGTATTTGATCACCTACCAGCCAGTAAGAATTCTGGCTCTCACAGACCTGTTAGATTTTCTTTAAGAAACCCTCCTGTTCTCCACTCATTACCTGTATTAACTGCACCTGTTTGAACTCGTTACCTGTATAAAAGACACCTGTCCACACACTCAATCAAACAGACTCCAACCTCTTCACAATGGCCAAGACCAGAGAGCTGTGTAAGGACATCAGGGATAAAATTGTAGACCTGCACAAGGCTGGGATGGGCTACAGGACAATAGGTAAGCAGCTTGGTGAGAAGGCAACAACTGTTGGCGCAATTATTAGAAAATGGAAGAAGTTCAAGATGACGGTCAATCACCCTCGGTCTGGGGCTCCATGCAAGATCTCACCTCGTGGGGCATCAATGATCATGAGGAAGGTGAGGGATCAGCCCAGAACTACACGGCAGGACCTGGTCAATGACCTGAAGAGAGCTGGGACCACAGTCTCAAAGAAAACCATTAGTAACACACTACGCCGACATGGATTAAAATCCTGCAGCGCACGCAAGGTCCCCCTGCTCAAGCCAGCGCATGTCCAGGCCCGTCTGAAGTTTGCCAATGACCATCTGGATGATCCAGAGGAGGAATGGGAGAAGGTCATGTGGTCTGATGAGACAAAAATAGTGCTTTTTCGTCTAAACTCCACTCGCCGTGTTTGGAGGAAGAAGAAGGATGAGTACAGCCCCAAGAACACCATCCCAACCGTGAAGCATGGAGGTGGAAACATCATTCTTTGGGGATGCTTTTCTGCAAAGGGGACAGGACGACTGCACCGTATTGAGGGGAGGATGGATGGGGCCATGTATCGCGACACCTGGAGGGGTCACCTTCCCTCAGTAAGATCATTGAAGATGGGTCGTGACTGGGTCTTCCAGCATGACAACGACCCCAAACACACAGCCAGGGCAACTAAGGAGTGGATCCGTAAGAAGCATCTCAAGGTCCTGGAGTGTCCTAGCCAGTCTCCAGACCTGAACCCAATAGAAAATCTTTGGAGAGAGCTGAAAGTCCGTATTGCCCAGCGACAGCCCCGAAACCTGAAAGATCTGGAGAAGGTCTGTATGGAGGAGTGGGCCAAAATCCCTGCTGCAGTGTGTGCAAACCTGGTCAAGACCTACAGGAAACTTATCTCTGTAATTGCAAATAAAGGTTTCTGTACCAAATATTAAGTTCTGCTTTTCTGATGTATCAAATACTTATGGCATGCAATAAAATGCAAATTAATTACTTAAAAATCATACAATTTTCTGGATTTTTTTTTTAGATTCCGTCTCTCACAGTTGAAGTGTACATATGATAAAAATTACAGACCTCTACATGCTTTGTAAGTAGGAAAACCTGCAAAATCGGCAGTGTATCAAATACTTGTTCTCCCCACTGTATATACACACACACTACCGTTCAAAAGTTTGGGGTCACTTAGAAATGTCCTTGTTTTCCATGAAAACATACATGAAATGAGTTTGAATAGGAAATATAGCAAAATGCATAGGAAATGTAGTCATTGACAAGGTTAGAAAAAATGATTTTTAATAGAAATTGTCCTGTTGTAGGAGGAAATTGGCTCCGATCAAGCGCCGTCCACAGGGTATGGCATGGCGTTGCAAAATGGAGTGATAGCCTTCCTTCTTCAAGATCCCTTTTACCCTGTACAAATCTCCCACTTTACCACCATCAAAGCACCCCCAGACCATGACATTGCCTCCACCATGCTTGACAGATGGCATCAAGCACTCCTCCAGCATCTTTTCATTTGGTCTGCGTCTCACAAATGTTATTCTTTGTGATCCGAACACCTCAAACTTTGATTCGTCTGTCCATAACACTTTTTTCCAATCTTCCTCTGTCCAGTGTCTGTGTTCTTTTGCCCATCTTAATCTTTTATTTTTATTGGCCAGTCTGAGATATGGCTTTTTCTTTGCAACTCTGGCTAGAAGGTCAGCATCCCGGAGTCGCCTCTTCACTGTTGACGTTGAGACTGGTGTTTTGCGGGTACTATTTAATGAAGCTGCCAGTTGAGTACCTGTGAGGCGTCTGTTTCTCAAACTAGACACTAATGCATTTGTCCTCTTGCTCAGTTGTGCACCGGGCCTCCCACTCCTCTTTCTATTCTGGTTAGAGACAGTTTGCGCTGTTCTGTGAAGGGAGTAGTACACAGCGTTGTACGAGACCTTCAGTTTCTTGGCAATTTCTCGCATGGAATAGCCTTCATTTCTCAGAACAAGAATAGACTGACGAGTTTCAGAAGAAAGTTATTTGTTTCTGGCCATTTTTGATCCTGTAATCGAACCCACAATTGCTGATGCTCCAGATACTCAACTAGTCTCAAGAAGGCCAGTTTTATTGCTTCTTTAATCAGCACAACAGTTTTCAGCTGTGCTAACATAATTGCAAAAGGGTTTTCTAATGATCAATTAGCCTTTTAAAATGATAAACTTGGATTAGCAAACACAACGTGCCATTGGAACACAGGACTGATGGTTGCTGATAGCGATTTACAACATTAACAATGTCTACACTGTATTTCTGATCAATTTGATGTTATTTTAATGGACAAAGAAATTGCTTTTCTTTCGAAAACAAGGACAAACAAGGACATTTCTAAGTGACCCCAAACTTTTGAACGGTAGTTTATATATATATATTTTTTAGCAATACAAAACATACACATACAAACGACAACATACAGACGAACACAAACATCTACAACATCACCCCTTCCCAGATCCACCTGCTCATCCACTTATTATCATTGTGTGTTCGTGTGTGTGTGAGAGGTAATTATCTTGACGACACTTTCATTTGGAGTTTCATTGCAAAGTCATTTTGTGCTTGGAGGTTTTGTTATGTGGACTTCTTTTCCCAGGTGTGTGCGGAGCTGAAGCAGGCACAGGCAAAGCTTTCCCAGGCAGAGCAGAGTGGCTCGGGGCAGGCTGCGGAGACGGAGCGGCTGCAACACAGGCTCCGAGAGCTGGAACTGGAGCTGGCCCGCAGCGGGCAGAGCCGCAACACCAACGCCAGCCTGCAGGAGGAGCTCCAAGCAGAGAGAGCCCGCGTCATCTCCGCAGACAAGAAGGTTCCTCAGTTCTCACTCAATTCTGAGCCAACATATTGATTGCTTAGCGATAGTGGAATATGGCATTAGGGTTTTTGATTTATCATGCTTTACAGAAACATTTGTCCTCCCAGAACACATCCTGCTCTTCAACAGTTTAAGCTAGACACACCAATCTAACGTTTATAATATGCAGCCTGACTCAACTTAGTTTGCCTCCATTAAGGTGTTTTGCTAGTATTTATACTTTTTAAACTTTATAAAGTTTTTGTGACCCCCCCCAAAAGTATGAATATTATTTCATGTAAGTGAACCCCTTGCTGTGGCCTGGCTGTGTTCTGTAGGTGTTGGAGCTGCAGCAGCAGCTGAAGCGTGCCCACCACCAGCTCCGTCTGGAGGAGGCCCGGGCTGGGGAGACCAGCCGGCTAGAGAGGGACAGTAGGGACATGTCCGACACCCTCTCCTCTCTCCGAGCCAGACAGCAGGAGGACCAGCTCCAGAGGTGATTACTAGTGTAAAGAAAGCAGCATTGAATAGCTGAATATCCCATTGACCCACATAAGTCTAATTTTCACTTAGTCTGGTTCCTCTTCCAGCTCGTAGTGTGTGATAGTGAGGGTTGGTATAGAGCCCCACAGTGGAGGTGTCATAATACCAATAAAACTTAGCAGTCAAACACCATCAATTTTTCCGTTTAGGGGATTTTAGAAACACTTAAAAAATGGGCTGTGTTTGTGTAGGCTTACCCTGGCGTGACGTTTTGATAACCATGTAAATCTCTCTCGGACAAGGTGACTCTTTTATTAATATATTCTGCTCTATTTACTCTGATTCGAAAATGATAATTAGCATCAAAGTAGACATCATGCAAAACTACAAATCCCTGCAAGCTCCTGCACGTCATCTCTAGCTGACACCTTTGCTATCATGTATTGTGCCAATTTAAAACTTGCACAAAACAGTTCACAGAATTGTCCATTTAAAGAAATGTAGCCAATTTATTCATACTACATGTAGCTAACATTAGATAGTTAATCCAGAGAGTCTTACCTTTGCCTCGATTTGGCAGTTTCGTCCAGATCATCGTGGCATTTGGAGTTCTTTATGATAGCCACATTAGCAGTTAATTAGCATTTCATTTTGGGGGCTAAGTACAGGCGAATATATTGGTAAAAGGAACCTTGTCCTAGAGAGATTTAAAGGCGCTGCATGGTCAATCCGCTGTCTGCATTGGCCGTGCAGAATTTACGGTGATATGTCCTCTGCAGAAATCAGGGCATTCATACTGTACTTCTTGTGCTTCGCAGAGCTGTTGTCAAGGAAGTGAGTTTGTGTTTATACAGGAACTCCCGCCCTCACCTACCGTCAACCCAAAATCAAATAAAAACCTCTATGGAAAAAATGAATGGTGGAAAAACGGTTGGAACCATTTCCCTGTTTGACCGCTAGGTTTTATGGGTATTATGTTTCATACTGTGGTACTCTACAGTCAGAGAATAATAGTCTGCTGAGGCACACCAGCGCACTTTCCAAATACACTACTTTGGATCTTTTCTCTCTCACTCACTGCTATATTGCTTTTACCATGTAGCCCTTAAATATCATTGAGTGAGCTGTAGGACAGAAGAAAAGTCCTCCAGGGCTCACATTGAAAAAGAGACTCATATTCTCAGTCAAATTGTATTAGTCACATGCTCCGAATACAACAGGTGTAGACTTTACCGTGAAATGGTTACTTATGAGCCCTTTCCCAACAGTGCAGAGTTAAAAAGTAAGAAAAGATAGTAACACAATAAAATAACAATAACGAGGCTATATACAAGGAGTACCGGTACCGAGTCGATATGTAGGGGTATGAGGTAGTTGAGGTAACTGAGGTAATATGTACATGTAGGTAGGGCTAATAGTGACTAGACAATCAGGATAGATAATAAACAGTACCAGTAGCATATGTGAAAGTGTGTGTGTGAATATTTTTGTGTGTGTGAGCGTATGTAGTGTGTATCTGTGTGTTGGAGTGTCAGTGTAGTATGTGTGAGTGTGTGGGTAGAGCCAGTGCAAGAATATCAGTGAACATAAAAATAAAAAAAAGGGGGTCAATGGAAATAATTTATTTTAAAAAGGATGCCACTTTTAAAAGTACCATCACCTAACACCGAGTGCCTGATCTCACTATGGCTGTATCTCATGTCCCAACATCGCCGCCCCCCTGAACAGGAAGCTGTTGGAGCAGAGGGAGGAGGAGCTGCAGCAGCAGGTGCGTTCTCTGAGGGGGAAGGAGGCGTCGCTGGGACGCAGCAACTCCGAGCTCAGACACCTCACACAGCAGCTGGAGACACGCCTGGCCGTGGTGGAGGCCGAGCATGGCAAGGCCAGAGAGGAGGTCAGTAGATACTGGGCCCAGACGTGGGTTCAAATACTAGTTGATATTTTTCAAATACGTTGAGCGTTTGCTTTAGTATGTCTAGAATGCCAGGTGGGTGGGGTTTGCCCTTTTGGGACTTCTCTATTGGTTCCATGGCAACAGGGAAGCTCACTCAAGCCCAGCTAATGTTTTTTGAAATGATCTCAAGTAGTATTTGAACCCAGGTCTGCAGTACCTACAGGATCTACCTCTGAAGCGAGTTTCCAATCCCATAGCTCTGTTACTTCTCTCTGCCCTCATTCACCCTTACTGGGTCTCTGTGCCCAGACAGGTGGAAACCATTTGGCCAACACTTTAATGAAGCTAATGTTTTGATTAGTGTATGTATTTTTAAAGACTGAGCTTCATGTTAAAAATTAAATTTTGCGACTATTCGAATCAGATAATTTGTAGAATTTGATATTCGTCAATTCGACTCCATGGGGTCAACCCTAGTAATAGGAATACAGATTGAACGTTATGTTTTGGGTATGCATGGTCTGGTATGCAGCAGAGAGAGAGCCAGAGGACGTGTCTTCAGCTGGGAGAGGAGCTGGTGGCCAGTCAGCAGGAGAGTGACCGGCTCCAGGAGGAGCTCCAGCAGGTCATCACGCAGCTGGACACGCACATCAGGTCAGACCCTGTTCATCGAGTAGCCTATAAAGGGATTTTCACACTACTGTGCCAAACCAAACTGAACAGGCCTGGCTACGCATCCAACCACAGTTGCTGGAACTGTGCTGAAAAGGAAATATCAGAGCCAGCACAGTTTGGTTCGGGTCGTTTGTGCACGATAGTGTGAAAAGGGTATATGTAATGAGCACATTTGTTCACACACACACACCACCATCCTCTCCAGCGACTTACTGTACACATACACAAACATTAAGATGACTTCCTCCATGAATACCATAAACACTATAGACTATAATTAAACTATATAGACATCAATGACACATCATGAACGCTCCAACATCTCTCCCACCTCCCCGTTCCACATACAGGAAGTACAATGAGAAACAGTCACAGCACAAGACCAAGCTGAGGAAGGCCAAGCAGATCTTCCTGAAGGCCACGGCCCAGAGAGACCGCACCATCCAGAAACTGGAGAACGACCTGGCCCTGGCCTCCAGCCTCTCCCACAAGGTCAGTCTGTCTGTCCATTTGTCAGTCATTTCATTGGTTTCATGGTTTGTTTCATGAATAGGGACAGGTACAAACACATTGACACATTGATGTAACAATCATCCGATGCTCTATGTTAATTTTCAACATCCCTAGATGGGCTTGTCTGCCCTTGTTGAAAGAGTGCCATCTGTAGGGCATGGTGTCTGTTGTGTCTGAGAGGGCATTGAGATGTGGCATGAGCAGTTGCTGTAATAGGAATAATAATGATGATAGCCTTGAAGGACTCTACCCCTCTCTCTCTTTTGTCTCTCATCCTTATGGTATGCAGGAGAAAGACTGGATCAGGACAGTTATGGAGGAGAATGAAAAATTGCTGGTAGAGAAGAGAGAACTTCTGAGGAGGATGAGCGAGGCAGAGGAGATGGAAAGCAATGGCCTGAGAAAGGCCTCCAATGTTCAGCATAGGTACTGAGTACTCTATCTATGAGTTTGAGTGTGGTTACATTTCTCCAGCCCCATTCCTTATTTTTGTAATAAGTAGTTAAAGCAAGGTTGGGCTGCCAAATTAAGGAGTGTGTCTTTAGGGTAAGGGTTAGTGCTGATGTGAATGTGTTCGCCACACGCAACTCAGGCTATAACATAGTCATGGGTTATCACATGGGTAAAGGTGTAGTTCAGCGAAATTAGGGAAAGTTCAACAAAACCAACGTGTGGAATTCAGTCACTGCTTCTCCATAGACTGCTTTCAAGGTAAGGAAACAAATATCTAAATACTGTAAAAGTTCAATTAAACGCGAGTCTCAAATAGCCGCCTGTCTCTTTTTTTAATAGCCACGCAATGGCACGCATTTTAGCAAATAAATACCTGTTTCAAATAAACACTGGGTCTAAATTAATTGTTTACGAGGTTTAATGTTTGATTTGTTACATTAAATAATTCAGTAATGACTCGAACATTTTTACAATCATCCATTTTTATCGTTAGTAAGAAACTGCTAGCCATTGGCTGCCAACAGCTGATAACTGCAAGCTAACTGGCTAGCAGAAAACAGTCAATAACTTAGAGAGTACAGACCCCCAGAAATAGGCAGATCGCCCTCTAGTGGCAGAAGTAAGAACTGCCGGAAATGCACAGTCAGAGTCAAATTATTCTGTCAAGGAAAAGTATATTTTTTTTTATGGCGGTATACTAAGACAAAAGAAAAGTGACATTAACTAGGTTTTCATTCAATTGGCGACAGATTTTCATGTGAATCTTTTTTTTAAAGCATAAAGAAAATATGGGCATTTTCCCACCAGTGGTGTTTCCACCAAACAGACTGGTTGTGGATTAGAAATCACTGCGTGATGACAGTGCAGACAAAATATATTTTTTCACTTATGTTTTCATGTACCGAATAAAATCTAAAGTTAAATATCTTTCCATCGCATTTTCAACTCTACCGATAGTTCTGTCACAAAAACTGTTGCGTTAAATAGCAAATGTGCCTACCATGGTCTTGAAACGTGTGCTCTAGCCAACAGGTCGCAGATACCGTTTGGGTAGGCTGTGCAGGTAGTCTACATGATGAGATTATTATGGATAGCCTAAGAGTGATAATATTTTTATTTGTCAAATGGCAGTCAAGCATCGAACATGTCACTAAAATAAGACCCTAGATATTTATTGGAAAGGAGCATCAAGATCACCATGCACTTTCACCACCCTGTGAAGTTCATCGTGACTTATTTCATCTGTAGCCTAGTCAACTGCACGTTTTCCCGAGTCGTAACGGGAGGACCACACACCATATCATCGCGTGCCTCAAAGTTGACTTCTATATGATTGTTATTATTTCAATATTTGCGCATAAAGGCGTTTCCACCACCATTTCTCGCATAACCATGTTGAACAAACAAATTAACTTCCTTTTTCCATCACAGCTGTTGTGATTTTTGACTCGCATAAACTCTGGATGGAAACGTGGTTACAGTGTGTAAATGATAACACATTAGTGCAGGAAATGAAGAAATGTATTAAAATGCTGGAAATGAATGCTGGAATTAAACAATTAACTATGCAAATGACCAAAAGCTGTGTGCATTAAGGAAATAGATGCCTGGCTCAAATAGAAGTTTGTCTATTTGACTGTTGTGTTCAGTCATTTAAGCAAATAAACTCCCTGGCTATTAATACAAGTTTTACAATATGTAATTTCGCCGAAGTGTCCCTTTTTAAGGTATGTAACCATACAGTACACAATATACTACTGACTGTCCTCATGTTCAACTGCATAGGTTTATTGTGGTCCATCCTTTGTGTAGTTACATTACTTTTAGAGAAGGTATGTAGCCAGAGCTGGTAGAACAGTGAAAGTAACTGCAGAGCTGTGTTGCCCATCTCCTGTCCACACGGATCATGTGTCTCTTTCAGGGTCAACTTTCTGGAGGTGGAGAACAGACAACTTCAGGAAATAACTTTAAAGTTGGCCAATCAAGTCGGAACACTAGAGCGGGCTCTGAGGAACGTCCAATCACCATCGCTCTGCAACATAGAGGTACCAATCCCATGGTCCCTGACATTGGAGCAAAAGAGCATCATGTTTTCCTAACACATTTTTCATCCGCTTTCCCCCCTCAGGATATCAAGAAAATGTTTCCTTCTGAAAGTCTTCCGAACGACAGCGTCCTTCATGCGTCAACATTAAGGTACAAATTGCTTAGATGCATACAATATATTGCATATATTCTGGAACTAACTGCAGCTCTTTACATTTACATTTTTTACATTTTAGTCATTTAGCAGACGCTCTTATCCAGAGCGACTTACAGTTAGTGAGTGCATACATTTTCATACTGGCCCCCCGTGGGAAACGAACCCACAACCCTGGCGTTGCAAGCGCCATGCTCTACCAACTGAGCTACAGGGGACTCTTTGTTAAGTGTTGCTGTCATTTCAGTCGCTTTGGTAGCTGACTTGTATAGTGTTGAGTCATCTGCAAACATAGACACACTGGCTTTACTCAAAGCCAGTGGCATGTCGTTAGTAAAGATTGAAAAAAGTAAGGGGCCTAGACAGCTGCCCTGGGGAATTCCTGATTCTACCTGGATTTTGTTGGAGAGGCTTCCATTAAAGAACACCCTCTGTGTTCTGTTAGACAGGTAACTCTTTATTCACAATATAACAGGGGGTGTAAAGCAATAACACATACGTTTTTCCAGCAACAGACTATGATCGATAATGTCAAAAGCCGCACTGAAGTCTTAACAAAACAGCCCCCACAATCTTTTTATCATCAATTTCTCTCAGCCAATCATCAGTCATTTGTGTAAGTGCTGTGCTTGTTGAATGACCTTCCCTATAAGCGTGCTGAAAGTCTGTTGTCAATTTGTTTACTGTGAAATACAATTTTATCTGGTCAAACAGATTTCTCCAAAAGTTTAAGGATTGATTATTTGTTTGTATGTTCTTATTTGAAGCTACTCTTCAACGTTGTGACTGCTCTGGGCTTGAACAACATTTTAACTGCGCTTGTAGCAAGGTCATTCATAACTTCTTGCACACCATTCATCCATTGTTCTTACAGTAACCACTTGTCTGTCTGCAGTCTGACATCAGGTGCGTGTGACCCTCTGGGCATCCTCGATGCCATCTGCCGGGGGAAGGTGGGCGAGCGCGTGGAGGGCATCCGGATGTCGTCCTCCACGCCCCATTCCCAGTCGCAGTCCTTTGAACTGGGCTACCTGAACCTCACCTCCCCTGTAGCTCCCCCAGACACCAAAGACCCAGAGGAGAGTGACCAGTGACCAGGAAGTGATCAGTGTGGGGAGTGACCAGGTATGAGGAAGGGGTTAAAGGGTGGTGAGGACCCTGGTATACAAAATGGCTGCTCCATTGACCACAGGAGAATCTGTCACTGTTACTCTAGTCTTGTGTTACCATTCTTCCAAGTCTCTAAGGAAGCCTGGAAGGCTACTGTTAGTTACCTGTGAGGTGTTGACCTGAGTGGTGATTTTAAAAGACAATCATGTCATTGTGTACAAAATAGACAGTTGTGAGAATGTTTTAGGCGATGCCTCCAATGTAACGACATTCAGGGTCTTTTCTGCTTTGCCTGTGGAACACGGTTGAAATGACTCCCTCATTTGGCTTGCAGCTGCTGCTTTCTCTCCCTTGTGTTCACAGTGGGATGTTTGAAAAATGAGCTTTTGGGGGTTTGGCTGGTTAAGCCTGTGGGAGTGTGTCAATGGCAAACATTGAAAATAGTATTTTTAACAATTACTTGCGTAATTTGAGCTTCAGTGCAACTTTTCGAAGTGGAAGTAGTTAACTAAGGTACGGTCCTTTTGTGGATGCACTAAATGTGGATGCACTTAATTTGAGATCCTCCAAATGCTACAATGGTCTTTGTATTCAGAAAATAAAGCCAAACTGAACATGGAGCCTTATGAAGGTCTGGAGGTGGTATGACTACATTTACATTGAATCAAATATGTGTCTTTGTATTCAAGGGAAAGACCGGCAACCTTTAAAAAAATGGTACTGGATACTAGCATCACAATTTCTACACTAATACAGTGAGGTCCAGAAGTATTTGTACAGTTACTCATAATTTGTTGTTTTGGCTCTGTACTCCAGCACTTTGGATTTGAAATGATACAAGGACTGAGGTTAAAGTGCAGACTGTCAGCTTTAATTTGAGGGTATTTTCATCCATATCGGGTGAATCGTTTAGAAATTACAGCACTTTTTGTACATAGTCCCCCCATTTTAGGGAACCAAATGTATTTGGACATATTCACTTGTGTGTATTAAGTATTAGTCAAAAGTTTAGTTTTTGGTCCCATATTCCTAGAATGCAATGACTACATCAAGCTTGTGACTGTACAAACTTGTTGGATGCATTTGCAGTTTGTTTTGGTTGTGTTTCAGATGATTTTGTGCCTAATAGAAATGAATGGTAAATAATGTATTGGTTAATTTTGGAGTCACTTTTATTGTAAATAAGAATAGAATATGATTCTAAACACTTTTACATTAATGTGGATGCTACCATGATTACTGATAATCATTAATGAGTCGTGAATAATGATGAGTGAGAAAGTTAGAGGCATAAATATCGTAAGTAAATTTGTCCAAAAAACGTTTGGGTCCCAAAAATTGGGGGACTAAGTACAGAAAGTGCTGTAATTTCTAAAGGGTTCACCCAATATGGATCAAAATACCCTCAAATCCAAAGTGCTGGAGTACAGAGGCAAAACAACAAAACATTTGTCACTGTCCAAATACTTTTGGACCTTGCTGCATGTGACATCAAACAATGTACAATAGTAACAATTAAATGATAGTGGTGTGAAAGAGCTGTTTGAAATGATCACGTTTTTAGAACCTGCTCTTGAGTTGGTTTACATTCTGAGGAATGTGGTAGTGAAACAGTAGCTGTAGGATTGAACTTAAATCCATTGTTGCCATTTATTTTTATTTTCTATGAAAAACTCATGCCTTTTGGGATTGTAATATGTTTTAGGATGTTTTCTGAGATTAAGTCTTAATGTGGGTAAAGACGTATCTGTTACAAGTTTACAAAATGTGTTTTCTATCGAGTGGAACATAGGTGTTACGAGGGTGAGAATGTTACATACAACTGTATGTGTTGTAATGAGGCAGATACAGTATGTGTGTGTAGCCTAATGTTAAGAAACAGATTGTTGGCTTTCAAATAGCCATTATTAGCAATCCTAAAATTATCACCCAAACCACTATATTTTGGATTCTCAAACTTGTACTCAGGCGTAGGCTATACTATACCTGTGTTCATTATGTTCTTGTCTCTCTTATGTAATGACAAGCCTTACAATAGTTTGTTTTGCTTTGAATGGGATCCACTCGCATGTCCGTTTAGAGGTCAGGGTTTTAAGGTACTTTATCATTAAAAATAAAAAATGTTTTATGTCACTTTTGTGGGAGTGACATTCATATATTGTCGAGGTTAGTGACTGCTTGGTAGTCTTGGAAAAACCATATTCACAGTATACACAGCATTTGATCACCTGTTACAGTAATGCATTTCTTTGTCACTACAGATTTTAAAGTTTGTGTTGTATGACTCTTAGACGTTTTAACCACAAAGCAATTATTTAATTTAGCAATGTTTTATAAACTTGGAATTTTAACCTTTTCTTTAACCACTGACAACTTACAATCATTCGCTGTAGCCTCTAGAGACATTGATTCAGAAAGGAATGTACATTAAATAATATGGTATGATATGCTTTGTAATCATCCATTTTGTCTTCAATGTGCCTGTAATGATAAAGTGTAATGCTCTATCCTGCTGCTAAACTGGGAGGGAATATCAATCTACAAATAATACTCTCTATTAACAGTCATATTCATTTGAGTCATTAACAATAACCTTTAACTTTTGTAGGTACTGATGTAAATGCGATATTTTATAAAGATAATAAACATGTATTTTCATAAATAAAGGTAATTAAATCTTCCCATGTGTATTTGATTCCTTTGTTTAGTTTAAGCGCACCTGGGGTGTATTCATTAGTGCCAAACAGAAGCAAAAAGTTTGGCAACAGAACATTTTGGTTTCTTATTGGAAAAGTTCAGGTTAGTCCCTCCCCGTTTCGGCTGTTTGCTTCTGTCTGGTTCCTAATGAATAAACTCCAGGTCATATCTTGGAACAGAAGGTCAAACTTGTGGCTGCAAGCTGTTGTTTGGTTTCAAATTATTCATCAAAGTTATGCAGTACAATTTTTTGTTTGTAACAGTCTGTTTATTAAACAAGGTAAAGATACAACGTTTTTTTAAACATTGATATTCTTAGTTTTACTTCTCAGTCTTGTGTGTGCATATTAAGTTGTCTAAAAACTTTCTATGAAATCACAAAGAAAGAGGTGTAATAAATCTACACATAATATATTTTCATAGAGAATATGGGTTAACAGTTAATTAATATACAGATTACAGTTTGGATATTCCATGCGGAAAAATAAAAATGTTTACTAGACTGAATACTGAAGAACACAATACAGAATATGGAAATAAAATGGTTGTTCAATGATAAAATAGTTAAGGCTTATACGTAAATAACTGATAAAACATGAATATTAATAACAAATTATCAATATTCGGATAGACTCAAATCATTACAATAAGTTCATACATAAACATACCTGTACAAAACTCTAACCCAAAACAACAGTTTATGAAAATTGGTACTATAAATGAGGATCATGTTTTACAGTACAGCAACATGTACATTTCCCTATAATTTTTCTCAGAAGAGAGTAAATTGAAGAGGCAGGGTCTGTTGGCATAAATGTTTGTTTCCAGGCCAGTGGCTTGAATTATAGTTATTTTTTTTATTTATTTTTTACATACTATAAATGTATTTAACAATATTCTCAGCTCCATCTCAAATAAACGTCTAGCCTTAGCATCTTTTCTTAAGCAACTTGGAAGAATACAAGCTACTAGTACCATCCAGAGCAACCAGAAGGTATAATTTACAGTAAAAATACAACAAACAATACTTTGTATACCATGATGAAAGAAACACTTGCAGTAACACTGCCAGTTCATATGAAGTTATATATGGTATGAACCTTTGAACAAACTCATACTGACTGCACTTACTCTAACTATATGTAAACCTGTTGAGAATTGGTTTCACAAAGCAAATCAAGATTAATCTATCCTGAATGTAGTGGGTTTAGGGGTTAATTTTGGTTCACTTTTTGGTCCACTTTCAAATACCATTGTCATGTTTAAACAGTTTTATTGACTTTGACTTTCTATTGATGAAGCAGCACAAGCCTCTGTTCCCAGGCTGGGCAATAGCTTTAACTTGACTTGGTGATAAGATGTTGAAGTGTAATGTGACACTAATGAGAGTATAACAAACTAGAAGTCAACAGAAATACCAAATATTTCACCTCCAATAAATGTATGCTTGCTATATATTTCTCTATATTCAGAGTAGAAATGTTCTACTCAAGTAACATAGCCCTAACAACATTACCAACGTGGCAACACTTAACTTCATGGCCCCCTGTCAAGGCCTGCCTGACTCGGTCACAATCATAAGAGCCATCATCAGCTGTTGTGACTTTTATTATAGAACTATCATGACAAAAGCATTAATCTCTGTTATTAGCACCTTAGCTAACAGCAGCTTGTGTTATGAGGACCATCGGAAGTTACTTGACAAAAGCTGGCATGACTGTTTATGACAGTTGTAATGCTCATCTTGATAGCTTTGCGTATGCCTATTGAGGGCAGTGCCACGTAATAACATAAAGCTGGCACACTAGCTAATGTTAGCTTGCTTTCCTAATGAATCTTGACTTGGCTCACATAGGTGCAAAGCTACCATCTGTACTACCTGGCCGCAAGGAAAATTGGTGAAAAGTTCTGTTGATTTGAACAGTTCAGTTGATTGAATTAGTGTCTGGTCATATAACCCATATGATCTTGATTCGATTAACCATAAACAATGATTGAAATTATCTTGACCAAACAAACATTCATTCCTTTTTTACATTTTGGTGCACTTTAGTTTGTTTCATCATTCCTCCGAGAGAAACAACCTTACAATCGAATTGTCCACATAGTTCCAATTGCTTTCCGCTGAAATGCCGCTTTTAAAGTTTGACCCTGTAAACTTGCTTGAACAAAAATAACAAAATAACAAACTTTCGATTAGACACAGTCAATACTCTTAGCTGCCTCAAGCAATGCTTTTGCATTTCCATCGGAAAATATCTAAACATTTGGAGCCAAAACCACAAGGCCTGAAAGTGCTTTAAAGGGACAATCCGTAATTGAAACAATAACAAAGTGTTTTCACCGCCACTGTTTCGGTAAAAAGCTGAGGGATGGGGCTTGAGAAATGTGACCACTCTCAAATTCATAGACAGAGCTATGGATGCAAGGACTGACCATCCATGATATCAAAATGATAGTTTGAACCATGTCTTAAGGGTATACAGTGTTTGTTCACATTTACTTTGTTTACAAACATTACTTTGTTTACAAACATTGGTGTAAAACAAGCTTATATTTCGGGTTCTGATGCGGTATGAAAGTTGAACTAAGCTTATGAGGCATTTATAAGTTATAATCTTGAAGAATCAATGGGTACATATAATTAATTTATAAGTCCAAAAATGTATGTGGCAACTGCAGAATGGCCCTTTTAAGATTATCTTTGGATGTCACCAGAACACACCCAGAAAATGTTTTATGTATTTATTTTCCGTATAAGGGCAAATATTGTCTGGCATATTTTGGAAACCCATTTAATGGTATGTGTGTGTGTGTGTATATGTGTGTATGTATGTGTATATATATATATATATATATATATATATATATATATATATATATATATAATATACTACCAGTCAAAAGTTTGGACACACCTACTCTTTCAAGGGTTTTTCTTTATTTTTACTATTTTTTACATTGTAAAATAATAGTGAAGACATCAAAACTATGAAATAACACATATGGAATCATATAGTAAACAAAAACGTGTTAAACAAATCAAAATATATTTGAGATTCTTCAAATAGCCACCCTTTGCCTTGATGACAGCTTTGCACACTCTTGACATTCTCTCAACCAGCTTCACCTGGAATGCTTTTCCAACAGTCTTGAAGGAGTTCCCACATATGCTGAGAAATTGGCTGCTTTTCCTTCACTCTACGGTCCGACTCATCCCAAACCATCTCAATTAGGTTGAGGTCGGGGGATTGTGGAGGCCAGGTCATCTGATGCAGCACTCCATCACTCTCCTTCTTGGTAAAATAGCCCTTACACAGCCTGGAGGTGTGTTGGGTCATTGTCCTGTTGAAAAACAAATGATAGTCCCACTAAACCCAAGCCAGATGGGATGGCATATCGCTGCAGAATGCTGTAGTAGCCATGCTGGTCATGCAGACAGTTGTCACCAGCAAAGCATCCCCACACCATAACACCTCCTCCTCCATGCTTTACGGTGGGAAATACACATGCAGAGATAATCCGTTCACCCACACCGCGTCTCACAAAGACACGGCGGTTGAAACCAAAAATCTCAAATTTGGACTCCAGACCAAAGGACACATTTCCACTGGTCTAATGTCCATTGCTCGTGTTTCTTGGCCCAAGCAAGTCTCTTCTTCTAATTGGTGTCCTTTAGTAGTGGTTTCTTTGCAGCAATTCGACCATGAAGGCCTGATTCACACAGTCCCCTTTGAACAGTTGATGTTGAGATGTGTCTGTTACTTGAACTCTGAAGCATTTATTTGGGCTGCAATGTCTGAGGCTGGTAACTCTACTGAACTTATCCTCTGCAGCAGAGGTAGCTCTGGGTAATCCAATCCTGTGGCAGTCCTCATGAGAGCCAGTTTTATCATAGCGCTTGATGGTTTTTGCGACTGCACTTGAAGAAACTTTAAAAGTTCTTGAAATATTCCGTATTGACTGACCTTCATGTCTTAAAGTAATGATGGACTGTCGTTTCTCTTTGCTTATTTGAGCTGTTCTTGCCATAATATGGACTTGGTCTTTTACCAAATAGGGCTATCTTCTGTATACCTCCCCCTACCTTGTCACAACACAACTGATTGGCTCATGAGAGAATGCCAAGAGTGTGCAAACCTGTCATCAAGGCAAAGGGTGGCTACTTGAAGTATATTTTGATTTGTTTAACACTTTTTTGGTTCCTACATGATTCCATGTGTTATTTCATAGTTTTGATGTCTTCACTATTATTCTACAATGTAAAAATAAAGAAAAACCCTGGAATGAGTAGGTGTGTCCAAATACATTTTTGACTCGTACTGTGTGTATATCTATATATATATATATATATATATATATATAATCAATTTTAAGGGCCAATGCATAAGACCGTTTGCAAAACGCCTTCGTAAGTGCTCAGTTTTATTCGACGCAAGACATTATCCGACATTTGTTTCCATTGACATAAACCTTTGCAAAGAATGTGCTCGTTTTCATTTAACCGACCCAATCTGTCAAAATAGAACAAGGGGTTTGGAAATGAATGTCAGGTGTCATGTGATGCATATGTAGGCCTTGTGTCAATTGCCTTATGTCCAGGGTCCCTAAACTACAGCCTTACATTGAAAATGAATACAACAACATACAGTAATGCTGTGTGGGTGGAGCGCTCAGATGAGGGAGATGCGTATTGGGATACTGGGGGACTCTGTCCTCTGGGGGGACTGGTGGCTCACTAGGTGTTCAACCACCGTATGTTTGGACATGTGCTTCATAAGGTAGGTCTCCTGCAAAGACACAAAATGGATGACTCAAAACCTGTTGGTTTCCCCACACAAATGCCTAAACACAGGAATAGGTTGGCAACCCTGGTCCCAAAATGCAGTGATTGCCTGCAGGTTTTTATAAAAGTCAGGAAGCAACTGATTCAGTAAATCACAATAATCTTTGACCACTCTTTCTTTCTTCATGTGGTGAGCTTAATTCATGCTTAGTTATGTTGTGGTTTTATGTGCGGCTTGAGCAAATGTTTACAGACACTATAACTGACCAGGACTATAGCAATGCCTTGGATTTGCTTACACTACTACTAACACTTAATACTGAACAGTGGGATAGGATACTCACTGAGGTGTATGCCCGGCCACACATACTACAGCAGTAGGCCTTAGCGTTTTTGACGGCGTGCGTAGACAGGTGGATCTGTAACGATGCTGAATCTGAGTAGGCACGGTAGCAGTTGGGACATTTGTACGGCTTGTCCTTGTTGTGCTGCCTCTGGTGAGACTACATAGGGGAGGGAGGGGGGGCAGAGCAAGAGAGAAATAGAAGAGGGAAGCGCAACTCAGTCACTCATTACAGGATAACTATCATTCAGAGCATCCCAGGAAAGTAATTATTGTATGGTTGAGTAGACCATATGTTTCTCTCATGGAATCGTATTCCTTCACTTCTGCAGTATGCCATTTAGGGCTACTTTCAGGTAGAATTTTACTGTGTAGCACCTTTAATATTATCAATAGGCTCGGGGCCATTCAGCACTGCGAGATGGACTGTAGAGGATAAGTAAGTAATCATGCTGTGATTTAATACTGACCTGGAGGTTAGAGAGCTGGGTAAAGGCCTTTTCACATCCAGGGGCCGCACATTTATAGGGTCTGTCACCAGTGTGTATTCTAAGACACATGCAGAGGAAGATAGATATATGTTAGAGAGATAGTGGACTGAAATATTATGGTTTATTTAGCAATTATGGCAGGAAATATAATATAATTACAATGTAAAAGAATATGGTGTAAAAAAAAAAGAATACAGTTATAAAAGAATGGATACATAATCATACATTTCACAGTACTACCCAATGTCAGTGTCACTGATGGAAAGCTACTGTACATTCCAGCAATACATGGAGTGTTCCTGTTTAAAATATGTTTTTAATGTTGTCAATGCCATTGTGAAGCCACAAACACATTTTCATATGGTGTGGATTTTGGTGGATTACTTTTTTTCTATTCCTTTTTATTCCATGAAGGTGAACTCAAATGACCTGGTGTGCTGCTGCAGGTGTGAGAGCTGACGGAAGGAGTTCTCGCAGTAGGAGCAGTGGTAGGGCTTGATGCCCAAGTGGATGCGGAGGTGCTGAGCCAGGTAGGATGCGTTGGCAAAGGACTTGGAGCAGTGGGGACACTTGTGGGGCTTGGCCTCCGTGTGGGACTTGGAGTGGATCTGCATCTCCGACTTGGACAAGAAGGTGAGCGGACACACTTTGCATCTGGTTGGAGGGATACATACAAATGGGACTGGGTCATATCATATGTCATGGATGAAGGTTGTGTTATGAATGATACTGCAACACTCAAAACACTGCAACACTGTTACCGATATGTGCATGTGACTCAAATGTCTCTAGGTCTGAAACCACTGAAATGGGTGCTTATTGAAGAAATAAGAATGATGTAAACTTGAAACTAAGCTAAATTGAAGCATTTTACAAACAGTGCCCATACCTGTAGGTTTTGCCCTCTTTGGCAGGGAAGGTGATACAGCCCTGGTCGGCGCCCGATGCCATGATCGGGTAGGGCACCACCAGAAGAGGCCCTCCGCTCTCCGCTTTGATCTTCTTCCGCCCGCGGGGTGTCTTGGGTGGAGGGCCGAGGAGTCCGGCCAGGCCCCCGCTCTTCATCTGCTCCATGCCGGGCCCACTGGCCAGCCCAGGGATGATGTTTACTGATGGGGCCCCTCCCAGTCGGTTCTGGCTGCTGGAGGTGGGGGTGGTGGGCGTGAGGGCATCCGAAGTGCTGTGGCCGTCCGGCCGGGATGACGGGGCCAGACCTGTGTATGGGCACATGAAGACTTACAAATGATAAGCCATGCAAAAGGTTAGCGATTTAGCTTGCTGAGAGACTGAACTTTGACACAAACTAATAAGTGAAGGTGTTAGAACTTAAGAGGCACACTGAAATGTATTTGGCTCTTGTCTAACCCTTGTGAACTACACAGCTTTTGAATGTTTTCTTTGACGCTTGTATGTTTCCAATGAGAAAGGTGGTGTGGTTATTACCTGACCGATGGTTAACTCTAGAGGGCTGCTCTACGATCTGTCGCATGTGCCACTCATCCCACAGTCCTTTGGCCTTCACTGCTGACTTGTCATCCATATTCACGTCTGCATCATCGAAATTGAAGGTAATAAAATTAACTGATCTAACTGAGGGAAAATGAGAAAATCACTTTATAAATGGCACCAATTTATACTCAACATCCATCCTGAAATCTTACAACGCTCCATAATACAATGGGGATGATTAACATTTCTACATCTATGGCTGCATTTAAGCTATATTTTTGACTTACTTTCCATCATCTGCACTGATATGAAAGAACTACACTGGTAGGCATCCACCATATGACTTTCATCTATGCTTTCTTAAGCCAATGCAGATGACGGAGAGGAGATGCGAAGGGGAAGGCACTTCAGACAATTTAGATTGAGACCATTGAACAGAATATAGGTCTAGAGCATGACTAGAGCCAAGTGGTGTCTCCAGTGTGGTGAGCAGACAGCAAACACTGTTACAGTACCTACCTGGCACAGAGCTGGAGGCTGGGCGGGCGTGCAGGGCGATGTCGGGCTGCTGGACCGAGCCCTGGGGGTGGTGCTGCCCCTGCTGGGGCTTGGGCATGGGCATGCTGTGCTGCTGCTGCCCCCCGTCCGAGGGGGAGGAGGCCAGCAGCAGGGTTTGCTGGGAGGGGGCTGAGTTAGGTGGCAGGTGCAGGGGTCGGATCTTCTCAGCCATCAGCTGCTCCTTGATCTTGTTGATGAGCACGAGGTTATCCAGCTGAAAGGGTTAACCGGTCATGTTCAACAGAAAACAGCTCCATTTTATCAACCATCAAGCTTAAGATGATCCCATTATAGTCAAACTTTTGTTGCCATTTAATACCTTAGTTGTTAACCTCTTCTGATGGGCATTTACCTATATGGACCATGCCTAGATTTAAATACTTCTGAGAAAATAGTATGCATAACCATGTCAGCCTAGATGAAAGGACAGATAAAATGATGATGTCCTTACCTGGCCAGGCATGGAGGGAGGCGGAGGCCAGAAGTAGGGGTTGTTGAACCGAGGCTCAGCCATCCTGCGATAGAAACGTATGTTTTGTTGCGGTATTTTATTATTTTCCAAATGCAATTATCTACAAAGCATTATTCCATGTATTGGGAGGTTATTAAAACGCATTAGATTTAAACTATTAATACAATGGACAGGTATACTGATGTTTCAATGTCAAGAGTCAAGATATCTGTCCATCTATTTTTGGATTCCTGTGACTGTCTTTTGTTTTTGAGCATCCCTCCTATTTTCCTTCGTTTTCTGAATTGCGGAGGTCTACCTAATCAGAGTACAGCACAGCAGTAGTAGTAGTAGTAGAGTGTGGGGGGGGGGGGGGGGGGGGAGTACAATAGCCTTAATGGGAGGCAGACTCAGGTCTCTACCTCTCAAGACAAAGAGAGCAGTTTTGTACCATATGCCTTATGAAATTAGATTGTGACTATGTGAATTGTGCTGTTATCGTGAGTTTATTACCTAATAACTAAAGTTATTATATTCTTTCTACTATATTACATTAATACTTGTAAAAAATATATGATATGCCAATAATGAATTATTAATAGAATACAATTGAGTAACTTTATTGTCGCATTCGGATTGGGTAATAAACAGAACAAACAGCACAATTCACACACAGTCACAATAATACATTTTCATAATTATTGTATAGAAACCTAGTATGTTTAGTTCAAACTGCATAGTGAAACACAGGCCTCAAAAGACATTACAAGAATGCAATCAAACATCAAAACTTTCACTGAATATGGTCACACCTGTCAGTCATTTTCGATAGGCCTACCTTCAATATTCTTTATCCCACTCCCAAAGGTTTATGCCAGAGGTTTTATGCCTAGACGGTTTAGCACACATTTTTGGTCTATAGACATCAGAATAGGCTCAATGTCAACGTTTTATTATTTATTTCCAAAATGTCTTTCCTGTAAAATATTAGTTACGACCCCTTCCAGTTAGAATTAATGTAGGCAACATTTCACTAATAAAACATTTCCTTTGGTAGTCTAGACTTGATAACACGTGTGCCCCTCGACAGCTCTGAAATTCAGTCACATTTGGCGATGCGACCTTCCGATCAGATGCCACTCAGAAACATCCTCAGACAGTTTTATTAAAACATTTCCAGACAAAAGAGAAACAAAAATGGCAGCCTGACTTATTTTTCGAAGAGGGGACGCCATATTCTGCAGACCCCAAAATTAGGAGCATCTCATTTTCTCCTAAAAGGAGGCCGCTTAACACAAATGTGTGTTTATGTGAAAAACATGAATAATTGTTTACGACGAATTGCAGGTTTGAATAGCCCGGCCTCCCCACCGCTTAAAAAACGGACACTTCCTACAACAACCATGCCCAGCAAATAGCACGGAAATAGATAAAATGCTCGAGCTTTGCGCCTAAATATTTTGATAAAACATAATCGATGCGTAAAGATCACAATGTAACAACCGCACTCTGACATAATGATATTCAAAACGACGGTATGCCAATCTTTCCCAAAATGCGTTCACTTTGGTATTTTTTACATTGCACAACTTTTTAACGAATCGAGGGGCATACATTATATTATCTGCATAATGCATACATTTGGGGTTTATCAACTTCCAGAAATGCACATTTACAAACAACTTCAAAGAATTGCACACAGACCTGATGTCCCGATTGCAGATTTTGTCTTGCTTTTTATAAAAGATTGGTATTCTTTCTGCCTGCCTCCAATTGGTTCAGCGCTTCCGGGTCGCTTTGTTCGCTTCTGGGTGCTACTACACACTGTACATAGCTGCTGTTGCCAAGGTGTCCGAAGGCTGGACATTTTTAATAGTAGGCTAATCTGAATCAAACAACAATGGTTTTTATTTTAACTTGGTTATAACGCAAAACAACGACGCACAAAGCATTGAGCTAATGTCCATCAGGGGTCCAAACATCGCGCTGGTGTCAATGGCAAACATTACTCAAAAAGACATCATCGTCATTTTGGTGAAATGCTAGACTAAATCATTATTCTAGTATCCCCAGGAATGCTGTCTCTGCCCTTGGACTGTACGCTATCCAACATTTTAATGATGAAACAATTCCATAATAAACAATAGTCACTTGGCTACCATTACTAGTGGAAAAAGTCAAGTGGTAATGCACTAGCATTTCACCACAATAAGCAAGGAGACCTGCAATGTTGCTGTTCGCTACACTGGTGTCAGAAGTGGGATGGCCTAGCAAACGGTGACAGGACAACTCCCCCTGCCGGTCCCGAACATGGGTCTCCTAACCAAGGTTATTATAGTAAACGAAAACTTGCCAGGAAAAATCAATTTAGTCAATTGAAATAAAGTAATTAAACAACCCTTTTGAAAAAAGAAAACTATTCTGCAACTATTATCTTTGACTCAAACTAACTAAAATAAAAAACAATGTATTATTTTTTCTTAAATTCACAATAGGTACTTTTTGGGCGACCAGACCAAATTCACATAGAAAAATATGAGTTATAGAGCTGTAATTCTCATTGAAAGAAAGTCTAAGAAGCGGATGATCTGTCCTATGTGCGCTATTTCTATGCTTCACATTCTTACATTTCTTTTTTGGAACTTTTACTTTTGGTTTTGTACACCAGATGAAAATACAATATTTTTGGTTATGAAAAATATATTTCACAGCAGTTTAGATGGCACACTATACTTGCTTGTTTTGTCGCATATACTGAAATTAGGCAAACTATTATAATTTGAGCAACCAGGAAATGGCGGATCGATTTCTGCATAATGCATCTTTAACTTAAGGCAAAAATCTAAATGGGGTTTTCAAGCTACTGGGAGGTTTTCAAGCTACTAAATCTGAGGGGTAAATGCATCCAGAAGATGGCAACTTTTCAAATAGGCCTAGGTCGTGTTTCGCTAGCTATCACTAGCTAACAGGGGAAAAATTGTCTAGGTAGCCAACTTGATTCATTTTATACTACTAAAGTTCAAAAAGCATTGGATCGGTGTAAACATGGGCGAGAGTGAGTTTCTGTCACGATCGTCTTGGAAAGGAGTAGACCAAAGCGCAGCGTGTTGCACGAACATGATGCTTTATTTAATTAAAGCGAAACACGAAACAACAAAACAAATAACGATTTGTGAAGTCCACAGTGACAATGACTGACTAGGAACAAAAACCCACAACACCCAAGGGAAAACATACAGATTAAATATGGCTCCCAATCAGAGACAACCAGCCGACAGCTGACACTCGTTGCCTCTGATTGGGAGTCACACAGGCAAACATAGACAATGACAACCTAGAACACCCAACATAGAAAACAAACACATAGAATGCACACACCCTGGCTCAACATATAGAGTCCCCGAGCCAGGGTGTGACAGTACCCCCCCCTAAAGGCGCGGACTGCGACCGCGTCTAAACACCCCAAACAGGGGAGGGCTGGGTGGGCATTCCTCCTCGGAGGCGGCTCCGGCTCCGGCTTTGACCACCACCCCTCCATACTACCCCCGTAGCGCCCCTGGTCCGGTCTGACCCCGCTGGCTGGATCTGGACTGGACATCGACGGAGCGGATTGCCCACGCTCCGTTGTGGAGCAGCTGACCGGTCTTACCAGGCTGACGACTCGCACCCCGGGCTTGGTGCGAGTAGCAGGAACGGGCTGAACCAGGCTGACGACTCGCACCCCTGGCTTGGTGCGAGTGGCAGGAACAGGCTGGACCAGGCTGGCGACTCGCACCCCTGGCTTGGTGCGAGTGGCAGGAACAGACCGGGCCGGGCTGGCGACTCGCACCCCTGGCTTGGTGCGAGTGGCAGGAACAGGCCGGGCCGGGCTGGCGACGCACACCGTAGGTTTGGTGCGTGGAGCAGGGACAGGCCGGGCTGGGCTGGCGACGCACCCCGTAGGCTTGGTGCGTGGAGCAGGGACAGGCCGGGCTGGGCTGGCGACGCACACCGTAGGTTTGGTGCGTGGAGCAGGGACAGGCCGGGCAGGGCTGTCGACGCACACCGTAGACTTGGTGCGTGGAGCAGGAACAGGCCGGGCAGGGCTGTCGACGCACACCGTAGACTTGGTGCGTGGAGCAGGAACAGGCCGGGCAGGGCTGTCGACGCACACCGTAGACTTGGTGCGTGGAGCAGGAACAGGCCGGGCTGGGCTGGCGACGCACACCGTAGACTTGGTGCGTGGAGCAGGAACAGGCCGGGCAGGGCTGTCGACGCACACCGTAGACTTGGTGCGTGGAGCAGGAACAGGCCGGACCGTACTGGGGACACACACCACTGGCTCTACTCCGGGAACTGGAACGGGCCGGACCGGACTGGTAACACACCCCAGTACCTCTCGCCGTGCCTCTAAACCTCCTTTCCCTACTTTGACCAGTGGCCCCCGTAACCTGGTGGCCTTTTGAATACGCCCCTTCTCTGCCTCCGTCAGCCCCGTCGTCCATGCCCTGTGCCCCCCCCTAAAAAATTATTGGGGGTGCCTCTCGTCCGTCCGACGATGGCACTGCTGACGCCGCTGCTCCTCTCTCGCCAGGGCCTTGATCCTACCCCAAGGTCCCTTGCCCCCGAGCATGTCCTCCCAGGACCACACTTTGCCCACCTGGGCCATCGCCAGCCTCTCCATCTCCTTTCCCGGCGCTTCCTCCCATGTCCAGTCTGCCTGCTCCTGGACACGCTGCTTGGTCGTTGTATGGTGGGTTTTTCTGTCACGATCGTCTTGGAAAGGAGTAGACCAAAGCGCAGCGTGTTGCACGAACATGATGCTTTATTTAATTAAAGCGAAACACGAAACAACAAAACAAATAACGATTCGTGAAGTCCACAGTGACAATGACTGACTAGGAACAAAAACCCACAACACCCAAGGGAAAACATACAGATTAAATATGGCTCCCAATCAGAGACAACCAGCCGACAGCTGACACTCGTTGCCTCTGATTGGGAGTCACACAGGCAAACATAGACAATGACAACCTAGAACACCCAACATAGAAAACGAACACATAGAATGCACACACCCTGGCTCAACATATAGAGTCCCCGAGCCAGGGTGTGACAGTTTCCTTCCACCATATTTTTTGCACCAGTCTCTGGCTATTCATATATGCACTCACTAACTGTAAGTCGCTCTGGATAAGAGCGTCTGCTAAATGACTAAAATGTAAAATGTAAATGTATTCTTTTTAAATCCAAGTCACATTGAAATTGACTTTATAATTTACACAGTGGCTGCGGATCTGACTTTTACTGGACCTCTCTTCCTGACAGCTAAAGGTCAGGGGGCCTGCGCATGTGCGGGATTCTCTACGTAGATTTATTTACGTAGCTGCGGCTCACTCTGCTGTGGCTTCCCCATCCTTCCTCTTTGCGGCAATGATCGGATGTCTTTGTCTGGTGTAGTCTACAAACTTCTACATTTTGTACAATAGACATAATCGACATGTTGTACAACAAACTTCTTTGTCTGTTGTAACAGTAAGCTATTGCAAACATAAGACCGAGTGGCGCAGCGGTCTAAGGCACTGCATCTCAGTGCTTGAGGCGTCACTACAGACCCCCTAGTTGGATTCCAGACTGTATCACAACCGGCCGTGATTGGGAGTCCCATAGGGCGGCGCACAATTGGCCAAGCGTCATCCGGGTTTGGCTGGTGTAGGCCGTCATTGTAAATAAGAATTTGTCCCCAGTTCACGTCTGAAAGGCGTTCATGGAACGTCTGGGGGTCTCGGTCAGCATGACCTCTGGATTTCACCCCGAGAGTAATGGGCAGGTGGAAAGGGTGAATCAAGATCTGGGTAGGTTCCTGCGGACCTACTGTCAGGACTGGCCGGGGGAGTGGTCGGTGTTGCTGCCATGGGCAGAATATGCTCAGAACTCTCTCCGCCACTCCTCCACTAACCTAACACCCTTCCAATGTGTTTTGGGTTACCAACCGGTCCTGGCACCGTGGCACCAGAGCCAGACCGAGGCTCCTGCGGTGGATGACTGGTTTCGGCACGCGGAGGAGACTTGGGACGCTGCCCACGTTCGCCTCCAGCGCGCCGTGCGTCGTCAGAAGGCGAACGCTTACCGCCACCGCAGGGAGGCCCCGGTTTTCGTACCGGGGGATCGGGTCTGGCTCTCGACCCGGAATCTACCCCTCCGCCTTCCCTGCCGGAAGCTGAGCCCGCAGTTTGTGGGGCCGTTTAAAGTCCTGAGGAGGATAAACGACGTTACATACAGGTTGTTACTCCCCCCTGATTACCGTATTAACCCCTCGTTTCATGTGTCTCTCCTCAGGCCGGTGGTAGCTGGTCCGCTCCAGGAGTCTGAGGTGCGGGAGGTTCCTCCACCTCCTCTGGACATCGAGGGGGCCCCGGCGTACTCGGTCCGTTCCATACTGGATTCGAGGCCTCGGGTGGGGGGCCTTCAGTATCTTGTGGAGTGGGAGGGGTACGGTCCGGAGGAACGGTGCTGGGTCCCAAGGAGGGACATCCTCGATCCCTCCCTGTTGAGGGATTTCCACCGTCGTCGTCCGACTCGCCCTGCTCCGCGTCCTCCTGGCCGTCCCCGAGGCCGGGGTCGGCGCACTGCTGGAGCCGCGCGTCAAGGGGGGGGGGGGGGGGGGGTACTGTCACGACTTCCGCCGAGGCTGCCTCCCCTCCTTGTTCGGGCAGGTTTTGGCATTCGTCGTCACCGGCTTACTAGCTACTGCTGATCCCATTCTCATCACTTCACTTGTCATGTCTTGTCTTGTCAATCACACACACCTGGTGCTCATTCCCCTAATTAGTATGTGTATAAGTGTTCTTCTTGTCTTTGTGAGTGATTGTTTCATTGTGAGAGCGAGTAGCTCGGTTGAGCTACTCTTCCATTTGTTATTTCCAAGGTGGAATATTTCCCTTGTGATGGTTTCGTTTTGACGCTTGGTGCGTTTTATTTATGTAAACGGATTAAACTCTGGACTTCGGTGTTTTACCTCCTGCGCCTGACTTCTTCATTCACACCTCATCACATGATCAACAACCAATTTGACAGAGCTTGAAGAATTTTGAAAAGAATAATGGGCAAATGTTGCACAGTCCATGTGTGGGATGCTCTTAGAGACTTACCTAGAAAGACTCACAGTTGTAATCGCTGCCAAAGGTGATTCTAACATGTATTGACTCAGGGGGTTGAATACTTATCTAATCAAGATATTAGTTTTATTTGTCAAATTTCTTTTTACAAATGTTAAAATTTTTCTTACACTTTGACAGAGTATTTCGTGTAGGTCGTTGACAAAAAATGACAATTAAATCCATTTTAATCCCACTCTGTAACACAACAAAATGTGGAAAAAGTCAAAGGGTGTGAATATTTTCTGAAGGCAATGTACAGTAAATTGCAGCTTTACAGACTTAACTAGAACTGCTTGCTTACGTATGGTTGTACCAGCAATGGAAACTGGTATTTTATCTGACAGTTTCCTGTTGCTTCGTCAGTTCTCTGAGGTCTTGAAAGAACTGACACTATAGACTTCCTTTGACCTACTTCTAACTCATCACACTGTATTAAGAGCCAGTTTAGCTTTTTGGTTAGAATTTCTACTAGGAAATTGGCAAATGGCTAGCTACAATGCCGCACATTTTTTTTGCCCATCATAGTCTTTTTAAAATGTATCGTAAGTTATGTTTTATGAGTTAAGTACATCCATTTATTTCAGATGAGAGAAGCAAACCACTGGCTACACTTTATCATTTTAAATTATTTTCAAAATGTGGTTCTATGTGTTGGTAAGTATTCATGCAATTATTATCAAAATCGTGTTTTCTGTATATTCTAGTTGTGTTCATTCAAATTCCTCTACTTTGATTGGAAAATCACATTTTGCTTTACATTAATTTGGATACATTTTTTATTTGTTATTGGCCTATCATAAAGCTTATATAACACCATCATAACGGATATGTAAAGTGATATCATGGCAGATTATTTATATAATGACAGACAATTATTTCATGTTAATGACTCCCGAGTGGCGCAGTGGTCTAAGGCACTGAATCGCATTGCTAGCTGTGCCACTAGAGATCCTGGTTCGAGTCCAGGCTCTGTCGCAGCCGGCCACGACCGGGAGACCCATGGGCGGCGCACAATTGGTCCAGCGTCGTCCAAGGTAGGGGAGGGTTTGGCCGGCAGGGATGTGGGTTCGTTTCCCACGGGGGGCCAGTATGAAAAAATAAAAAAATGTATGTATTCACTAAATGTAAGTCACTCTGGATAAGAGCGTCTGCTAAATGACGTAAATGTAATGTCAATGGATTAGGTTTAGGGTTATTTATGATGATGCTGGAAATGTTTACTATTTAATGTTTGGAGATAATAGTTGTCATAAGTGTTTAACAAGGTTGTAAAGTGGAAGGCAATATTTCAAAATGTGTTGACTGGCCAGTTGTTATTAAGTGTTCTTATTGATCACATATCTTTGCACATATGTAGACACTGGTATTGTGCTGGAGAAAATGAATATGAGGTTAAAAACCTGTATAATGCCCCTTTAATTGTGGGGCATTAGTGAGGTAATTTCCAAATACAAATAAATATATTTTGGAATAGTATATCAGTATGTTGGCGTTGTAAACTGTAGCAGCTTATGCACTCCTCAAGGACAAATGGCATATCACTAATGACAAACCTCTGTCTTTCCTTTGTCTGCCAGGTGTTGACACTAGCCTGTCTTGACTCTGTGCAGAGTTGCACAGAGGAGGATCTAAAGAAGTCCCCGGAAAGTACCTGCAACGAATGTCCAGCAGGTAAGCATCACTGAGTAACACAATTAGAATCTGAGCTTGAACAGAAGTTGGGCTAGTTAGTCCCAAACTACACTACAGTATAGTATATACCAGCCATACTCAATAGACTGACCGCGGTCCGGATCCGGACCCAGAATGGGGTCAAAACGGACCGCAGGTCCCAACTTTTTTATTTATTTTTGAAACTCAGTCGGGCTTTCAACTTACTGCTATTGAGAGTTGTAATAGTAGAATGCACAAGGTGCAATTTCGAAATTTGGTAGTGCATGGGCAGTTTTCCTCTTGTTATGTCATTCACTGACAGAGCTATTTGCATCATATGAACACACATAAGACATGGCAAAATGTGTAGAATTGCCAGAAATTCGCTTTAAAGATGGAATCCGCAGTAGTGGGAAGCAGCGCCACTGGCTGCCCTACCACCATTGTTATTATTTTTGTTGGATAGCTGAGGAGCAGCATGGTCAAAAAAAATTGCAGTACATATTGTGCTCGTTTATCGCTCGTGCAATGATGTCCGAGGTGTTCGTTGTTTGCAGTAACTTCTTTGTTGTTGTAATATTGCAAACGGACGTGGCTGTTTCACTATTAAGGACTCCTGCTTTAAAACTGCAAAATGTTCTCTCCACCCCATGGTAAAATGTGTAGAATTGCAGGAAATGAGCTTTAAAACAGCAAAATGGTATCTCTGCCAACAAGAGGGGTGTAAACAGTTTGAACAATTTGGGGATGCATGGGTTATGAGGTGGGGGTTTGTTACTACGCCGATAAATGACAATATCCATCCGGACGTTTGCCACCTAGGAAATTTGTGTGACCAGACCTTCTCCGATAGTATTTGAGTACCCCTGGTGTATAGAGTATTGTTGTAGCTTTGTTTACAATCTTGATGTTAGACAGTAATTAAATTGAGACATATTACAGTGCATATAATACAATGTTTGTGCAACACTTGGCGAAGATACATATGCATTGTACTGAATTTCAACATGTCTTTCAGGTTTTCACAAAGTAAAAGGAACCTTCAAATGCAGAAAATGTATTGCGGGCAAAGGATACACTGCAATACCAAATAATAGTTCAACTTGTTTACGCTGTACAACATGTGATGAAGGAGGTAAGCATTCTTCACTCCTATTTACGTGACCATTTCTGGACTGCAGTGTAATAATGCACTGAGTGCTGCAATTATTTTTCATACATGTGTGTTCATGTTTATGTGAAGAGCATCTGTGTGTTTATTTATGGTGTGTGACTTGAGCGTATTCTGTCAGCAGAACCACACTCGCAGTGTGCAAAGAGACTAGTTATCACTATTTACCACAGGATTTAGGCCTATCTAGAAACTTTAAAAAAAGTTATTGTAAGAAATATTTTACACTGCTAGAGCTGTTTCTATTGACAGAGGATGTGTGTGTGTGTGTGTAAGAAATAGTGTATATCTTTCCCCTTGGGAGTTTGTGTTTATGTGATAGGAGTGAGACGGAGACAGTGTCTTTGCTGTGTCTTTGTGTCTTAGTGTCTCAAATGGTGGTGAAGAGTTGTGAGCCCAAGAATGACATTAAATGTGGCTGCATGAAGGGACACTACCCAAAGAGTTCCAACCATGGATCACGCTGCATCAAATGCCAAACGTATGACCACCAGATTCCAGCTTCTACAATATTTATACATTTAGTAAGCTGAGCATATGCACCACCCTTTCTGTTTAGCTCTGACAATACAATATTCTGTAGTGACAAGGTGTAGTGCTCACACACTTCTTCACAGTCTCACCAACCCATCACATTTTGACAGAGGCAATAACCATAGAACATCCTAAAACATTTTTTTAAATCAAATTTGTATTCCTGCCAAAGTACCTCAGACACATCCACAGTGTTTCACATTGAGACCTTGATTGCATCCCAGATGGCACTGTAGTCCCTTTATAGTGCATTACTTTTGATATGGGCCCTGGTCAAAAGTAGTGCACTATATAGGGAACTTCTTCAGCATAACCCCTCAAAACCCACAGTTCTTTTGATGTAGGCTTGATTTCCCTGAAATGACTCAGCCATGGGTTTTAATCCAGTGTACTAGAGAATTAACGTGCTCTGTTGTTGACGTAAACTAAGGAAGCACAGTTATTTGTTGGATGCTGCTGAAAGATCAATCAGATCCTATAATGGCATGCATTGAGGTCAGTGGGTTGAGGACTTCCTCTCAAAGTGGAGCTTTATTAGATTTATAAGATCTGAAGTTCCTGAACATCCTGTCTATGTTTCTGAGGTACTCTTGTGTTTCTGGTAATCAATGTTCTAAAGGCACGCCCACATATCACAGATACAAGATTCATTTTCAGCCCTCTGATTTAAGTAAAAAATAATAACTACTGGTAATCATAGTTGTGACACTAAGATTGAGAGAGTTTATATTTCTAGACTGCATTGGGTACAACGCAAAAGCACAACATACAAAAAACGTCTATATCCAAACCTTCCTTTCATTGAAAGTTTTCTAAACATTGGATCCATCTGACATTCCCTTGTCCAGTCTTGACATGTATACATAAGTGTTGTTGGTGTCATATAAAACAATTGTTATGAATGTCAATGTGATAGGGTTTTCCGGGAAATCCCCTCTGGTTTTAATGTGTGATCTTGTGTTTTTCTGTCTTCATGTTTCAGTAAAGACTGTTCAAAGTATACAGAATGTCACACCTTCTGCACCATTACTACAACTCAGAGACCCCTAAACTCGACACCCAACCCCAGCATCACTCAAATAGGTCCAGACCATTGTGAGTTCCACCAATACCTTTGCTTCCACAGATCTTTCAGTTATTTCAGTGACCTCATGAAGCCTTCATAATCCTGTCATAGCGCCTGTCATTAACAGTCTTACCTTTTTACAATTATAAAATTGTTTTTTTGGTTCCTGGATGCTGATTGGATGAACAATTATAAAGTGTAAGTCAACTCAAATGGTAACTATTGCCACTGATAATTGATAGCATTAATCATATTACAGTGTTAGTGCATCATACTGGCAAATTCTATGATGTAAAATATTCTCCAGTAACTTGAATGTCTCCTCCATGCAAAAAATGTGCTCTAGTTTAATATTTTTGCTCTCTACCCTTCATTCTTCTGAACCTTAAATGTAGTCACATAGTTCAGTTGTTTTTGTGGTATGAAAAACACCATTGATGGTTATTGTCACACCCTGGTTCTGGGACTCATTATGTTGAGCCAGGGTGTGTGCAGTCTATGTGTTCATGTTCTATGTTGGGTGTCTAGGTTGTCGATTTCTATGTTTGGTCAATGACTCCCAATCGGAGGTAACGAGTGTCAGCTGTCGGCTCGTTATCTCTGATTGGGAGCCATATTTATACTGCGTGTTTTCACCTTGGGGTTGTGGGTTTTTGTTCCTTAGTCGGTCAGTGTAACCGTTGGACTTTACGTATCGTGTTTTGTTTGTTATTTAGATACTTTAACTAAATAAAGTCATGTTCATTTCACACGCTGCGCCTTGGTCTACTCTCCTTTACGACGATCGTGACAGAAAAACCCACCATACCAAGACCAAGCAGCGTGTCCAGGAGCAGGCAGCCTGGACGTGGGAGCAGATCTTGGACGGGCAGGGGTCCTGGACCTGGAAGGAAATCCTGGCCGGGATGGATCGCCGGCCATGGAGTGAGACGGTGGAGGCGCGCCGTAGAGAGGAGCTACGGCGTGATCAGGGTCGTCGTCGGAGGGTCGTGAGTCAACCCCAGAAAATTTTTAGGGGGGGGCACACGGCATGGACGACGGGGCTGACGGAGGAGAAAAGGGGGAGTATCCAGGAGGCCACCAGGCCAGGGGTACACCGCCCTGTACGTCCTGTGCGGATGCCTCACACAGAGTGTGTGAGGGTAGGCATTCAGCCAGGACGGGTGGTGGCCGCTGTTCACTCCAGGCCTCCTATCCGTCTCCACAGCCCGGTCCGGCCTGTTCCTGACACCCGCACCAAGTCTACGGTGTGCGTCGCCAGCCCGGTCCGGCCTGTTCCTGCCACCCGCACCAAGTCTACGGTGCGCGTCGCCAGCCCGGTCCGGCCTGTTCCTGCCACCCGCACCAAGTCTACGGTGTGCGTCGCCAGCCCGACCCGGCCTGTTCCTGCCACTCGCACCAAACCTACGGTGCGCGTCGCCAGCCCGGTCCGGCCTGTTCCTGCCACCCGCACCAAGTCTACGGTGTGCGTCGCCAGCCCGACCCGGCCTGTTCCTGCCACTCGCACCAGACCTCCGGTGCGCGTCGCCAGCCCGACCCGGCCTGTTCCTGCCACTCGCACCAAGCCTACGGTGCGCGTCGCCAGCCCGGTCCAGCCTGTTCCTGCCACTCGCACTAAGCCAGGGGTGCGAGTCGTCAGCCTGGTAAGGCCCGTTCCTCCTCCACGCACCAAGCCTACGGGGTGCGTCGGCAGCCCTGTCCGGCTCGTTCCTGTCCTCCGCACCAGGTCTGTGGTGCGCGTCGCCAGCCCATTCCGGTCCATTCCTGTTCCACGCACCAAGCCAGGGGCGCGTGTCGTCAGTCCGGCTCCGGCCAGCGGGGCTAGACAGGACCAGGGGTACTGTGGGGGGTGTATCGGAGGGTGGTGGTATAGGCCGGAGCCAGAACCGCCACCGAGGAGGTATGCCCGCCCAGCCCTCCCCTGTTTGGGGGTTTTGAGGCGCGGTCGCAGTCCGCGCCTTTAGGGGGGGGTACTGTCACACCCTGGTTCTGGGACTCATTATGTTGAGCCAGGGTGTGTGCATTCTATGTGTTCATTTTCTATGTTTGTATTTCTGTTGGGTTTATTTCTATGTTTGGTCAATGACTCCCAATCGGAGGTAACGAGTGTCAGCTGTCGGCTCGTTATCTCTGATTGGGAGCCATATTTATACTGCGTGTTTTCACCTTGGGGTTGTGGGTTTTTGTTCCTTAGTCGGTCAGTGTAACCGTTGGACTTTACGTATCGTGTTTTGTTTGTTATTTAGATACTTTAACTTATTAAAGTCATGTTCTTCTCACACGCTGCGCCTTTGTCTACTCTCCTTTACGACGATCGTGACAGTTATACTTATTCATATCCTCAACAGATCCCCTCCTGACCATCGGGTATGTCCTTGTGGTTGTCCTGGTGACCACTCTGTTAATGGCCTGTCTCATTGTCCTGACTAAGTGTGGATGGAGGGTACATGGCTGTTGTGCGACCCCTGAAAAGGACCTCCAGTTGCCTACAAGGGACACATCAGCCAACGGTAATGATAAACTATCCAGTAACCCATTTGACAATGTGGGCTCTTGCTTGTCAATTCAACTCTTTAGCCAATGGCCTACTGAGATTGGACCCCTTTAAAGTGTTGAATGTAATACTTGGTTTACATGAAAATATGGGTAATTTTTAGCTATGCAACTTCAATTGTTATTAGCAGTAATATAATTATTCATCTTAAAGAGATATGGTGTGAATACAAGTTATTCACTGCAACAATTGGTGCAGGAAACTCTGATAATTTGTCTTTAACTCAAACAGGTCAGCCAAATGGCCAAACTTCACTGGTAAGTATCCGTTTCTTGTGTTATATTTGGATCATTATCAGTTATAGTGTGGGAAAGGAAGCAAATTATACAATTGATAAAGAAGATGAGAAAAGTATATTTTATTCACCTGTAGACCAATCCTGACTAGCAGGTGCAAAACCTACATTACGGGGAAAAAAATGTATGGACTCACTACTGTAAGTCGCTCTGGATAAGAGTATCTGCTAAATTACTAATAATGTCAAAACAAAATCATTGTTAATTACTGTTTACATCAATATGTTTATTTTATTCCAATCATTTGTCTTTATCCTCTTTAATTACAAAGTCATAATTGATTTGAAACATGTCTAGTTTAGCAAATGACCAGTATCTATTTTGATATGTTACCATACATATACTGTATGTGTGTATGGATGCTTTGCTGCACTGCTTAGCCAGACAGATGCTAAGGACTTGTGTCTGTCTGCTGTCCCTTCCAAGACACTGAACATTACTGAAGGGATTCCCATGACGACGTTCTCTCACAGTGCTGCGAAGACTGAGTATTACACCCTTGTCACACCCCTGCTGCCAGGCAGAGAGCCCAGAAGTAAGTCTTCAATGTAGTTGTCTGTTGCTTTGCCATAAGCCTTAGTTGGGCAACATTGCATTTCAGCTGCTCTATCAAGCTACAGTAGTACTACTTAAGGTTGGGTTCATAAGCTTGGATTTATAATAAATGTATATGACATATTGTAATAACTTTAATGTTTCAAAAATCTGAAGCAAAAGTCCCGGTACTCTTGAGATGAAATAGGACTGACATCCCATCAAGCACATTTCTGAGTAGTGTGTACAGCATAGTACTTACCTGTCCTGTCCTGTTCCTGATGTGGGTAGAATCTCTGCTGTGGTTTGTTGTGTTCTCAGAATCAAAACAACCGCCTTTCCTTTAACACCTCAGCGTGTCAGCGTAAAACCTATCTCTGGTCAGCCACGTGGTGGTGTGCGTGCATGTGTAGGTGGTGTGCGTGCATGTGTAGGTGGAAACTGGGACACTTTCATGATATGAATCAGAAATAAGCTGAGCTTCAGAGAAAATGGCAAATCCGATAGCGAGAAGCAGCCTTCAGCTGCTCGACCTTTAACATTTGAGCGTGTTGCCTTATCCATCTTGCAAATTACACTCTGATTCCAACATCCAATCCACTGAAAATATGCACCTGATAAGCGTGATGTTAGTTAGCGTAGTTTTAGTGACAAAATATGATAAGAGTAAGGGTTTGTCCCAAGTCTTTCCACCCGGTTCTAACCTCAAATGTTTGGTTAGGCCTTCTTGTTGATATTTCAGTCAAAATCACGTTTCTGTCTCTTTAAGATGACATAGTATGACCACGTTTAGCTTACGTGAAGATTGCTTATGGTTGTCAACATCAGAATTCCCCTGTGGTGTCATTGTAAGGTTATAGAGCAAGGTTGTGTGTCATTTCCTTTATGTAGATTGGGATCCAGACTGAGGCTTCCCCCACAAAAACAAATTACTGGACTGGGATTTTGCATAGTGTACAAATACCTTTATTTCTAGGAAGCATTTTGTTATTTAACCTATTAGCATCACACTTACCAGGTCTCATAATTTACACAGACTAGACAGAGATATGTTTCTGTTGATACAACATTTCTCACTCCTAAAAACACATCCTCACAGTGTTTCCTCTCATCCCAAAAATTATCTGATACCAGTTTTGATGAAATCTCGCCCACACTCTCCATTACATAGAGTGCCTATAGAAAGTGTACACCCCCCTTGGATTTCTTCACATTCTATTGTGTTACAAAGTGGGATTCAAATGGATGTGTCATTTTTTGTCAACGATCTACACAATAGTAGTTGAATCTGTCCTTGAAATGCAATACTTGACTGAGGGACCTTACATATGTTGTATGTATGGGGGGCAGAGGAAGGAGTAGTCATTCAATAATTTCACCCAGAGTCCATATAGCGTATGATATAGCGTGTGATTTGTTAAGCCAAATGTTACTTCTGAACTAATTTAGGCTTGCCTAAAGCCTCTTAAATGTAATGGCAAAAATGTCGATTTCTGTCTACATAGACATGCCCAAAAGTAACTGCTTTTAATAAGCAGTTATATGAAAAGGACATGCATAAACTTGGTATCATTGGAAAGAAAACACCTGGGAGATAAGGAAATGGTCAGAACATAGACAGGAATGGCACAGTTCAGATCACACAAGATTAAGCACACACAAAGTAACCGTTTTTTGGACAAGCTATAAGTCAATTATTGATGAAAAGAGCTGGAAACACATCAGCTTGCTTCCACAACAAGTCAAAAAGCTCTAGAGGGAAAAAATAGGATTGCTGGACACAACAGCTAGACCTTTACAGACATTTTAGTAATGCGTGTCAGGTGCGGTCAAGGGACATCTCCAAGGTCGTGTCTACACTTGACACTTACATGCGACTTCTGCTATCAGAAAATACACTTTGTGGTGTTATTGTGTTCAGATCTGCCTGACCACTTCAGGAGGTGGTAAGGGATGCATTGTGTACAGATTTCTCCTCAGTCAGGACGCAATCAGGCTACCAGAAGTGCATACAGTGGGCGAAGTTATCAGCACTCTTCCCACATGTCTCCGAGAGGCACCTTTTCATTATAACATTGGAGGAATACGTTTCTAGTGTGTGAGGAACGTGTTTGCAATTCCTTTAGCGTTGCTTGCTAGCTAGCTAGTTAGCTACTGCCATCAGTTGTTGTGTTATCATACTTTGCCTATTCCACCGTTTGTAGAATGCATACTGGCATTTGAATATAGAGCAGGAAAAGGGAATCCAGACACGGTAGACTGTGGACACAGTAGACACATTTAAATGTAGGTGTAGATGCATGACGTGTTTGGAATTCCATGATCAGAATACTAAACTATATGGAGTTGTTTTAAGAAGGTCATACCAAGGATAATTTGCTACACACTAATATGACCCCTCTGTGGAAAGGTGAGACTCTCAAACACGTACAGTGAATTTAGCCTTATTCTAAAATAGATTAAATGTTTTTTTCCTCAATCTACACGCAATACCCCATAATGACAAAGCGAAAACAGGTTTAGAAATGTTTGCAAATGTATTAAAAATAAAAAACAAATACCTTATTTACATAAGTATTCAGACCCTTTGCTATGGGACTTGAAATTGAGCTCAGGTGCATCCTGTTTCCATTGATCATCCTTGGGATGTTTCACAACTTGATTGGAGTCCACCTGTGGTAAATTCAATTGATTGGACATGATTTGGAAAGGCACCCACCTGTCTATATAAAGGTCCCACAGTTGACAGTAAATGTCAGAGCAAAAACCAAGCCATGGGGGTCGAAGGAATTGTCCGTAGAGCTCTGAGACAGGATTGTGTCGGGGCACAAATCTGGGGAAGGGTACCAAAAAATGCCTGCAGCGTTGAAAGTCCCCAAGAACACAGTGGCCTCCATCATTCTTAAATGGAAGAAGTTTGGAACCACCAAGACACTTCCTAGAGCTGGCTGCCCGGCCAAACTGAGCAATCGGGGGAGAAGGGCCTTGGTCAGAGAGGTGACCAAGAACCTGATGGTCACTGACAGAGCTCTAGAGTTCCTCTGTGGAGATGGGAGAACCTTCCAGAAGGACAACCATCTCTGCAGCAGTCCACCAATCAGGCCTTTATGGTAGTGGCCAGACAGAAGCCGCTCCTCAGTAAAAGGCACATGACAGCCCGCTTGGAGTTTGCCAAAAGGCACCTAAAGGACTCTGACCATGAGAAACAAGATTCTCTGGTCTGATGAAACCAAGATTGAACTCTTTGGCCTGAATGCCAAGAGTCACGCCTGGAGGAACCTGGCACCATCCCTACGGTGGCAGCATCATGCTGTGGGGATGTTTTTCAGCGGCAGGGACTGTGAGACTAGTCCGGATAGAGGGAAAGACAATCGGAGCAAAGTACAGAGAGATCCTTTATGAAAACCTGCTCCAGAGCACTCAGGACCTCAGACCGGGGCGAAGGTTCACCTTCCAACAGGACAATGACCCTAAGCACACAGCCAAGACAACGCAGGAGTGGCTTCGGGACAAGTCTCTGACTGGCCCAGCCAGAGCCTGGACTTGAACCCGATCGAGCATCTCTGGAGAGACCTGAAAATAGCTGTGCAGCAACGCTCCCCATCCAACCTGTCAGAGCCTGAGAGGATCTGCAGAGAAGAATGGGAGAAACTCCCCAAATACAGGTGTGCCAAGCTTTTAGCGTCATACCCAAGAAGGCTCGAGGCTGTAATCACTTTCAAAGGTGCTTCAACAAAGTACTGAGTAAAGGGTCTGAATACTTATGTAAATGGGATTTCAGTTTTTTATTTGAAATAAATTAGCAAAAGTGTAAAAACCTGTTTTTGCTTTGTCGTTATGGGGTATTGTGTGTAGATTGATGAGTGGGAAAAAAACAATTTCATCCATTTTAAAATAAGGCTGTAATGGAACAAAATTTGGAAAAAGTAAAGGGCTCTGAATTTGTTTTTCAACAGGAGAATGACCCAAAACACACCTCCAGCCTGTGTAAGGGCTATTTGACTAAGGAGAGTGCTAGAGTGCTACATTAGATGACCTGGTATCCACAATCACCTGACCTCAACCAAATTGAGATGGTTTGGGATGAGTTGGACCGCAGAGTGAAGGAAAAGCAGCCAACAAGTGCTCAGCATATGTGGGAACTCCTTCAAGACTGTTGGAAAAGCATTCCTCATGAAGCTGGTTGAGAGAATGCCAAGACTGTGCAAAGCTGTCATCAAGGCAAAGGGTGGCTACTTTGAAGAATCTCAAATATAAAATATATTTTGATTTGTTTAACACTTTTTTGGTTACTACATGATTCCATATGTGTTATTTCATAGTTTTGATGATATGATATGATGTATTCACTATTATTCTACAATGTAGAAAATAGTAAAAATAAAGAAAAACCCTTGAATGAGTAGGTGTGTCCTACCCTTTGACTGGTACTGTATACAGTGCTATGAAAAAGTATTTGCCCCCTTTCTAATTTTCTCTACTTTTGCATATTTGTAATATTGAATGTTATCACACCGTCAACCAAAACCTAATATTAGATCAAGGGAACATAAGTGAACAAATAACACAACAATTACGTATTTATTTCATTTATTTCATAAACAAAGTTATGCAACACCCAATTCCCCTGTGTGAAAAAGTAATTGCCCCCTTACACTCAATAACTGGTTGTGCCACCTTTAGCTGCAATGACTCCAACCAAATGCTTCCTGTAGTTGTTGATCAGCCTCTCACGTCGCTGTGGAGGAATTTTGGCCCACTCTTCCATGCAGAACTGCTTTAACTCAGTGACGTGTGGGTTTTCAAGCATGAACTGCTCGTTTTAAGTCCTGCCACAACATCTCAATTGGGATTAGGTCTGGACTTTGACTAGGCCATTCCAAAACTTCCAATTTGTTGCTTTTTAGTAATTTTCATATAGACTTGATTGTGTGTTTTGGATCATTGTCTTGCTGCATGACCCAGCTGCGCTTCAGCTTCAGCTCACAGACGGATGGTCT